GTTTCTTGGCGGTCTACACGCTCGTCTTCTGTTCTCAGCTCCAGTTGTGAGGCTGAGATCTACGCCACCGCCATGGCTGCACAGGAGCTACGCTGGCTCACCTACCTGCTGACTGACTTGGGTGAGCGGCCTCGTTCTCCTCCAGTTCTGTACGTTGACAACAAGGCGGCCATTGCCTTGTGTGAGGAGCATAGACTGGAGCACAGAACGAAGCACATCGCTCTGCGTTACTTCCTGGCTCGAGATTTGCAGCAGCGAGGTCAGCTTCGTCTTCGTCACGTGGCCACTCGGGCCAACACTGCTGATATATTCACCAAGGCACTTCCGTCTGGTGATCATCAGCGTTTTTGTACCTTGTTAGGTCTTGTGCCTACGTTTCCACACTTGCTGTAGTCTCTGCTTGTACTGTGATCTATATATATACATGCATGCCTGCTCTTGCTAGGTAGTCATCACTGCACTGTTATTGTTGCATATATATCTCTGCATGTGGACTGGCCTTGTGGCCCTTTGCTTGTGCTCAGAATGTGTGGTGACGTTGTGATCCACCCTGAGTTTGCTTTGCTTCTCTTGACTGGTCGTGTGACCCCTTGTTCTCCCCCACTTTGCCTATGGGGGCAGGGCTCAGGTTTGGTTTTGGCCTACTCATGATTGGCAGTGTAGCTTTTTCAAAAACCCTTATGGGCAGTGTGTACTTTTCCATTACACTGATAGAGCAGTGTAACATCAGGTTTTGAAATTTTTACCCTGCATCATCAGTGTGGTTTTATTTCAAGCACTGACCATGTGTAAATTAGGGTTTAGGGTGGCGAGAAAGTTATCTGCCTCCCAGGTCCCCTGCCCCCTCGATCGATTGTTTGTGAGGGGCGGGGGGGAAGGGGAGGACTTACGAAATTGGTGACAATTTCGCCTCCCCTTCCCCCTCGATCGATTGTTTGTGAGGGGCGGGGGGGAAGGGGAGGACTTACGAAATTGGCGACAATTTCGCCTCCCCTTCCCCCTCGATCGATTGTTTGTGAGGGGCGGGGGGGGAAGGGGAGGACTTACGAAATTGGCGAGAATTTCGCCTCCCCTCCCCCTCGACCGATTGTTTGTGGGGAAGGGGGGGGAGGGGGGGGGGGGTGGGGGAGGGGGGGGGGGGGGTGGGTGTGGGGGTCCGTATACGCTCTTCAATGTAATCCTCGCTAAGGGAAACTTTACCCCAAGGCATCAGTGTGGCCTACATCGATACACTTACTGATCAGTGTAACACTAACTCATAAAAAAATTACCCCAGCACATCAGTGTAGACCCAAAATTTCACCCTTGTAATCAGTGTAGAAGGGTAAATTACACTGATAACCTGAGCCCTGTATGGGGGTGTGTCAAACATATATGCTGCATATTGTCTAGGCTGTAGTGGGGTAGCCCATATGGGGTACAACCCAATTAGGGTTTACTACTTGTACTCCTGCATGCTGCTAGTTCATCATTCCTGCTGCTAGATTCTAACAGGATGGGTTGGGAAATGTACTGTTCGGAATGAACAGTAAAACCCCCTGTAACACAATTCTGCCGATCATACACCAGTTTACAGGGTTCATTCATCATTCTCATGCTTGCTCTCGAATATAGCACTTTGCTTGCGCAAACAAAACACCATGGTACAGTACAGTAAACCGTGACAATTACTGCATACATGCATGCATCCCTAACACCCCGACAGCGAACCAACATAGGTACCGTATGCAAACACAAACGCTTGGCTTAAACAAGGTGACAGTACGCGACGAGACACAATGACGACGAGCAATCCCACACCCAAAATGTAACAGTCACACTCAAGTTAGATGTGGTACCGGGTTTCTTCCTGGTAGCGTCAAGTCCACTGTAGTAACCCTCGTGGTAGAGACCCTAGCCCAATGTGCTCGTCACAGAGTAGTCACCCAAGTCCACAGTGCCCCCTCTGGTGTAATCACCCTGGATCAGCCAGCTCCTCCTGGTGTAATCACCCTAGGGGTGTAATCACCCTAGGGGTGTAATCACCCTAGTTGAGCTGGTTCTCCCTGGTGTAATCACCCTGGCTCAGCTGGCTCCTCCTGGTGTAGGCACACCAGGCGGTGTAAGCGGTGGTGTAACACTGTGTGGTAACCCTCTCCCCCCAAACTCACCCCCTTCCCCCCCATGAGCACCCCCTCTCCCCCCATGCCCACTTCCTTCTCCCCCCTCCCTCCTCACCCTCAGTCCCCCCGTCCACAAACCCTTCCCTCCTCCACTCCCCAGCAACCATCCCTTTCCACCCTCTCGCTCTCGCTCTCTCTCTCCCCCCAGCAGCATCCCCCCACCACAGGCACTCGCCGCACTCCCCACCGAAGCAGAACCAGCAGCAGCAGCAGCAGCAGCAGCAGCACCATCAGCAATAGCACCAACAGTAGCAACAGCACTAGCACCACTTGCACCAGAACCAGCGGCAGCAGCCGCAGCAGCAGCGGCGTTAGCATCGCCCGCTTCACCCTGTCTCTCACTGAGAGAGCTGCTTCTAATCATTCTCCACGTGTTCCTCTTCCATGCGTTCCTCAGCATAGGAGACATCAGCCCCGGCCCCCTCACCCTCCCCCCTCCCCCTTCCCCTCCCCCTCCCCCTCCACCTCCCCCTCCTCCTCCCCCTCCCCTTCCTCCTCCCACCCGACTCCCCCGCACCCCCCACGGCACATGCACCCCCGCAAACCTCCCCTCGCCTCCTCCTCCCTTCACCACACTCGTTCCCAGCCCCCGTCGCGCCCACTTAACCCGAATACCACCATCCGCACCAGCCGACCCAACTGCTGCACCCATGTCATCAATACCCATCCCAGCGGCACAAGCAGAGTCTGAAACGTCTGTCTCCCCTTGCCCGTCCATGGATACATGCCGCACATGCATGCTCTTGGGCTTTAAGCGGCCCTCCTTCCCCTCTTTCCCCTCCTTCCCCTCCTTCCCCTCCTTCCCCTCCTGCCCCTCACTCCCCTTGTCGCCCTCCTGCCTGCTCGCCTGCCCGTCACTATAACCAGCGTTACTGTAGCCAGCGTCACTGTAGACAGGACCGTTATACACAGTGTTACTGTATTGAGCGCCCGAGGAAAGAAACGGAGGATAAGGCAAGTAAACCGGGGCAGAGAGCGGCAGCAGAGGGACCGGAGTCCCAGTTACCCGGTTACCATACGCATCAACAGGAGCGCCATACTCATCCTCCTCCCCCTCATCCTCATAGTACCCTTGCGGTGTGATATATGATTGCTGAGAGTGAGACGCCCCTTCCTGGTGATGCTTTTGCGGCATGATATATGACTGCTGAGATTGTGATTGTGATGCCCCTTCCTGGTGCTGATACCCTTGCAGGCCAATGTAAGCCAGTGCTTGCTGTGAGGTGGGTGCATATGGTGTTGCTGCTGCTCCGCTTGCTGCTGCCGCTCCTGCTGCCACTGCCCCTCCTGCCATCCCACCCATCCCCACACCACTTGCACCCATCCCCATACCACTTGCACCCATCCCCGCACCACCTGCACCCGAGCGGCACTCCCCACTTGCTGCTGCCGTCCAAGCGCTGCTATCACCCACCCACGATTCGTAATCAGATCCCGCAACCGGGCGGGGAGGAGCAGACGGGGCGGCGGAGGGATGGAGTGGGGGGAGCATGCACTCCCCACTTGCTGCTGCCGCCCAAGCGCTGCTATCCGCCACCCACGATTCGTAATCCGATCCCGCAACCGGGCGGCGGGGAACAGATGGGGCGGCGGAGGGATGGAGTGGGGGGAGCATGGCAGCAGCGGGCGGAGCAGCAGTAGGAAGGGAAGCAGAGGGAGAGGGGACGAGAGGGGCAGGGACGAGAGGGGATGCGATGCGAGGGTTTGGCATCCGGGGGAAAGGGGAGTGGGGATGAGGGGCGTTGGGGGAAGGGGAAGGGGAAGGGGTGGGGGAAGGGGACGGGGAAGAGGAAGGAGAAGGGGAGGCGGTGGCGGAAGGAGGGGCAAGGGGGGGTTTGGAGAGACGGGAGGGGGAAGGGGAGGGGGAGGGGGAGGGGGAGTTGGACGGGGAGGGTTTAGGCGCGAAAGAGGGTTGGGGAGGGAGGGATGTGGCGAGAGGGGAAGGCATGGAGTGGTTTACATTTGTGGGGAGAGGCATGGGGGAGTGAGCGAGTGGGTTGGATGGGAAAGGCATGGAAAAGGTTGATGGGTTGGGCTCGTAGCGGCTCCCAGTGCTGCTGGTGCTGCCGGTGCTGCTTCTCCCAGTGCTCACGCTGCTGCTGGCGCTGATGATACTGGTGGTGCTGCTGGTGCTCCCTGTGCTAATTCTCCCAGTGCTGTCAACATCACCACCAGCACCAGCACCATTAGCATCACCAGCTGCACCTGCCGCACCTGCCGCACCTGCCGCACCAGCACCACCAGAATCACTGCTAGCAGCGGAGCCCCCCACTTGGCATGCGTGTAGTCTGCTCCTGGGAAGCGGGGCAGAGGGACACGTGGCAGCAGAAGCGCATGGCGCGGGGAACGAGCGCGACACCCTCACATCCCCCAACCCTAATCCCAACTCGCCTGCGCCTGCGCCTCCCCCTGCCTCTACCCCTGCCCCTGCCTCTCCCGCTCGCCCCGCGCCTCTCCCTGCTTCGGCTGTTCGCCCCGTCTCCCCAAACCCAGCTGTAGAGTAAATCCGCCCGGAAACACCAAGGGGCAAATCGCCGTACGACGAGTCGTCGTCATCCCACACGTCCATGCCCGCTATGGTGCGCGGGGCATGGTAGTATCCCCCTACAAACGCGCCCCTGCCACCGCGGATTGCAGCACCGGCTGTAGCAGCGGCTGTAGCAGCGGCAGGTGCATGTAGTGGCGCCTGTAGCAGCGGCACTGGGGTGGGTGGCAGTGTCAGCAGCAGCAGCAGCAACGTTAGCTGCAGCACTATCATCAACAGCACCGCCAATACCAGCACCACCGGCACCACCTGCACCAGCAGTGAAACCACCGCCAAGAGCCAGCGGGACGTCCTCAGCCGTCAGATTGACTTCCAGGGACGATGTGGATCGCGAGTTTCTGCGCGTGCGCTGGTGACGCGACACCACCCGCGTCTCGCCTATCTCCCCCTCCTCCACGCCCCTTAACGCGTCTGATAGCTCACTCAGTAGGCTCTCCCGCGCGCTCATTCTTCGACCCCCCGCTCCCCCAATCCCCCCCGCTCCCCCTATCCCCCCCGCTCCCCCAATCCCCCCCGCTCCCCCAATCCCCCCCGCTCCCCCCATCCCCCCAACTCCCCCCACACCAAAACCACCAGCATCAGCAGCAGCACCGGCACCTGTTCTCTCCCCTTCCCCGCCCCCATCTCTGCTGCTCCCTAGATCCGCCATCCCCCCTCCTCCTGGTCGCTCCCCTTGGCTGTGACTCACCAGATACGCTCGAGGCGCGTCCGGGTAGCACTCGAGCCGCTCCTTTGGCTTTAATCTCCCGCGCACGCTCCATACAATCACCTCCAGGCGCGGCTCGAGCGCCTCGTGCACAATCACGTGCGAGTGGCGCGCGGATCGCGAGCGCACGAAGACGGGCGCTCCCGCGCGCCCGTTGAAGACGGGCGCGGATTTATCCGCGTTACAAGGAGCGCCCGCGCGCCCGTTAACGGTGGGCGCGGATTTATCCGCGTTACAGGGAGCGGATGCATCCCCGTTATAGTGAGCGGATCCTCCTTCGCTACTCTGCTTGAGCAGTAGCGAATTTCCATTTCCAGTCATCCCCGCCTCGTGCTTTCCTATCATGGTCCCGGAATCTCCCCTTTCGCGAGTCATCCGGTTGCTATTGCAAGTGTTACTGCTAACATCGCTACCACTGTTCCCACTGCCCCCACTGTCCCCTCTGCCCCCGCTGCTAGCATCAACGGTACCTTCCCTCCCTCCGCCCTGCGTTTCCCTGCGCCCGCTGCCCCCACGACTGCTGTGACTCAGCCTGTGGCTGTGCCCGCCGCCGCTGACGTGGCACGCGCCGCTGCTGACTCGGCTCGAGCTGCTGACGTGGCCAATGCCGCCCGCCAATCGCCTGGCGAACGCGCGGAGCGACGCGGGATCCGCCGTGGCTGGACGCGGAGGGGTGTCCGGGGGAGGCGACGCGGGGAGCGGGGGGGACGGGGGAGGACGCGCGGAGATTGGGGAAAAGGCGCGGCGAGCGGAAGGGGGAATCGCGGAGGCGGAGGCGGAGGAGGGAGGGGGGGAGGCGGAGCGGAGAGTGGCGCGCGGGGAGGAGGGGGAGCGGGAAACGGAGAGCGAACAGAGCTCGATATAAGCACAACGGATACTGTCCAGGATGGAATAGGCGCGCGGGCGGTCCAGCGCCCCGTCAGCAACTGCGAACGTGGCGAGCCCTGATTGGTCGACGGCGAACAGAGCGTTGGTGCGACCGTAACCCTAGGATCCGGGTAGGGCAGGGGGTGGGGGAGGGGAAGGGGGAGGGGATAGGAGAAAAGGGAACGGGAAGGGGAGAGTGGGGAGAAGGGGAAGGGGGAGGGAAAGGGAAAGGGGGAGGGGAGGGGGAGCGGGAGGGGAGGAGGAGGGGGAGGGGGATGGGGAGGGGGACGGGATGGGGAGGGGGAGGGGAAGGGGAGGGGGACGAGGGGAAGAGGGGAAGGTGAGGCGGACGCGACGGGGAGTGCGGACCCGGCAAGGGGAAGGTGAGGCAGACGCGACGGGCGCTGGCGAGGGGTGCGGGATGGCGGCGGTACGGAGGAAGTGGCGAAAAGCCAAGCTAGGGGGAAATAAAAAGAACTCAAAAGGAGAACGCGAGGCGGGAAGGGGAGGGGGAGAAGGGAGAAGTCAAAGTAAAAGAAAAGAGATGAATTGGTGAGGGCAGCGGAAGGAGAGGGTAGCGAAAAGAGAGAGAAAACGAGCTACAAGAGCAATGTGCGGCGACAGGCCCCGCCCGGCGGAAGAAGCGGCAAGGGACGCGGGCGGTCCGCACCATGGAGAATCTGGTGACGTGGCGCGGAATCTCGAGGAGCGCCGACGCGACGAGGCTACGCAGAAGCTTCCTCTGCTTGCCGTAATCCGCCAACACAACCCCCCGGTGCGCCAACCCCACGTAGAATATCAGCTGCGCGTCGCCCGTGTCCTCCACGGAACGGCTTTCTACTCCGCCGCTTACTGCGCCGCATGCCCCGCGCGTGTCTCCGCGGTGTAGACCCCCTCCGCGCGCGCACTCCGCGTCCGCGCAAAGACCGACTCCCGCGGAAGAAGAACGATCGGCGGGAACTGCGCCGCTGCCCTCGCTTGATGAGCGCATTGGCGGAGCTGGGCGGAGAGCCATGTCCGCGGATGCGCTAGGTTTGGCGGTAGCGGATGAGTAGGGGTCCGCGGAAGAAGTGGCGGAAGGAATGGCGGAAGGAATGGCGGAAGGAATGGCGGAAGGAATGACGGAGGAAATGGCGGAGGGAATGGCGGAAGAAGTGGCGGAGAGCGGGGGAAGCTGCGCCTGGCCGTGCTGCTCCCACGCGGCAGGATTCGCGGAGAAGGGAGCGGAAAGAGAGACGACGGTCGTGCCTCCCGCAACCATAACTGTAACCCTCGTTACAAGAACATCAGATTCCCCCCTGCTTTAGAAGAAGGTCAATCTCGTGAAGCCTCCATGGATGCTTCGTTTTTAACGGTCCATGATCGACGGTGATAAATGAAAAGGACTCGGATACTCGGGAAGAAAACTCTGGGGAAAAAGGCCGCTTCGAGAAATAGCCAAGCACCCAAAGAAAAAAAAAAAACTAAGGCGTTCGGAAAGTCGAGCTCCGTGCGACTCGGCCGGCTTACCGCAGATAAGCTAAGCAAACATCTTTACATTGCATTCATGCGGATAATAATCTAGTCGCAGACTGCTAACGGAGCAAGGCTAGGCACTCTCTTCCCTCCTCAGGACTGGCAAAAGCGCATCCTAAGGAGGTAAGTCACCGTAAGTTGCGCACGCCAGGCCGCGACGCGACTCCATCACGACGCCAAACCAGGAGCCAAGCACCCCTAGCGCAGCCATTACCAACAAGCAACCCCCCTGAATCCGTTACGGCAGGAGGGTGCAGGGGAGGGGAGACAGAACACCACACTCGACCTCAGGCGAAAATAACGAGAAAGGGATGGGGGGAGGGATGAACTGTAGGAATCGAGATCGGCAGAAGAACCCATTCATCTGTGTGTCGTGCACTCACTGGACGACGCTCGCCCCAAGATTCATCCATTTGCACTGTACACTTCATGAACAGAGGGGAAGGAAGGAGTGAGGGGGGAGGTGGAGTGAAGGGGAGAGGAGAGGACAGAGCTCGGGGAGGGGGAGGTGGCGCGGCGTGGCCATACATAACTAACTGGAGAGAATTGCATTTCGGTTCGTCGGTTTTCCAGATAATGTTTCTTCGGTACGAAGATTTTTAACACCCATCTGTAACCACCTCTGATGACATGGGTAATCGCCCCTCAGACCACTCCAGCGCGACAGCTTCCGCATCATCGCTGCCATCCAGGGCCTGAAATCACGGGCTGCCCGAGACGAGTTCCATAAAACACGAATTGACATAGAAGCATCAAAATTGACAGGCCGGAATTGTGGCACCCATGACACATACAGTAAATTGCAGTTCATGTACACTGGGCGGAAATTCAGTTTCCTTGTACATCATTGATGCCAAGAGCTTCGAAACCCCCGCGCAAAAGCCCCCACTAAGATATGGCAGCATTTCCGCCTATACAGTTCAAAAAATGCCAGAACCCGCCTGCCTTTTACATTACTGTATCACCAGCGTCTTCTTCCTCACTCTATAAAATGAAATGGGACCAGGTCCTAATTCGCTCAACCGTGTCTGAATTTGTGTCGATAGATATATACCTTAACAATACAGCCAAGATAGAGATGACAATGCCAACAGTAGTCACTCTCATAAAACCTAACTCCTAGTAGAAAGGAGATGGAGAAAGAAAAATAAAAACACATAAAAAACACCCTCAAGGTACCCTAAGTTCACGCCCAGTCGAGACACCCCCAATTAGACACCCCCTTAAAAACCCCCCTAAGACACCCCATCCCGCATCCCATGTCCCCCCACCCCCCAAGCTCAATCACATCTGTGCATCCACCATGTACGGGGCCTCAACCCAGAGAGCCCCGCCCCCATGTCGACATCGTCCCTATCCTGGTCCACCAAATCGACGTTGATCCCCCCCATGGAAGACGCCGCTCGGAGCAGGATAACACGGGCTTGCGCACGTTGCAACGCCACCCCGATGAGCGCCTTCAAGGACCCTAAGAGATAAGCCGAAAACGCTGTGTCGTCCTCCCGGCAAGCCCCCCGCGACACAGCTAGCCCCACGTGAGCATCCCCCTGCTGACGAAGCCACTGCTGAAAACGACTGCCGAGACATCCCCACGTCTCTACTATCAATGGGGTAAATTGCACGCCCCCGTTGCGTGCGAGTAGAGGCGCATAATCGCTTGTTTTGCGACGCTCCCACTCTTTCGCCGCCACGCCTATCTGACGTCCGCACTGTCCTAGCAGAGATGGGGACAGCGATAGCGGGTCCGCGACACTGATCTCTAGGGCGTGAGCCTCTCCCGCCATTAATCGTCGCACAGCCACATCAACCCGCTTCCCCGACAGCACCACACTGTCCTCCATTGTCACCACCCCCCCCGACGCCTTAGCGATCTTCGCCACCGCAAACTTCACCTCATCATGCACCCGAGATGGACCATGCTGATGCTTGCATCTCAGGGCATGATGCGGGTCTGCCGGGTCAACATACACTGTGCCGCAAACACACCTCCCCGCCACCTGCAGCGCCTGAATTGGGAGCCCGAGCCATATAGCAGCAGCAATGTCCCACTCGGCCGCGGTGAATGTGAGATCCGAGTGAGCTGGAACCGCCGAAACCCATGCACCCGCCCCCGGGCCCTGAAGGGATGTGAAACGGGCCAAGGTAGCATCGTCACGAGCCGAGCGGCGAAGTGCCTGGAGCTCCTCTACAGCTAACTGTCGTTGCCGTGACTGGAAAAGCCGAGGAGGAGGGGCCGCTACACACAGAGGTAAGCCTGGCACCTCCTGGCGGATAGTCGCTGGCAGCTGCTCAAGAGCCTTGACCAACCACGGGTCAAGGAACTCCGCCCCCGTCGAAGTGGTAAGGTACTCTGCAAACATCGCCTCCTCGCCCGCCACCCCTAGCTGTGCAATGTCACGCGCGGCCTGCGCCCACCCACAAACGTAAGACAGTGGGCTCAAGGAGGCCGCCGCCCGGATCCCGAACCCTCCAAGTCGCACAGGGAGATGCAGCTGCATGCGTGCGCGCCTAGACCGGTCGGGGTCCTGCTCCCAAGTGCCAGGTGGGAAAAGCTGCTCAAAGCAGTCTTCCAAACAGCTATCCCATTCTAAAGGCCTCAACCACCTCCGGGCGCGGCGGCATAGTTTGGGCAATGTACATCGGCCGCGCCGATACTGCGATGGCGAGGAGGTGTGAAGCCATCTGAGGGTGTTCGAGCAGGGGGAGCCATGGCAGTGGCGCCTGCAACTGTCGAAGGCGCTCCCGTAGCCGGGCCACCTCCCAAACCTCCTCCCCAATAGGCACACCCACCACGGTAAGACCCTCTTCCACCCGCTGCATCCCCAATGGCAATGCCCGCTCCACATCTCCGCCCTCGCGCTCCCAAAAATGACACTTGTGCGCCTGCACCTCCAGCCCCACCCACTCCAACCGCTCCCGTAGTACCCCAAAAGCCTCCAGAATCCTAGCCGCTGGCCCCAAAATATAGGTATCATCTGCGTAGCTGAGGAATAGTAGGTCTCCGAACTCTCTAGTAACCGGCTCCATCACCTGCTGCTGAGTGAACGCGAAAAGAAAAGGGCTGAGCGGGTCCCCCTGTCTCGATCCCCGTGCCGACTCGAGGCTCTGGACGAAAGGGCCCGCTCGGAGGTACAGGTCGCTAGGTGTCCCATAGAAGACACGCAAGAATGGGATCATCCCTGCGAACGGGGACTCCCGCAGCCCATCGAACATCGCGTGGCGGTGAAATGAGTTGAAGGCATTTGCGACGTCTATCTGTAGCGCACACCAGTCGGGGTGAGTGGCCAGCGCTGACCGGAAAGAATGGGTGAGAACCTCCGCCCCAACCCTGGTGCCCGCTCCCAGTTGGTTGCAAGGCATGAAGTAGGAAGCCATCGCAGGGCGGAGCGAGATGCAGAGAGCTCGAGCGAGGATACGCGGAAGCACCTCCCCGATCGCCACCGGCCGGACGTCACCGTTGGATGCGGCGAGCCACGGCCGAGCCCGCTCGGGGACCTGTCCCGCCACCCATTGGTTGAACACTTCCAATAGGTGGGAAAGATAGGAAGGTTCAGTGAGGAAGGTGTTGCGCAAATGCTCTGTGACCCACCCCGAAGGTCCTGCTGCTGAAGCTCGAGCGGCTGTGTGAATAGCTCTAGCCAGGATGTCGGTCGTGAGTGAAGGTTGCTGAGCAGTGTCGACGGTGAAATCGCGGACCCACTGTGGTACGTCGCTAGTGCTGGCAGGGTGCTTCTCTCGCAGTGCCTGCACCATGGCCTCAGACGGTTTGGCTAGCTCCCCTGCCGTAAGGCAGGCCAATCCACGGCTCCACTCCCCAACTTTGCACCGAGATCGGCACCGCGACAGGCGGATGGCGTCCGGGTCTTGGTCAGAGCAAGTGTAGGAAAGTGGGCGAACTGCTGGCCGCACCGCCTCCATGGCGGTGTCGAACAGCTGCCGCCATCTCCCCTCCCAGAACAGACCCAGCCGCTCTGTGATCAGCGCCTTCTGACCTATGTCTGGCTTCGGAGGCACGGCTAGGATGAGGCGCGGAAACGCCAGGAGTAGGAGGGTAGCAGCTTCATCACCCGGTTGGCTCTTCAAACGCTTTAAGATGCAACAGAGCGCATCTAAGACCCCCGATCGGGCTCGCTACGGGATCCGGCGCACTGTCCTCCCTCCAACTGCTTCCACACTGAAAAACGCTTCCCACTCCCATGATCTAACCCCAGCCCACACCTCGTCCCCAAATTCCCGCGGCGTCGGTCGCTCCTGCGTGTTGGTCTCCACCAAAGAGCCCGTGTACGCCTCTCCGCCTCAGCCGCCCGGCAAACCCTCATGTGGCCCACGGCAGCCCCTCGCGTAGCGAAAGTGTGAAAACACGTGTCACACGGAAAACTGGGGCATGGGGAATGCGGCCTAGGAGGTTCCCCTTCCGCCTCTGACTCCTCCGCAGTCGCCATGGGGGTATCAAACTCCAAAAGTCGGATCCACTCCTCCAACTGCTGCTCTCGGTCGTCCATCGATTGCCCCCCTGTCTGCTGCGCTCCCTGGGGTGCTCGGTCACCCCCGGCTGCCCCCTTAACTGCTGCTCTTCCTGGGGTGCTCCGGTCACCCCCAGCTGCCCCCCTCCCTGCTGCTCCCCCTGGGGTGCTAGGGTCGCACCCGGCTGCCCCCCCAACTGCTTCTCTCCCTGGGGTGCCCTGGGCACCCTCGGCTCCCCTCCTGCCTGCTGCACTCCCTGGGGTGCCCCGGGCACCCTCGGCTCCCCTCCTGCCTGCTGCACTCCCTGGGGTGCCCCGGGCACCCTCGGCTCCCCTCCTGCCTGCTGCACTCCCTGGGGTGCCCCGGGCACCCTCGGCTCCCCTCCTGCCTGCTGCACTCCCTGGGGTGCCCCGGGCACCCTCGGCTCCCCTCCTGCCTGCTGCACTCCCTGGGGTGCCCCGGGCACCCTCGGCTCCCCTCCTGCCTGCTGCACTCCCTGGGGTGCCCCGGGCTCCCCTCCTGCCTGCCGCACTCCCTGGGGTGCCCCGGGCACCCTCGGCTCCCCTCCTGCCTGCTGCACTCCCTGGGGTGCCCCGGGCACCCTCGGCTCCCCTCCTGCCTGCTGCACTCCCTGGGGTGCCCCGGGCACCCTCGGCTCCCCTCCGGCCTGCCGCACTCCCTGGGGTGCCCCGGGCACCCTCGGCTCCCCTCCTGCCTGCTGCACTCCCTGGGGTGCCCCGGGCACCCTCGGCTCCCCTCCTGCCTGCTGCACTCCCTGGGGTGCCCCGGGCACCCTCGGCTCCCCTCCGGCCTGCCGCACTCCCTGGGGTGCCCCGGGCACCCTCGGCTCCCCTCCTGCCTGCTGCACTCCCTGGGGTGCCCCGGGCACCCTCGGCTCCCCTCCGGCCTGCCGCACTCCCTGGGGTGCCCCGGGCACCCTCGGCTCCCCTCCTGCCTGCTGCACTCCCTGGGGTGCCCCGGGCACCCCCGGCTGCCCCCCTGCCTGCTGCGCTCCCTGGGGTGCCCCGGGCACCTCCCTGCGTCTCCCTCTTCGGCCCCGAGCTCGCGGCCTTTTTGCTTGGCCTGCGCCGCCCGGGCTAGCGACCCCCTGCTGAACCCGCGCCTGTTGCTCTTGCAACCCACTGATCGGCTCTTCAAGTTGCATGCTTCTACGCTCTTGGGGCCGGTTCCTTTCTCGACACCCTTGCTGCTCCCCTTCTTGCGGCTGAGACTGATTCTCCGTTTGACACCCCTCCTGTACGCTTCCCTGCCGCTCGCCCCCCCCCCTCCTGTGTCTCCTCCATCTCCACCTCCAACACCTGCGGCCACTCAGCTTGCAGCCCAAGCTGTCTCTCGACCTGCTGCTCCGTTACCATTCCTATCTCTATCTCCATGTCCACTTCCGACTCCTGCTCCCCCCCAGCCTGCGGGTCTTCCTTCCCCTCTGCCGGCAGCTCTTGCTGCCTCGTTGCCTGCGGCTCCTGCTGCCCTCCAGCCTGCAGCTCTTGCTGCCTTCCAGCCGGCAGCTCCTGTTGCCCCCCCATCTCCATCACCATCACCGCCTCCAAAGCCTGCTGCCCCTCGACCTGCCGGTCCTGATCCCACCCAGCCTGCGACTCCTGCTGCCCCCCAGCCGGCCCCTCTTGCTGCCTCCCAGCCCGCAGCTCCTGCCGCCTCCAGGTCGGCCCCTCTTGCTGCCCTCCAGCCTGCAGCTCTTGCTGCCTTCCAGCCGGCAGCTGCTGCTGCCCCCCCATCTCCATCTCCGCCTCCAAAGCCTGCTGCCCCTTTGTCTGCGGCTCCTGCTCCTTCCCAACCTGCGGGTCCCGTTCAACCCCAGCCTCCAGCTCCTGCTGCCTCCCAGCCTGCAGCTCCCATTGCCTCCCCATCTCCATCTCCAACTCCAACGTCTGCTCCCCCCCAGCCTGCAGGTCCTGCTCCCCCCCAGTCTGCGGGTCCTGCTCTCCCCCAGCCTGCGGCTCCTGCTCTCCCCCAGCCTGCGGCTCCTGCTGCCCCCGGGCTTGCGGGCCTCGCCGCGCTCCTTCCCCTTGACCCCGCGGAACTCCTGATTTGCGCCTCCGTTCCTGTCTTCGGGCTAATCGGGGACCACATGTCGCTGAGTTGTCGCATTTAGTGAGTGCTGGGTGTGCTAAAGGGGTGTTAAGTTCTCGCCGACGCTTGTCATGCGACTCCTGTAGACGCTGGCGATGTGCCTCCCAAGCTGCCATCGCCGCGTCGGAGGTGTTGCCTTGCCTGTGCTCTCCATTGCCGCTTTCCACCACTTCTCTAGTGGCCACGCCTAGGTCGGTATCGAGGCGTTGCCTCTTGGTCAGATTGTCGTGGAGGCACCTAGTGACTTTGTCGCACATGCCGCGGACGAGTGGTCCCTCCTGCTGCTCCGTAGGCTCTCTCCCCCTCTTGTGCCCGGCTATTGGGCAGGTCGCCTTTGAAGTCATCATTGTCAATCCTTCCTCCGTGCTTCCGGTGGCCCCTTTTGCCTTTCCGTCACGTCCGCCTCCCTCCCAGACCCCGGCATCCCCGGGGTCCGGGCTGTCTTCCATGGTTCCGCTGTGACGTCACGTGTCTCGATGTCGGGGCGTGGATCCCGCACCTGGGCAGCCGGTCTCAATGTGGGGGCGCTGATTTGCAGCGCCGGATCTGAGGCTCGTCCTAAACGGGCGGTGATTTCGCTGGCTGGCGCGCTGTAGAGCGACCTAAGCGGCGATTTCGCTGGCTGGCGCGCTGCAGAGCGACCTAAGCCGCGATTACGCTGGCTGGCACGCTGCAGAGCGTCCTAAGCGGCGATTTCGCTGGCTGGCGCGCTGCAGAGCGACCTAAGCGGCGATTTCGCTGGCTGGCGCGCTGCAGAGCGACCTAAGCGGCGATTTCGCTGGCTGGCGCGCTGCAGAGCGTCCTAAGCGGCGATTTCGCTGGCTGGCGCAATGCAGAGCGACCTAAGCGGCGATTTCGCTGGCTGGCGCGATACAGAGCGACCTAAGCGGCGATTTCGCTGGCTGGCGCGCTGCAGAGCGACCTAAGCGGCGATTTCGCTGGCTGGCGCGCTGCAGAGCGACCTAAGCGGCGATTTCGCTGGCTGGCGCGCTGCAGAGCGTCCTAGGCGGCGATTTCGCTGGCTGGCGCGCTGCAGAGCGACCTAAGCGGCGATTTCGCTGGCTGGCGCGCTGCAGAGCGTCCTAAGCGGCGATTTCGCTGGCTGGCGCGCTGCAGAGCGACCTAAGCGGCGATTTCGCTGGCTGGCGCGCTGCAGAGCGACCTAAGCGGCGATTTCGCTGGCTGGCGCGCTGCAGAGCGACCTAAGCGGCGATTTCGCTGGCTGGCGCGCTGCAGAGCGTCCTAGGCGGCGATTTCGCTGGCTGGCGCGCTGCAGAGCGACCTAAGCGGCGATTTCGCTGGCTGGCGCGCTGCAGAGCGACCTAAGCGGCGATTTCGCTGGCTGGCGCGCTGCAGAGCGACCTAAGCGGCGATTTCGCTGGCTGGCGCGCTGCAGAGCGACCTGAGCGGAGATTTCGCTGGCTGGCGCGCTGCAGAGCGACCTAAGCGGCGATTTCGCTGGCTGGCGCGCTGCAGAGCGACCTAAGCGGCGATTTCGCATAGCATTATTCTGGGATTGATGCTGCGTGGTTCCACCAGCTCTGTAATCTCGGCTTGGTACCTTTATCCATGATGGACCAGTTAGACGCACTATTTAGAGGGTTATTTGGAAATGGATGCAGCAAGCAATTCACATAGTGGGCCTGACTTGGATATTATTATTCCTTTGTGCTTTTACCGGTACCTTCCCCCTTAAATGTTCAGTATTCTCTGCTACCATAAGTTAAGAGTGATGCTGTTAAGTCGTGGTCGTTCCGCTGTAGTGTATCCCACCTGCGAAACCGTGTCTGCTGTGTGCATTCTGTTTTGCTCCCTGTGTGCTTTCTGTTTTGCTGCTAACGATTTGACGACATGTCTGCGAAGGTATCAGGGAAACCGTTACGCTGGAAAGGAAATTAGTCATTAGAATTGCAGCACTCAAACAGCGGAGGACTCATCCGTAAGACTGAACCACTCTACATCGAGGGCTGGAGATTCAGTGGAGAAGTTAGGAAAACGCGAGGTGGAGTGCAGGAATTCGCCCTGCTTTGTTCCTCCCTGCAACAAGACATTGTGATATAATTAGTATAATTTGTATTGCAAAGCCTCAAGCACCTATATTGCGGTCGACCCTGTATAGATCCCTATCTAGCACAGTTTCAGGGCCCAATTCGGCAGGCATTGTGGCCATTATCTCCATTATCGGCAATTTTAACGGGCCCCCCAAAAATGGCCCCTCAAAACAGCTCTGAAGGCAGCCTGTAGCCCCAGTGCAACTTCGGAAAAATGGGCAGTGCGTTCGGTAGGCATTGTATGGGTGTAGAAAAATGGCATCAACCGTGAGAGGCCCTGCGCAGAAGCTCGGATGCAGGTGCGCTGATGGAGCGCATAAACACTGTACAGGCAGCCCGGGCAGCCCTGCAAACACTGTATAGGCAGTCCGAGGAGCGCATAAACACTGATCAGTGTTCGTGATGGTGTGATTTTCCTGCGGGCACGAAGAGGGGTCCGAAAGTCTGGGATTTGTTTTTTCCAGGGCAAGGTGTGATTGCCCCGAATCACTGATACCCCGCATGGTGCGGGGCCTCGAGGCCGCATGGTGCGGGGGATCAGAAAATGAGCACTTTGCCTGAGAAACCGTGTTCGAGGAAAATTCCTCTGCTAGAAAATGCCGGCTGTAAAAGGGGTGTTCGGTAGGCATTCCATTTGTCAGGTTCGGCGGTGAACCGCTTATATCGAACCTGTATAACCTTTCGCGCGCTTATCAACGAAGGTTCCACAGTGGTCAGTTTTCTGTAGCCCATACGGGGAAACCGTTTTTTTAATGCCTGCCGAACTGGGCCCAGTATAAAGAACGCACAGAGGTTATACGACCCAGACACACCTGTACTACCAAAACAAGCATGTGTTGGAATGAGAAACATAAACATATGGAAAGATGGACTGTACTGACCCGCTACAAGCAGAATGTCAGGCCTCTCTTTCATTGGCTGGATCGACCACCAGAATTCACGGGATTGTCCCCAAGCATTACTCGTCGACAGGGTTTCGGTTACCACTTCGGTGAGGAGACCACACCACAAGGCAGTTACACCTGGTCCGCGGTATTTTAACCAAGTGAACTTTGTTATTTCGAACCTCCTTTTTCGTTTTTGGGTAATGAGATGGGCACCCAGAGACTTCAAGGCTAAGATTCTGCAGCCGAATGCATTTCCTTTTAAAGAAACTCACACTTGATGCTCCGTGATCGAGTGCGAATCGGCATTGACTGAGTTTTGTTTGCCGTCATCTCGCGAAGGGAAAGCTAGATACTACCCTCGCAAACGTTTGAATAAACCCGACTAAATAAGTTCGACAAAGGAGAAGTACCATCGCGTGGTTAAGATAGCGGCGGTTAAAATACCGCGGACCAGGTGTAGTGGCAGGCGAAGAGTCACGACGACTCAAAAAACGAAGATCCACGAAACCCCGACGACGCGCATGCCTTTGGGCTTGAGCAGCAGAGGGCATTCGGGGGGCATCTTGGGATTCCCGACTTCCTATCGTCAAGATACAAAGCCTTGTGAAGAACCTGAACCCGATGTTTAGCTCCTTAGCTCCTCCCTTGTATTTCATAAGGGGCGCCGGCCCTCCAAATTGACGGTGGTCGAACAAAATTTCTCAAAGAGGATTTCCGCAGCTGCTAAAGACATTTTGGGAGAAGGGTAAATTGCCCTTTTTGAAGGTTTCTGTTTGTGAGTTCGTGTCCGTAGGGATGACATGTCAACATTGGCAGTGTCAACCCAAAGCGCGAGGAATTAGAGTGTCAAGAACTGAATCTTCAGCGCAGCAAGGAACCCTGCGACGGAAGCTTATTGGTTGGGCACGAGTTTGAGTACACAGGCGACCCCTTGCACGAACTTGCAGTCGCACGAAGTTCAGCATCCGTCGATTAGGCAGGTGTGGTCGTCGGCAATCTCGATGCCATCAATGTGGTTGGTTGGTTAATTCCTTTATTCTCGCAGAGCTGGAAGTCCGACGAAATTTACAGGCTGGCAGTTTGGTGTCGTTGACACTCTGCCAACAATGTTGGCAAGTGTCAAAATCACAAGTTGACACTCAAAAGCTTGACATGTCATCCCTACGGACACGACCTGAAAGTCGTTTTGTGATGGTTCCAGTTCCACCCAGCCTTATCCACAAGCGTGTGTTGGGAGCGTATCTGTGGCTTGAAGCAGCTCCGTTGTTGCATTACGACCTGCTGCTGGCTCTTCGTCTGCTCTCACTTCATTGAGAGCAGTCCTGGTTGTTTGTATTTTACGGTTGATGGCAGTCGTTCCACCTGAGGACAATAAGTTATTGACAGAGAGCAATGGAGGAGGTGGAACTGATATCGTATATAGGTATCGCGAAAGACGGCGCGATCATAGCGGAGTATGGCAAGGAAGCTGACGTTTTTCGAGATCCTATGTGTAGCGCATTTTCCGAGATTCCTGCTCACGTCTCCCAGTACTCTCTGGTACGAGGCTTGATTATTATTATTATTATTATTTTTTTGTTTAACCATATGACGGCTTATGAGGTATTTGAAAAGTCGTCTCCTCAGTCGCGATTATTGGAGCCTCAAAGCGCGGGTTCTGGTGCTGGAGCCAAGCTTGATACTCTTTAAGTTGCTCGTTGGAATGCGAGACTCTGGATTTTTTCAATAATGGTAAAGCAGCTTGGCGTTCATAGGCGTAGATTGTAAAACAAACCTTGTACTCTCTTTTTTTTTAGCATGTGTGTACGTCGACGACACTTTCGGGAAATCATCGCCATTCTCTTTTTTTTTTCATTACGTTTTATTATTATCGTTATAACATTGCAATGCCTTTTTCTTTTGCACCAAGTCCTGGCCGTCGTCCAGTCCTTATAGCTGACAGTGCTTATGTAATTTCTCCCGTGCTAAACTCCATGCGTCACCTTCCCCCCTTGTTTATTTATTTATTCATTTTTATTTGCCTTGGCAGGGTCACGGAGCCCTTTTGGTTCTGTTCCAGCGATGGTCGTCCGGCCTTGTCTGCTTCCTCATTGGTTACCACCCGTTCGCGAAAGACCAGGCTTGTTCGCTGCTCGCCATCCTGCACAGAGTCCTTCACAAGAATATTCTGTCAGCAAGCGTGGATGCTAGTAACGAAGTCCTCGTTAATAGCGGCCTCGTCAACACCGAAGAAGGCTCGTCTAATTTAGCGAAAAGCTCGGACGATGGCGACGCGGAAACAGGGGCCCTGTCAGCCACGTCGTCGTCGTTTGCCACGTCGACGTCGCGTGCCACGTCAGACACGACCGTTGGCGACGGCGACGCGACTAAGGACGCCCATAAACCCGCCCTGAAAGAACTGTCCGGCGAGATTCTCGAATGCATCAGCCAATCCATGGCATCCACGTCAGCGCGCTATCGTGGCGTGGCGGGGAGCGGCCTACCGTCCTTAGATCCTTATCCCGACGCGCCCGATGCGTACTTAACTAGCGTTCAGGAGCCGCCGCCTTTGCCGGGGAGTGATGGAGATAGCAGTAGCGAGGATGAGGACGAAGCGGCGGGAGTGGCGAGGAGACGGAGGGAGAGGGAGAGAAGGAAGGAGGAGAGGGAGAGGAGGGAGAAAAAAATAGATGATGGGAAGACGGAGAAGGAAAGTGGTGCGGAAGGGGGGATGGCGGATGAGGGGAGCGGGGAAGTGATGGGCGGAAAAGCGGAGGGCGTTGCATCTGAGGGAGGGGGTGGTGGGAGGGAAGGTGGGAGGGAAGGGGGAAAAGGAGGAGAAGGAATGATTGTTGCAGCACCAGCAGCAGAAGCAGCGGAAACAGGAGCAGCAGCAGCAGCAGCAACAGCAGCAACAGCAGCAACAGCAGCAACAGCAGCAGCAGGAAATAGCCGTTTAAAGAGCGCATCTGAGAAAGAGAGTGAGCGAAGAGGGGGACAAGAGGGACGGGAAATAGAGGAGGATCGACCCCAGGTAGTAGACATGTCGGTCGAGGCCCGGGATCTCCCGAGCCTGGCTCCGAACCTCCCGCCGTGGCTCGGCACCCCGCTGCTGGCCGAGGCAGCGGGAGGTACGGCGGAATGCGCGTCCCCCGACATTGGTCGGTGGCGGGAGACGCGCATCCAGGAAAAACAGCGCGCTGCTGGTGGACTGGCGGGGAGGCTAGCAGTGGGGATGAGTGAGAAAGCGCAGGGGCAGGATGGGGAGAGTGAGGAAAGAAAGCAGAACGACCTTCGGCGGCAGCAGCAGCAGCAGCAGCAGGAGAAGGAGCGTGGGAATCACGGGCAGGAGCAGGGGGACGAACGGCAGGGACAGGGCGAGCAGGGACGGGGACAGGGAGAGCAGGGAGCGGGCGAGCAGGGACAGGGGCAAGAGGGGGAAGGTGCTGAGCTGGGTCCCTCGGGCTCGTTTTCCTACTCGGATGGTGCGAAGCAGCAGGAGGGGCAGCAGCAGGGGCAGCCGGGAAAGGATTCTGAGGGGCTGGAGGTAGAAATACTAGGAGCGGATTCGCTGGGCAATGAACCTTTGGAACTTCAGCCGCAGCCACAGCCGCAACCACAGCAGCAGCAGCAGTCACAGCAGCAGCAGCAGTCGAGTATCTGGAGCCGCTTCTCTGGGCGCGCCCCTTCCCCGTCCCGCATGCTGCGCCGAGCTCTCACCCCCCCTCGCTCCGCCCGCACCCCCCCGCGCTCCTCCCCCACTCCCCCCCGTTCCACCCCCACGGCCCCCCGCTCCCCCACTCCCCCCCGCTCCCCCACCGCCCCCCGCTCCCAGACCCTTCCCTTCCCCGTAACCCCCCAAGGTCCCCCAATCACCAGGTGTCCGCGGGAAAGGGGGCGCAGGGGAATGGGGAAAAGGCCGGTTGGCGGAGGAGGCGGAAGAGTGAAGGGGGAGGCGGGATTGGGGGGTGGGCGGAGGGTTTGGGCGCGGAGGGGGGAGGCGTGAGCGGGCGGAGCAGCAGCAGCAGCGCTGGTGATGGGGAGAATGTTGCTGCTGCTGCTGCTGCTGCTGCTGATTCAGATCCACGCACTGATTCTGCTGCCGATGCTGCTGATGCTGCAAGGGCAGCTGCGGAGGCCAATCCACCCTATGCCATGAATCGCAGCAGCAGCACAGATGAAAGCACAGGTCGCTCCACCACCACTGGCACCACCAGTACAGCCAGCAACGCCAGCAACATCACCACCAGCAACACCACCAGCAGCGGCGGCGCCAGCAGCAGCAGCAGCGGCAGCGGTGGCTCGAAGATGGGTCGCTTCATGCGCTGGTTCCCCAAAAAGTCCACCTCAACCTCCACCTCCACCTCCACCTCCACCTCCTCCTCACCCATGCCTCTGCCCCCCGATCCCTTGTCTTCTGAGTCCCTTGAACCACCACAAGGCTTGCCGTCGCCGTCTCCCACTGACCTTCCTTTGTCAAGCGACGCTGCACCCGCCCCCCCTCTCGCTCATTCCACTGACCCTCGTTCCGCTGACCGTCCTGCTCCTAACATGCCCACTGATGGAGTTTCTCCCGTAGCTGAGCCTGCTGATTCAGCTGGGGCAGCTACTGCTGTAGCGGCTGTAGCAACTGTAGCGACTGTGGCGGCAGCACCTTCCAGCCAATTAGCAGCTACAGCAGCTGATAGGGTCAATCCACGTGGCACTCCAAGCTCGCCACGTCAGCCGCAAGTCAAGGAGGACTATCCAGCCCCGCCTCCCTCCGAACCTGAGTCTGAACCGGTTTCCGAGCCTCCATCCGAACCAGCTTCGGAGCACCTTTCCGAGGCTGTTTCCGAGCCTGCAATGGGTTCGGGAAGGGAGGTTCGGGAGCACCACCCTAGGATTCCCAAATCTGACAGTAATGATGGGAGGAGAGGGGTTATTGTGACTATAAAGGGCCCTCCGTTTCCTGTTTTTTGCACTACTGGTAATACTGTAGATTCTCCTGATAACGTTGCAGCCGAAGCTAATATAGGTTTCGCAGCAGCTTCGGGGGATTCTGGACCGATATCAGGCTCGGCAGCAGGTCCAGCAGATGGCTCGGGTGGAGCAGGGAGAGCTCGACGGAGGTTCGGTGTTTTCCGAAGCGCATCGACCACTGGTTCGGCATCAGGAGGAGGCGAGTTTCGGGAGTATAAGACCTTCAAAGAACATCTTATGGAGATGCACAAGCCGCAGCAAAAAGAGTCACGCAATAAGGAGGACAACGAGCAGAAGGAGAAAAAGGAGAAAAGGGAGAAGAGGGAGAAGAAGGAGATGAAAGAGATGAAAGCAGAGGAAAGCGATGGGAGAGGAGAAAAGCAGCATCGGGAGAAAAAGGTCCTAGGCCTTGGGCTGGGTCTAGGCCTCCCATCACTCTCCACCTCCTCTCCTTCTACCTCCCCATCCACCCCCTCAGACCCCTCCTCGTTATCACACTCTTCTGACTCGCGCCTCCCCCTCACGCCGCCCACACGATCCCCCATCCGCTCCCCCATCTCACACTCCTCCCCTCTCTCTGCTTCCACTACTCCTGGCCGGCACAGTCATCTCAGAACCGGCATCAGCAGCCGCAGCAGCAGCAGCGGCGGCACCAGCTACAGCCCAAACCATGGCATCAGTGCGTCTCATTCCGCATCAGGTTCGGAGAGAGGCTCGGCGTCAGGTCCGGGGACAGGTTCGTTCCGGTTTATCAACCAGTCGATTGGTGCGGCGCAGCGTGCTCACAGGCTGGCTGCTCACTCCATCCGCGTTGTAGGGCCTAAGAGGCTGGCTGCTGCTGTTGCTGCTGCCAAGCAGAAACAGCATCAGCAGGATCAGGATCAGGAGCAGGGGCAGGGGCAGGGGCAGGGGCAGCAAGGAACAGATGAAACAGGAGCATAAGCAGGAGGTGGAGCAGGATCAGGAATTGGAGAAGGACAAAGAGCAGACGAATCAGCAGCAGGAACAGGAGCAGGGGGAGCAGCAGAAGAGGCAGGAAGGGGAGCAGCATCAGAAGCAGAAGCACAGGCGCAGATACAGCCTGAATGACGGAGAAAACGTGAAGGAGTTGGTGGGGGAGGGAGAGAGTGTGGACGAGGGTTACAGGGGGGGGAGTAAGGGAGCAGAGGGAGAAGAGAGGAGTGGTGTAAGAAGAGAGGGGGTTGGGGGAACTGGAGAAGGAGGGGGGACAACAGCAGCAGCAGAGGTGCCAGCAGCAACAACAGCAGAAACACCACCAGCAGCAGCACCACCAGCAGCACCACCAGCAGCATCATCAATAGCACCAGCAGCGCGCACAAGAAAAGGGCCACCAAAATCAGCTCCTTTGATTCTACCACCCGACCCGGCAGAGGGACCAGAACCATCACTCCATTCCGCCAGCCCAGCCAGGCTACAAGCCCAACAACCGCAACAAGCTCAACAAGCCAATCTCACCTCCCCATCCGCTTCCACCCACACGCCTGCACACCCTCTCATTCCATCGCTCTCCCCGTCTCCTTCGCCCTCCCCGCGCTCTCGCAAGGTGCCAGGCCCGGTGCAAACCACAGTGGAGGCGTGGGCATGGCTGTTTGGCCGGGCAGTGTCGGCAGGGGGGATGGTGGGGGCGGGGAGGCTGGGGAAGAAACAGGGGGGGCGCAAGGGGAGTGGTGCAGGGGAGGAGGCGGAAGGAGAGGGGGAAGGGGCAGGGGAGGGGTTGGTGAAGGGTGGGGAGGGAGGGGAGGAGGTGAGGAGTGGAGGGGGAGGGGGGGAGGGAGGGGTGTATTTAGGATTGGAGGGAGGGAGAGAGAGTGAGGCGGAGGGTGTTGGTGTTGTGGGGAAGGGTGAATTAACTGGGAAAGATGGGGTGGGGGAAGCAGGAGGGAGTGGTGGTCGGACTGTAGAAGCAAGTATGGTTGCCACAGCATCAGTGGCATAGAGAATCTTTCAGCATCAGCATCAGTATGACGCCAGCTTGTCAGCATGTCAAGCTTGAATTGCCTATGTGTGAGTTACGGTATGAGGACTAAATCGATAGAATCTGCTTTAGGTAAACTAATCTGCGTGTTGGTTGGGTCGGGAGTATGGTGGGTGGGGGTTTCAAGTTTGTGTGCGTATGTAGATTGTGTGTGCGTGCAGATTCTGAATATGAGCTGTGCTTGTATGCTATTTAGCAACTGGAGTTGATGAGGTGTATTACGTCAGAACTAACCTGTATTTCCATTTTAACGCGCAATGAATTCCATATGTGGTGTGGGGTTTATATCCCAGCCCTTAGATTATAAAATACATACTATTTACAGGCCTTGCAAACAATCTGCTAGAGAGTACGTAATACTACAGGCAAACCTGCTCTAAGCGAGTACCCGTGCATCCTCCCAACCCATTTCTTCCAGAACTCACTACCTCCTCCCTCCACAAGTGCCGCTGCACCCATGGGTGAGTCAGCACCTTCGCAGCAGACGGTCGGCGCGCGGGGTCCTTTTGAAGCATACACATTATTAGCATCTTCGCTTCTGCGGACACTCCCTCCCAAGAACCGCCGGGGAAGCTTACATGCTCGTGCAGGATAGACTCGAAAATTTCCACGTTCGAGTTTCCCCAAAATGGCGGGCGACCGCTAAGCATGACGAAGAGAAGAACCCCCAGCGACCAGACATCCGCGGCGTAACCGTATTCGCCGGTGAGAACTTCGGGAGCAACGTAAAGCGGAGATCCCGCCGCGCCGCGAGCCACTTGGTGTGCTTCCAGCTCGATCGCGAGCCCAAAATCCGCGATTCTGACAGCGAGGAAATCGGCGTTGCCCTCGTTACAGTCTGCTTCGTTACAAGCCCCACTTTCGCTTGGGAAAACTGAGTTACTAGGGATACTCTCCATGCTTAAGAGAATGTTTTCTGGTTTCAAGTCGCGGTGCAGCACGCCGCGCGAGTGGCAGAACGCGACACCGGATGCGAGCTGCCAGAGAACCAGCGCCGCCTCTTCCTCTGTTAGCGAACCGCGTTGGGCGATCACGCCGAAAAGCTCGCCCTCGTCGCACAGATCCATGACCAGGTGCACTGAATCTGCGTCCTCGAAAACTCCGCGAAGCTGCACCACGCATGGGTGGTTCGCGACTCGCGACATCGTCCGAACCTCCCGTCGAAGCTTGTCCCGAGCGTCCTCCGTCAACAGCTGCCGTTTCGAGATGGACTTGCATGCGAAGGGTAACCCGGTTTCGCGGTGCACGCAGTGACGAACTGTACCGAATTGTCCCGAGCCGATGATTTCAGAGTCGAGCGCGAAAAATGTGTCGATACCTTGTACGGACGGCCCGAAAATATTTTCGCAAGATGGTCTGCGATCGTTGCACTCGAGGAGAGTCGACGAGGCGGATTGGATGGAGTAATCGCCGCGTGCACAAGGGCGAGCACAGTCGCTGCGCGAATCGCACACGCGTTGCATCTTCTCTGAACGAAAACGTCGTGATTCGGACGCGGTACTAGTAACGTCTGTATGCTTTCGCTTTCCTCCAGAGCACGCGGTGTAGGATTGCGATTGCGTTCCGCGGACCGTCATAGTTACAGTGCAAGCAGGCTCTGACTCGGAGGAAACCATGGCCGTGTTTCTAATGTTACCTTGAAGGTAGAAATATGTTTCTCTCAGTCGCTGGAACACTTTCTGGTCCTCACTGGATTCGCGACTGATAAAAGGAGCCCAATAACTGTGACTGCGGACCGTCAGTGGTCAAAAAAGGCACTTACGTATTTATGAACTACTTGGAATAGGAAGGCAATGGATTATAAACGGTAACCTTCGCTGCGCATTAGCCAGGCGTTAGCCGCCTCAGGAGTCAGGACCTATCAAAGCCCGAAGGGACGATGAGGGTAGAACTGGCTGGGGGGCGAAGGAGGGCTGAGTGCCGAGTGTGGAGGGGCGAACGGCGAACAAGAACGGAGAGATAGAGTTACCACAGCTTCACGAACGAGGGCTGTGCGCGAATTGCTGATTCGCGAATCCCGTTCGAGTGAGGCCAAGCATCACCGCCATACTGGCATTGATTCGGGCGCGATTCGCAGTGGTGCCTCACGCAATGGGTATGCATCGAATCGAACATGATCTGCTTCGTTTACCTTCCATACAAAAGAAACAATTTTCAACATGTCTTCAACGAAGTTTAGACTACACAAGATGTCCAACCCCTGCACGCGAAATTGCCTCGCACGTTCCAGAAACCTTGCACACGAAGGTTTTTTCCCGGGCAGTTGCACCCACGTTACAAGCACGTCAACCAATACGAACCACAGAAACAGAAGAGACCGAAGTCAAACAGTCAACGGTGAGTTACAAAATTTTGCTATAAGCCCTTTTTGCCCGACGCGAATTGACGAAACCTCCACGAAATGCATGAATCACTTAAGCGCCCCCTTCACAAGGCAACCTTGGGTTAGTCAAACGGACATCGTGTGTACCTCACCAATCGTAACCGAAGTTAGGAACAAGATGTCCATGGTATTTTTTGCAACTAGGTGTACGTTGAAGATGGTGTGGCTGGATATCAGTGGTGCACATCACTCCAGTCCACAGATTGCAGTCGGCGAAAATGTGGATGGATCTGGGCTGCGAATCTGCGATGTGGTTTGCGGAGAAGCAAAAGAATCTGCACAATTCTGTTGTGCCATCAAACACCGCCAATAGTATTGAAAGTAGATCCGGTGCGCGGCACAGTGACTGTACAAGTTTCGTTACAGTCTGTTTGCAGTGCGAACGTATGTGATGATGCCACATTATAATAACTCTAATCACTCTAATCACTAAGGATATCTGAATATCACCAAGCCCAACTCCCTATTTTTCAACGTGATTGAAATTACGTGGATCACAATTGTCCTGCACATTTCGTCATTACAGCGTTTCTTTTTTAATTTTTTTCCCCTAGAAAGAATCACTATTTTTATATTTTATTCCCTTCTTCAGGATTTCCGTAGTCATTTTTTTTTTAAATTTCTCACACATATACAGATATGTACCCTGGAAACATTGCTGATGGATATGAGACCTTAAATGCAAGTCGGGTATGTGACACCACCAGTTGTATTTTTTTTAACAAAGTGTAAAAACAGCTAAAGAATCTGCCTCTATCGCATATACTCTCCTTGCTGCCGTTTACTCGGCATGGGTATGAGCAGCGAATCAATGGTTTTCTCGGCATGCGGGCATTCGTCCTATCCACCAGCTGCCAACCAGAATGGTGACGTTTCCCGCGCTGTACAGCTTTGAAGCAGGCAGAGTCCTTCGCCAGCTTGGTGACGTTAGTTGAGGAAATTTCGTCCCTGGCCTTCACGAAACTGAAAGGACGCGACGCATCATGAGCTCTTTGGACCGCCTCACAGGTGGTGCTTGTTCTCCCACTGTCCGCGCATTTGACCAGCTGGATTTTAAACAGTACAAATGATGCTCGTTTGACTAACCCAAGGTTGCCTTGTGAAGGGGGCTCTTAAGTGATTCTTGCATTTCGCTAAGTTTTCGTCAATTCGCACTTAGCAAAAAGGGCTTATAAAAAACTTTGTAACTCGCCGTTGACCTTTTGACTTCAGTCTCTTCGGTCAAGCTTTGTTTCTGTGGTTCGAATTGGTTCAAATCGCTGCAACTTGCTCGAGGCGCTTGTAAGTGGGGTGCAACTGGCTGGCAATAAATACACGCGTGCAGAGTATCTGGCGCGTACAGGGCAAATTCGAGCGCAGCGGTTGAGCAACATGTGTAGCCGCCCGCCACCGCCTGGACGGAATTGCACATGACTTCTTTGCTTGCGCATGATTTGCACTCACATGCAAGCAGTTTCATCTCATTGCACGTCAATTCTCAGCACTTAAAATGATGGCTTCTGTCACATGACATAAGAACTCTGCTGAAGTCGAATCTCTACAGTACATTGAAGAGTCTTGTTTGGGGCTTTTTCATTTTGCCAAATCAGGGTCTCTTCGGACCCAGGAGAAAGGTTTCCCTTACGAACCAAGCGTCTCACATATGCCGCTTGAATTCGAGTCATACTGTAAAACATTTTCATCTCTGACAATTAGCCCGATGCCGCCCATTTCACGTTTTTTTTCTCGAAATCTGGTAGTAAATAACCACTACCCGCTCAGAATGGTGGGGGTAGGGCTGGGTACGTGGTGCAAATTATTTGTAACTTCTTGTTGAGGTATTGAGTGGGACCATACTGACCAGTCAAGGAATCTGTATGAAGTTGACTCTAAAATGCAGGGCTGCCGAAACCATACCCGTTCACAAAGCAGGTGGTCCCTGCCCCTCAATCTCCCACCGAGTACTTCACGTAGGCCCCGAATGCTCGAATCCCAGGAGCCGCAAAAATCATGAGGGAAGCCTTTTGTGTCGGTGACTCGGTTCGCAGATCGGTTCAAAATATAAACACTATGGTTTGAAGCCATTACTCCTGGAATCGATACTGGGCCGATGGACTCCCTAGATCACGTTGTGGACGCGACACAGCTTGCGAGCAGGTTCATTTTCAGGTGGATCATCATGGTCATCCGGAACCGCCATTTCTCACAATCTGGTTAGATCCTATGCTCTGCTGTCATTCGATCTCGCGCGTCAGTTTCAGCTGTCACATGGGCAGACGTGTGCTGCTGATGATGGCATAGCTGCTTATTTCCAGCTACAGTGCTGTTCTGTGCAGCCCCCTTGCGTGCTGGACGCTGCTGCCAGTGTCCAAATAGAAGTCACGTGCAGGATTTGCTGCTTTGAGACAGATGGGTACAAACAGATTTGTAATGGTTAAACGTTTTATAGACTGGTAAGGTTTGGTCAGACCTGATTACGCGCCTCATTTTGGCAGCATGGCTTGAGAATCGAGGATTCGCAAGTTTCTGCCAGAAGTTTTCAACCACTGGCGCATCCAATCCGGTCCCAAGCAGTTTCCGTCGCTGCATCGTCATGCCCTTTCTGAACAAGGGACACGCTGTTCCTTGCCTCTCCAAGAAGCTCCCAACCGTACTGTAACCAGCTGGCTCTGACTCCAACCAACCAACAAGCCCGTTTCACCCACTTTCCAAAACCGCCACCATCGTCGACTACATAACCAAGTCCCACTGTTGTCTGTCACTCAACTCAACCCGACAGTTTCTGACATCCGAACACATACCTCCCGTGGTTCCCTCCGAGACCAGCTTAGCAGCTCCTCTCGCTCCCAGTCACTCCACTCGCATTTTCTGAATTACGCTCAAAATCAGTCCCAATGGAAGCCTCTGCCAGTGCCGTTCCGGCCCAGCGCTCGCACACCCTCCGCGCCCACAGCAAGCGGAAAGCCGAGTCTACTGATGCATCCGCGACTGAGGGCCCTTCGGCAAAGCATTCCTGCCCCAGCCGTTTCTCGACGTCCGCCGCGACTTTCTCCGTCTTCGACATTCCCACAGGCCACCTTCTTGACCATTTCACGCTCGAACCCACCGTCCTGGGCGCCGGCCAATACGGTACCGTCCGTCAATGCGCGGACAAACTAACCGGCCAACGGTTCGCGTGCAAGACGATTCAAAAGAGCCGTCTGGTGACGGATGCAGCTCGCACTGAAGTCCGACGCGAGGTCGCTCTCATGTCTCGCGAACCACCCAGGAGTGGTGGGCCTACGAGCCGTTTTCGAAGACGACAAGGAGGTGCACCTGGTGATGGATCTGTGCGAAGGCGGCGAGTTATTCGACGAGGTTGTGCGACTCGGGAGACTGTCGGAGCGCGACGCGGCGCTCATTTTCCGGCAACTGTCCTCTGGTGTCGCTTTCTGCCACTCGCGCGGCGTGCTGCATCGCGATCTCAAACCCGAAAACATCCTCCTCCACAGATCAGCCCCATCCGGCGCCGTCCCCGCATCTCCCGCCGCCGATCCCGCTCTCGCCGCGCCCCAGTCCCTGGAATCCCGCGGCCTGACCGCTAAGATCGCAGATTTCGGTCTTTCGATCGCTCTGGATAACGGACGCATGGGTTACGGTACAGCGGGCTCGCCCTTTTACATGTCGCCCGAGGTACTCACTGGCGAGTACGAATACGCCGCGGATGTGTGGTCTCTGGGGGTCATTCTCTACATTATGCTCTGCGGCCGACCGCCGTTCTGGGGAAAAACCGACGCCGCGGTGTACGATGGGATTCTGCGCGGGAAACTGGACTTCTCGGGCCCCGCGTGGGCGGGAGTGTCGGTCGAGGCGCGCAGCCTGATTCGCTGCATGCTCCAGAGCGACCCGAGGCGGCGCCCGACGGCAGTGAAGGTGCTGAGTCACCCGTGGGTGCTGCTGCACCTGTACGGTATCCGCGCTGTAAGGCAAACCGTTGTTAGCAGCGAAGCGGAGTCGAGCGCGAATCACGTTGTGGTTTCAAATGGCGCTGCGGCTGCTCCTGCTGCTGTTGGCGCCGGTGCAGCTCAGCATGCTGCTGCGTGCTGACTAACCAGGAGAGGATGACGCGAAGCAGCGCTGCGAAGTCACGACGCGACCTCCAGAAATGCGTGTTTCTACGAGGCGCGAATAATCGATTAGCTGCCCCTGTTGGAAACTGTGGGGTCGAGGTCAATTGCTTTGACCTACATATTGTTTAGGACCTAATTCCTGTACAAAAATTCCTCCATGTTCTCAATGGAGCATAACTTCTGGCGAGCATAATTACACTTTCCACCCTGTCTCGAGAAATCAGCTACCGCAAAGCAAAAGTTGTGATAAAGCAAAGGCAATAATTTGCAACATAGTGAAATATCGGGATACCCTCGATACAATTTCGTTACAGTCAGTGAAGCTCTTCATCCAATCGTCTCCCATGAAACCATCAAGCAAGGGCTTTCCATTCCACCCCCCGCCACGCAGCGCCACGCCAACCCCCCTCCAACGGTTCCCCCGACTCCCCTCCAGCGGTTCCAATCGAACGCCTTTCCAGCGGTTGGACCCTCCAACCGAAACCTCCAGCCGTTTTAGTACGCCAGTAGTGATGACCAAGCACGCGCGGCCGACGCGTCATACTGTCGCAGCACCATGAATTAGTCCACACGCGTCTCTCTCTCGCTAGTATTTCTTCCGCCACCCTCTTCCGCCACCCTCTTCCGCCACCCTCTTCCGCCACCCTCTTCTGCCACCCTCTTCCGCCACTCTCTTCCGCCACCCTCTTCCGCCACTCTCCCCCGCCACCTCCGCTGGTAATCCAACATCACAACCTGCACTAATAGCAGCATCGCTACCGCCGTCGCAACCGTTGCCGCCACACGTCGCAAACCCCTACGCAGACGATCCGTAAGATGCGCGTCGCAGATGCCACCGCGGCGAGCTCGCATCTGCTAGACTCTAATGCCGATCGCCGAGTCGAACGCGACGATCGCGGCGGAAGCGCCGCTTGCGCTGCTGCTGAAGTGGGCGGAGATGGCGGACTTGGCGCCGCTGCGGGGAATGCGCGCAGAGATTGCGGAGACGGCGGAAGCGCGGAGAGGGGGGGCGAGGGAAACGCGGAAGGGCAGGATTGCGGAAGGGCGGAGCAGAACGACGGGGGAGGGGGAGCCGCCGCCCCCGCGGATCCCCCCCATCGTGTTCGGTTCATGCAGCTGCAGAAGTTTCTGAGAAGCTGCGATGAGTCGGACTATAGCGCCCTCACCACATGTACTGCTCTATCTTGTTGCGTCTGTGTATGTCTGAAGCCACAACCACACATACCAACAACCCCTCCCTCTCTTTTCCCCTCCCCCTTGTATCCCTCCCTTCCCCTCCCCCTCTTCTCCCCACCCTCCGACCCCATTTCCCGTCTTCCTTATCCTACTCAACCGCCTTTTGTGTGACATCACCTCGTACATGTTAGCATAGAGTTGTAGGTACACATATCAGCTCCTCCTGAGTGGTTGATCCCGAAGACCACCTCCAAACATTCATGGAATCGAGATCAGGGAATAAAATCGGCTCTACACTCACAGAACGAGAGGAGAAGGAGTGTGGAGCCGATTTTATTCCCTGATCGTGATTCCATGAAGGCCTGGAGGTGGTCTTCGGGATCGACGTTTTTCACTCTCTATTTCGCCCTGTTTCTCACTCTCGTACCCCTCCCCCCCTGCCTCCTCCATTTTGCCTTCTTTTCCCCGCTTCCCCTTCCAGCGCTGCTGGCCATGTCAGCGTGGGACCGCAGCCAGTCCCCTTATCTCCCACTCTTTCCCCTCTCCCACTCCTCCCTTCCCCCCCTCCACTTCCTCTCCTTTCCAGCGCTCGTCAGCATGGGACCGCAGCCAGTTCGCCGCCCACATCCTCCCCGCGTCCCCCTCGCTTCCCCCCTTTCCCCTTTCATGACGTCCCCCCTGTGCGCTCCAGCGCTCCTGGCCATGTCAGCGTGGGACCGCAGCCAGTTCGCCACTCTCCCCATGCTCCCCCTCCTCCCTTCCTTCCCCCTCCCCCCCTTTTTTTTCCTCCCCCTGTACCCTCCAGCACTCCTGTCCATGTCAGCGTGGGACCGCAGCCAGTTCGCCGCCCACACGGAGAAAAGGGCACTGCAACTGGGGGCGGAGGAAGGTGAGGGGAGAGGGGGGGAGAAGAGGGGAGAGTGCGGCAATGGTTCAGATGGAAGGGGGAAAGATGTGTGGGCATGAGTAGGGAGTTGGCTGTGCAGTTCGCCGCCCACGCGGAGGAAAGGGCGCTGCAGCTGGGGGCGGAAGAATGTGAGGGGAGAGAGGGGATGGGGGAATGGGGCCTGGACGGGAGAAGGGGAGGGGGGTGAGTGGGCTGTTCAGTTTTCTGCCCATACAGAGAAGAGAGTGCTGCAGCTGGGGTGGAGGAAGGTGAGGGGGGGCACTGCGGCTGGGTTAGTGGGAGGCGAGGCGAGGGTGGGATAGGAATCAGTGAAAGAAGGACTTATGGAGAGAGCTTGGAGAGCTGGGAGGCGAGAGGAGAGGAGGGCGGGAATGGGATGCAGGAATGGAATAAGTTTCACGGGCTGAGAGTTTTGCACGTCCAAGTTGCCACTTGCAAGTACGGCAAGCAAGGTGACTTTTGAGTCGACTCAAAAGTCACCTCAAGGGCTGAGAGTTTTGCACGTCCAAGTTGCCACTTGCAAGTACGGCAAGCAAGGTGACTTTTGAGTCGACTCAAAAGTCACCTCAAGGGCTGAGAGTTTTGCACGTCCAAGTTGCCACTTGCAAGTACTTTTGAGGCGCCTCAAAAGAGTTTTGCACGTCCAAGTTGCCACTTGCAAGTACGGCAAGCATTTCCCATGTTGTCTCTTCCATTTTCGCCTTACCTCCCTCCCTACCTTCCTCTCCTGCCCCTTCACCTGCTTGTATCAGCCCTTGAAATGAAGCGGGTGAAGCGGCTCAACGTGCTCGGGATGAGACGGCAAGCCAGCAACCAGCAGAGCACGCACGCTCAACCCTTAGAGTCACACCCACTCCCGCCACAGTCACACCCACAACCACCACAGTCACATCCGCTTGTGTCACATTCTCAGACACAGGTGGAGCTGCAATAGAGGGCACAGTAACTCAGAACAATCACACGTACAGTCACACTCAACGCAGCATCACCAAAACCGTGCAGCACCATTTCCAACTCCAATTACAGTGCTCCATAGAGAAAGCCCCTCGTTTCAGTTGCATCAGTCAGGACAGCTGCATCCGATAAGGCAACGCACTTGCAGCATCCCTTTCAGACGAAGCGCTTGCCTGCTTCACTTCCCAGCACTTTGGACAATGCGAATTATTAACAAAGCAAACATTTTTTCTGGCCATGTCGCGTACCGTTTGTTCCACTGCTATTGCACCTGTGTAGTTCTCATGAACTGATATTCTTATATGTTGTTAAGAGGAGTATGTGATTTGTTTATGAACTATGTTATCAATTCAGTCTAAACAGATCGTCCTTATATTCGGCTTTTAGCGAAGAAAGTCTCTGCTTGGGCGGCGAGAGCGCCAAACTGACACTTTGCGAAATGTCGACGAAGGCTTTTCGAGGCTTCGCTTTTCCCGTTTCATCGTGGCTCGGCGTCGGCGATGGTACAGTATTGACGAGTTTGGCACGTGGTCCCCCTTGAATGGATAACTTTCTCGCTGACCACCGCCAGTTTGGCGCGCTTTTATCCAGACTGGCTGCATTTGACTCGAGTCGACGCGCAAAACGACAACTGCTGGTTGTACAGCTCAGCCCCAGCGCGTCGGAGACTCCAATCAGGTGCATCTGTGGACGGAAGCGCACTGCAATTCAGGCTCCCTCTGTCCAATTGGCGGCCGAAATGGCATCACCTCCCGAGGCGTCATTCACCGCACATGGCGGCACTCTTGTTCTCGTGACTCCTCCCTGGCTCGTGACTTGTGAGTCGTGGCTCTCGTCGCTGGTTTCATTGTGGCTTGAGAAAGCACGCAAAGCATATTCCGCACAGCACAAAAGGAAGCCGCATATAGTCCTCCTCATTAGCGTCAAATCAGCCAGTCATACTTTCAAGAGCCCACAGCGGACCTCCTTGGTTTCTTCGCCTCCTAGCACTGAATCTTAACCTTAGTCTCCTCAACATCGGAACTGGATCGCGTTCAGCCATCCCGTCTTATTACCGATTGTTGTCACGGATTGTTCGGAAAATGGCCACCGATACGCTTTCGTTTTTGCCTGCTACGGACTTACATAAGTTGGTAGCAGCCTCAGCCGCTGCAACGAACTGCGGATCTTCTAGTTCTCGTATGGAACCTCCACGTCGATTGGTCGTCCGGGACGGATGCGACAACAGCGAAGTTCTGGCATATGTTAAAGCTCTAACCGGATCCATCGGCAGCAGTCGCCTATTCGGACTAAATTTGCCCTTCGACGGATTAAAGCCTAATCGTCCCTCAATCGGAGACTGTTTCCGCTTCGGAAGGGAGCTTGGGCGAGGCCACTTCGGTGTGGTGCGAAAATGCTCGGACAAGTCGACGGGAGAGCATCTAGCATGCAAGACGATTCTCAAGGACAAGATACAGGTACGCAATTCTTCTCCACCCTTTTCTCAGGATGCAATCAGGTAGTCGCGATCCGCTGATTATTTATTTTATATTCTCAATTACGCAGAAAGAAGAGGACCTGAGAGAGTTCGCGGCGGAGATGACGACGATGATTCACCTGCACGGCACGCCCGGGCTGGTTCAGCTGCGGGAGATATTCGACGACGACTTGGCGGTGCATCTGGTCATGGAGTTCTGCCAAGGCGGCGACTACTTCGACCACATTGCGCGGAAGAAGCGACTCTCCGAAGGCGAAGCGGCGAATATCTTCAGGTACAGAGGCATCCGGCGTTTCAGATGTAAAGGCGTTAGAAGGCTCGTGGTGCATCGCGTTTCAGCCTTTTGAAATCTCTAGGTGTTGTAAGCAAGTGGTGGGTTTCGAGAGTATCAGAAGGCTAACCTAATTTTCGTGCAATCATTTAATTTTTGTTGGCAGGCAAGTGGTGGTTTCCGTCAACGCCATGCACGCTAAAGGTTTCGTCCATCGCGATCTCAAGCCGGAGAACATCCTCATCGCGAAGCCCGCGTCGCACTCAAACGAGGATGTCGAAGTGAAGATCGCGGACTTCGGGCTCGCAATCGCCGTGAACGAGGGAAAGGGAATCAAAGGAGTCGTCGGCAGTCCGTTTTATATGGCGCCGGAAGTTATCAAGGGGAAACTCTATGGTGTCGAAGTCGACGTGTGGAGCCTCGGAGTTATCCTCTACACTAGCCTCGCAGGTATTGACTGCAGATGAATTCCATAAGTTTCTAATGTTTTAAAAAGCTAACGAGTTCTAAGATATTTCCGTTTTTTTCCTGATTACCGAAAATAACATCTGACACTCTCTTCCATCGCTTTTCTTTCAGGCGTCCTTCCGTTTTGGGGGAAGGGTCACCAAGCCGTTTTCACCGCCATCTGCCGCGCTCAGCCGGACTTCGATCGCAGTCCATGGCCGTTGATCTCCACCGAGGCGAAGCATCTCATCCGTCGGATGCTGACGCTCGACCCGACGAAACGTATACGCGCGTGCGACATTCTCGAGCATCCCTGGATGAAGTCGGCCCACGCGAACGGCGCTCCGCGACGTCGCAGCAGCCTTCTGCGAAAAGTGTTTGGCGATATCTCGGTTCAGTGGCCCGCGAACCTGATTCCTGGAATTTCCGGACTCGGAGGGGCCGCTCCTGCTCCGGCTCCTGCGTCTACACCTGCGGATCTGGTTGCGGCGAGCGACGACAGCAAGGCGAAGACGCCTTCCGCCGATGGACACGCGCCGCCCGCCAAGGACTCTGCTTCGGGAAGCGCGGCGGTTATGGATGCCACGTCGGACGTTGCGCCGACGCGCGATAGCGACGAGAAGTCATCGGAGGCGGTCGTTCCAATAATGGTTCCAGCTCCGGTGGTGAAGGGATATATGGCGAACAACGCGGGGAGCGGAACAGCGGCTTTGCGCGCGCTGAAGCCCGTTCCAAACCAATCGAGGGAGAATGGGGGGGTCACGGCGGCGGGTGTTCCGCGCTTCAACGCTCTGAAAGCTGCATGTATCGGCGCGGAGAATCATCCGCCAGCGGGGCAGCAGGTTCTTCTGGTTGAGCCAGAGTCTGCTCCTCGAGAATGTCCTACGGGTGGAATATCTGTTGATATCAAGGCGGGTTGCGTTTTTAGCAACGATTCAAGCGACGGGTGTAGCGATTCTACAGTCTACAGTGACGGAAGTGCCGAGGTTGGCGAATTCAGCAGCGACGACAGTAACCCGAGTCAGCTGCGCGAAGAATTCTTGCCGTCGCCAAGGACCCCGCCTTCGCGAAGATCTGGAGCAGCAAAAGAGCGGGAAATTGTTGGCAACAGTCACAACGGTCAGAAGAACCGTCAGATCCAGAATAACCATCAGCTTGCCCACTCCATCGCGCACCCGTTCCCCGGCCTTTACGCGTGTCCCAACTCGCCTAGTTTCACTCCGTCGCCGTCCGCTATCGCCGGCGCGAATGGCGGTCATCAGCTTGGTCCGTTCGCGTCTGGCGTGGGGTTCTGCTGGCCTGCCGGGATTTTCAGTCCGCCGGATAACGTCCGCGGTAGCATGTGTTTGCCAGATCAGCAGCAGCAGCAGGCGTCGCCGATGTCGCCGAGTCTTCCGCCGGAGATTGGGTTCCCGGAGCTGCAGCCTCTGCCGCCGACGCTCCACTCCGCCTTAGGTTCGGAATCCGCGTTGACGACGCTACCACTACCGATGCCGTCGCCGGTTTCGTCGCACGGTTTCGTGATGCCTGGGCCGTCGCAGGCAGACGCGGCGGGTCCTGATGCGGCGCATCTTATGGCGGTTCCTTCGATTTCGGACGGCATCCCTGTTTCACCGTCGCAGCTTTCCCCGGCTGCCACCCTTTCATCCGTACCGGAGTCCGTCGCGCTGGAGATCGACCTTGGCGACGCCGGCGACTGCGACGGCGACGATGGAGAAGGAGGAGATCCGGTGACGGAGATGGCAGCAGATGCTGTGTCGGGGATGGCGGCGGAGATGGCGGAAGACGCGGTGTCGGAGATGGGAACGGGGTCGCTCGAAGACCTGCTGGCCGCCGCCTTGGCGTTTGACTGCCCGTCCAGCAGCGGAATGTCTACTTCCGCGTCGCCCGCGTCGTCCGCGTCGTCTCGCTCGTCCTCGTCGTCGTCGTCGGATGTTAGCGCCGCGTTCAGCCTGGGCAGCAGCAAGCTGTCGTGGACCGGCTTCAACCCCCCAGCGCTCCCCGCGCTGCCCTCCCCCGCGCCGCTGCCCGCTGCCCCCGCGTGGCCGCCCAACGCAGAATTAGCGCCGCTGCGGCATGAGGTGTCCCTGGATCCGCAAGGCACGCCGGTTTTAGAGCAGGCGGGTGTTGATAGCCCGAGTCCGTCTTCTGCTGGTGGCTTGCTCGTCGCTTCTCCAGGGTCTCTCGTTGCCGCTCCCTGCACGCTCGCCGCAGCTGCTATTCAACAGGGTCCGCAGGGTCGTAGCCCAGGGTCCGTTTTGGAAGGGGTTGGAGCATCGCCAGAGAGCAGTTCTCGAGTAGGAGCAGGAGCCGCTGCTGGAGCTGCTTCTTCTGGTGCTGGTTCTGCTGGTGTTCGTCGTCCTCCGCTTCCTTCTCAGTGTCAGCCTAATCGTGGTGCTGCCTCTGCTCCTGTTGCTGCTGGCAGTGGTGCAATGGCTAGGGGCGGAGAGGGGCGGAAGGTGCAGTCGGTTGGGTGTAGCAGTGGTGCAGCTCTGTTCTCAGGGCCGCTGGGGCTTGGAGGGAGCTCTGCGGCTGGTGCAGTTGCCTTGGCCATCAGCAGGAAGCAGATGAGGTGAATGCGGGAGCAGGATTCAGAGGAGTTTAGAGAATTGGGGAGGATACAGGGGCAGTGAGGACCAGTGAAGTACAATAACGCTGGACAGCTTTTTTTGGAAATTTTTATTCATATCCGCGGTTATTTATGATTACTGGTAGCAGGGGCAAGCGTAGCGGTCTAGCAGACTAGCAGTCAACATATGGTTGGCGCCAATCTAGTGGATATGTAGTGGTCAACTTCTGTTGACTTTGTTGTAGTTATGTACCTTACTGTCTCAAAGCAATATAGGAATAAAGCATGTATATTAAAAAGCAGATGGTGGTGGAGGGTGTGTCCTTAGGTACTGCCTGACATGCTCGATTGGTGGGGTGCAGAAGACACAATTATACATTTATGGGGTATTTACCAGTAGTTCAGTCGATAAACACAGCAATCGAAAGTTACGCAAAATCTCAAACGCGTACTAGATGAGGCGCTGCCTCTCCACCAATCCAGAGCTCGCCACTTGGCGGCTGCGGATCCACTGGTCATCCTCGTTAGCCTCTCGGTCACGCGGGGAACTTGTGGTCCCCGGAAAATCAAGGGCCGCGGAAGGCTGTTGGAGACTCCTGTTCGCCCCTCGCCAGTACTCTATCTGGTTGCGCGATGTTTTCCCCTCCATCTTTTTCTCCCGCCTGCCCCTCCCGCCCCTCCCGTCCTTCCCGCCGCTCCCTGCTCCCGCTGCACCTGCTCGTCCCGCTGCTTTCTTCCCCCCGTGTCATTGGCTGACACCTCCCTTGAGAGTTTCGAACTGAAGTTTTTTCTCCAAAGCAGATTCCTTCGTCCTCACACTGCGTCACAGCACTCCTAAACGCTGCTCGTGCTATGTCTTTTACCGGAAGCAGGCTATTGCCAACGTCGAGTTGCATTTTTGTGTGATAGTTTTCACTTTGTACGTTTTTCTTGTCTTGAATAAGGAAATAGAGTTGCGATACAGTATCGCATTCTCCTCCGCCCATGGTGTCGGGATTAGGGTTTGCGTATGAACCTTGTCAGGACGCAAGGAGGATCTCTCTAGGCCTTTGTTCTTCTCGGTACTGAGCTGTTCTGAAAGTTTCTGTACGATTTGAAACGATTCTAGACGATATTGTGCGGTTCTCGCTCCGGAGCCACGCGAAGCGGCTCCGGTATGAGAAAGCTCGCGCTATGATTCATGGCAAGGTTAGCGAGCCACGCTTCAGAGAAAGCGGAGGGTTGCTCGGGAGGAAATGTCGAATCGTCATGCGCTGCTGACGATGACGCTAACGCCAGAGAGAAGCTTCCTAAGCAGGCGGAGGTCCCAAGGCAGACGGAAAATCTGACGGAACGGGGGTTTTCCAAGCAGGAAAGGGGTTCGAAGGGAATATCCACGTTAGAAGGAAAAAGCTGTCGTTTTGACGAGTCGGGCGACGCGAAGCAGGATCCCGGGAAGGGAGACGACAGGCCGAAGGAATTTTCGAAGAAGAAGCGGGTATGTTAGCTCGTCTATTCAAGGCTGCGGCAAGGATACGTTGTGTTGTTGTGAATATGCTTTTCTGGCGAGGCTAGCGTTAGTGGTTCTGTGCGGGTGGATTTCTCCCCAAGAGGTCCCTTTTGCTAGTTAGTTCGTCTTCTTTTCATGAGAGGGAAAAATCGTCCAGTTCAAGCTATTCTGTCTCTCTTTTTCTTCCCTCCCCATCTCTCCCTCTCCCCCCACTCCTCTCTCGTCTTCAGTCACACATCCGCTCGACCCTTGCACCCCTATTGCTTTATTATCTCTTTCCCTTCCATCATCCCTCCTTCTGTCCCCTTACTTCCCTTTTTCAATCCTCGCCCTTTATTCTGCCCTTCCCCGCCCCTACAACCTCCCCCTTTTCTTCCCTCATCCTCTCCCTTTCTCTCTCATCTTCCTTCCCGTTCCTGATCCATGTCTGTGTCATAACGTGGCTGTTCATTTCTGCTCGTGTCTGTTCGTGTCTGCTGCTTGTACGACCTTGGTGGTGCCATCCCGTTTCTGCTCGTGTATTCTCGTGCCTGCTCATGTTTGTGTCATAATGCGGCTGTTCATGTCTGCTCGTGGCATGTCGTGCCTGCTCGTACCATTTCGTTTCTGCCCTTGTCATCTCATGCCTGCTTGTTTCATCTCGTGCCTGTTCGTGTCATCTCGTGCCTGTTCGTGTCATCTCGTGCCTGTTCGTGTCATCTCGTGCCTGTTCGTGTCATCTTGTGTCCCCTCGTGTCATCTCAGCACTCCAACAAGACCGCGAAGCTCAAGCAGAGCAAGTTGGATGCCCGCAGGGAGCAGTTTCTCGCGCAGGGTGAGTCGAAACGAGAGCGAGTTGGTTTGATTGAAGAGATCAGAGTGAGTGGAATCGATAGCAGGGTGAGTTGAAACGAGAGCAGGGTGAGTTGAAACGAGAGCAGGGTGAGTTGGAACGAGAGCGAGGTGACTTGATGAGAGCAGAGTGAGTCAAGGGTTCATAGAACTGAGAACAGACGAAGGAACACACGATCAATGAAGGTGATATAACAGGAGAATAATGGCGAGAGTACTTATGCCCGGCTCAGCCGCTCTCGTTCTCCCTGACAGCTGCCTCTTTGGGTTTTTACCCTTCATTTTCTGGCGCGCTTTCCCAATCAAACGTCACTTTTTCTAGATTTAAATGCCTTCCTCTCTTTTTTCTAATCCGTCTCTTATCCTTGTTATCTTCCCCTGCAGTTGCTGCTGCCAAGACCGCAACACCCAACGTTCAAGGTGTCAAGCTTCCTTCCAAAGTCTCAACGGAAAAGAGTTCCAGTGATAGTAAAGGTGCCAATTTCGCAGGAGAGGAATCCGGCGTGACAGTATCGGGGGCTTATTCTGAACAGCAAGATTCGCTTTCACTCCCTAACGGCCACGCGCCTGAGCGTGACAGTAACGAGCGTGACAAGAAGGAAAGCGTTGCTAGCGCTGGGGCTGCGAGTTTAAGACCCTGCGGGGGGGTATCTGGGTCGTTAGAAGAAGCCGGGAAAGCAAAGGCGGCTGGGGATGGTCATTCGATTGGTGAGAGCGCATTCGGTGCAGGATGCAAGGACTCTCTTGCCAATGGGGTTTCGGAAAAGAGGAGAGAGGGAGAGGAGGATAGGAACCGAGAGGAGAGCCGGGAGGGAGACAGAGGGCTTGGAGCAGCGGAGGAAGGAGGAGCGGCGGAGGATGCTGAAGAGAAGCAGTGGTGGGAGGATTCTGATGATGACGGGGGTGATGCAGGGGAGGGTGATGCAAGGGAGGGTGAAATGGGGACGGGTGGTTTGAGGGATGGGGATGGTGTGACGATTGGTGGGGAGAGTGATAGGGCAGGGAATGGCGGTGGCAGCACAGGGGAGGCCGCCTGTGAAGTTTCACTGAAGATTCATTACGAGGAGGGCGGGCAGTTGGCGAAGGCACCGCACGTTCAGGAGGGTGGGCAGTTGACGGAAGCTCCAAATTTGGAGGAGCGGGAGGAGGAGGGGGTGGTAGTTGAAATTCCAGTAGAAGCGAAAGTGGAAGGGACGTGTAAGGGGGCAGCAGCGATGGAGGGGGAGAGCGCAGCAGTGGACGCGGTATGTGGGGTGGGCCCCGGGACCAAAACAATCAGCAAGAGCATGGCCGCAGGGGTGACAGCGACATTGGTGTTAGTGAGTAATGGGGGTGGGAACGGGAGTGACAGGTTACTCTCTTGCACTGGTGCAGACGCGGAAGCTCCGGTAGTAGTGCCAGGTAGTGGGCCTGCTGACAGGGCTTCTGCTGATGGTGGTGGTGCGACTTCTGGTGCTGGGTCTGATGTTGCAGGGTTAGTTGGTTCTGGGGTTAAAGGCGGAAAGAAAAAGGGGAAGAAAGGGAAGGAGGGGAAGGAGGGCAAGGAGAGGAAGCAAGCAGGGGAGGTTGTGGGAAGAAGTATTGGAGCGAGGCAGAGGATGAAGGAGGTTGGGAAGGGGAGATTTGGAGGGAATGGTAATGGTGGAAGGTGTGAGACGTTATGTAATAGCAGTGGGAGCAGTATAAACTGTGGTGGCGATGGCAGCAGGGAAGGCAGTGATAACAGCAGATTTGGAGATGCTAGCGTTATTGAGACGTCTCAAAGTGCTGGGATGGAGCGCTGTGCATGTGGTGATCGTGGTGATAGCAGCGTTGGTAGCGAGGGTGGAAAGGGGACAGGAAGGAGGAAGGAAGGGGGGGAGCGGCAGGGGAAAGGGAAGGGAGAGAGGGAAAAGAGCGAGAAGATTGCGAGGAGAAAGAAGAATGGGGTGGTCAATGGAACACGAGGGATAGGTGGTTGTGATATTGTCTCTGGGAGAGTTGTGGAGCTGTATTTGAAGGGGAAGGAGAAGAAGAGCAAAAGAGGCGAGGGGAAGGAAGGAGAGGGAGGGGAGGAGGGGGAGGAGGGGAAGGAGGAGGAGGAGGGCGAAGGATGTGCCAAAAATGGGGAGGACGGCGAGGGCAGAGGGCAACAGATAGTGCAACAGGAGAGAACAGGTGGCAATGCAAAGCGCCGATTGAATGGGAGCCGTGCACGTGGGGAGAGGAGCAAGGACGGTCAGGGGAGTATAGAGGAAGGCAATAAGGAGGATGAGAATGTTCAGAAGCGGGAGCAGCAGCTGCAGCAGGGAGGACAGGGGCAGGGGCAGGTGCAGGGACAGGAACAGGAACAGGGCAATGGGGAGGCGGAGGGGGATAGGGACGGGGAGGGGGGCGGGGAAGGGGACGGGGAGGAGGGGAGTGGTGATGGTGAGGAAGATGATTGGGAAGCAGCAGCAGACGCTATCTGCTCCGAGGTACAAGAAATTCTTGAAGAGGGTGAAACTGGGGGGAGTGGGGTGAGCGTGCAGGGCGCGGGGGGTTATGCTCAGGGTGTCAATACTAGCAGTGCTGAGAGCACAACCACCAACACAGGCACCCTTAGCAGCAGCAGTGGCAGTGGCGGCAGTGGGAGCAGCGGGAACAGTGGGAGTGGGGGCGGAAGCGGCAGCTACGGCAGGGGGAAGGGGTGGGGGAGTTTTGGAGGCCAAGGTGGGGTGCATTGGGAGGGTGGGCTGCGGCCAGGGGTGGGGGTAAGAATGAACGGGCATGTGAGACATGTGAGCCATGGGGCGCATATGAGTCACATGGGGCATCTGGGGCATGTGTCTCATGTGTCTCAGGGTGGGTGGAGCGGCCATTCTGACTTATCAGCAGCACCGCCTTATTCGGAACGATACAACTCCCAAGCGTCTCTCTTCCCTTCCCGCAGCACAGCCCCTCCATTCTCCTCCTCCTCCTCCTCCTCCTCCTCCTCCTCCTCCTCCTCCTCCTCCTCCTCCTCCTCCTCCTCCTCCTCCTCCTCCTCCTCCTCCTCCTCCTCCTCCTCCTCCTCCTCCTCCTCCTCCTCCTCCTCCTCCTCCTCCTCCTCCTCCTCCTCTTCCCGTGTGTCCGATTCCCAAGCTGCTCGTCTCTCATCCTCCTCCTTCCCTTCTTCCACCTTCCCATCCTTCTCACCTGCCACTCTCAGACCAAACCCTACCCTCCCCTCCTCCACCTCCTCCTCCTCTCCCTCCTTCTCACTCTCCCTGGCCGGCACTCAGAGCATTGACTTCTGCAACGGGACAAAAATCACCGGTGGGGGGTTGAGACCAGAATACACATACAACGCAGCAGGCATGGGGGGGAGGGGGCAGTTACGCTGCCCTGCTGCTGCCTCTGCCGCCGCCGCTGCTGCTGCTGCTGCTGGCGATCGTGGCTGGAGAACGGACGAGTGTGGTTTCGCTGATCTGAGGCGCCTCAAAAGCTCCTCTGTATCTACCACCTCCGCCGCTGCTGCTGTGTCGTCTTCTTCGGCTGCCGCGTCTGCTGCTGGTGGTAGTGCTGCTGCTGCTGCTGGCGGTGCTGCTGGTGCTGCTGCTAGTGAGCGAGCATGGCGACCAGACGATTCGTCTCGGCCCCCTTCCCTGCCTCCCCCGGTTGCTCTACTCTCCTCATCTTCCTCCTCTTCATCCTCCCCTTCCGCTTCTTCCCCCTCCTCTTCCTCCTTTTCTTTCTCGTCCCTCAACTATCAGAACCATTACCAGCAGCAGCAGCAGGATTTTGCACGTGCGCCCAGTTTTGCTCACATGAGCGGCAACAATAACAGCAGCAGCAGCAGCAACAGCAACAGCGTGGAACCCACACCACCGCTCCTCCTCCTCCTTCTCCTCGTCCTCCCCTCCCTCCGTTTGGACTCTAGCCAGTTTCATCCGATCCCCCTACAACACCTTCTCTTCCTCTTCCTCCTTCCTACCATCCCACCACAACCCATCATCACCACCATCAGGAGCATCACACTCATCAGACCCATCTGCAGCAGCAGCGGCAGCAGCAGCAACGCCACTCTGTCCGATCTGTGCAGAGGAACTAGACAACACAGATTCCTCCTTCCTCCCCTGCTCCTGCGGGTTCCGCCTTTGTCTCTTCTGCCACCACCGCATCGCATCAGACGATGGACGCTGCCCGGGCTGCCGCCAGGCCTACAGCCCTGAGGTAGCTGCCAAGCTCTCCCGCCCGCCCAACCTCAAGCTGCGATCGTAGCAGCAGCAAGACGCGTCTCCTTGCACCTCTGCACCTTCCTTCATTCAGCCGCTGCCAGTGAGTCTACTTTTGGGTCGACTCGAAAGTAGCAGCAGCAAGAACCCTCTCCTTGCACCACTGCACCTTTGCACCTCTTTCTGACGCTTCCTTCCGCCGCTACGCGCTCCGTCCTCCTCCTCCCATCGGCCCATTCCTCCCTGCTTCTCTGCTGCCACGGATGACTGTCGTTAGCCGCAAAGCTCTCCCGTTCCCGCTATCTCTAAGCTCCATGTGCTGCTGTTAGCACACGGGGTGTAGATCCCTACATTCGCGGCTAAGCCCTTTCCTCTTTAGCATCGTGTCACAGCAGTGCTCACTGCAGGGTCACTGCAGGAGTGGAAGTTGGGTATTACTCAATACTCCAACCATTATGTGTATTTGGTCTTGCCGGTATGGCTCGGTTGTATCCATTAGTTTTTTTCCGCACTTGCTTTTTGGTTTCTGACGGATTTTTGCCTCAGTTTTGCTCCTGTGCTTGGCATCTCATTCTGGTAATATTACTAGTGTGCTGGTGTGTGCCTTCCTTGAAGTTATGGGTCCAATTCTTTCTTGCTGTGCTTCTCTTTTTACAAAGATGAACTAGGCTTGTACTGAAGCTCCAGTCAATAGCGAGGGCAGCAGGTTGTGGATGTGCTGACGCGAAAGCAAATCGAGCTGGCTTTGCTGTTTCACGGGCCAGAACCATACACCTTTGGAACACACAGCACAGCAAGAGCGCCACAAGGTAAAAACTCACAACAAATAAACCTTTGAATGGTACACTAACTGTGCACCTAGCTTATATAGGATATGCCAATTCAGTCAACAACGCACAAAATTATGCTGTCTACCAAAAAGAAGAATGTTAACAGCTCTACATCAATCAAATCACGCAAAAAGACAACGCCTGAGCGACGACATGCCGGCCATATCTGCCAGTCCTACTGGCCCGCCTGACATGCCACCACCGTTCAAAACCAAGTCAGCAGAAGAAACCGAACCTGATGCCATGGAAGAGGGGCCAGCTGAAGTCAGAGCAAGACCGCCAGCAGAACCAACTGACCCCCAGCTCTCATCAGCCAGAGTGCCGAAGGATGATCCAGCCCCAGTAGCAACTCCCTTCAAATGCCCCACGCCATGCCCGTTTCCAAGCTTCAGCGTCGCGCTGGCACACGCTGCTGTAACAAAGTTACCACAAGCCGTCAGGTTGGCGTTTTGCAGCTTTGCTCCCGCCGCCATAGGTGCTGCGAGTGGTAGCGGGGCAGTCAGTGGGCTCGGCGCTGTGCTGGGATGGGATGGGCCGAGCACCGGAGTTGCATCAGGCGTTATGGGCGTCAGAGCAGGGACTGAGGAAGGCACACTCGCCTTGGACAACTGTGCAGCAGCAGCAGGAGCAGCAGGAGCAGCAGGAGCAGCAGAGGGGACTGTAGAGGACGAGGAGGATTGAGAGGCAGACGCAGACGCAAAGGCGGAATCGGAGCAATCAGCAGCACAGCGAGCCGAGAGAGAGGCGACGGGAAGAGCAGAGGGAGCAGCAGCAGCAGCGGGAAACGCGGCTGGCGGAAGCTGAAATTCTCCAGAAGTGGGCGGGGAGGGGTGGGTGAGAGTGGGCGGAGCGAGGGTGCTGGATGGTGTGAGGGGCTTTCGAGTTGCGGAGAGCGCGAGGGGCTTTCGAGCGAGAGCCAGGCACGGGGATATGGGAGCGAGGTCCGAGTGGGCAGCAGAGGCAGCGGAGGTGCCTCGGGTGGGAGTGGAGAGAGTGGGAAGCCAGACCAAGCGTTTCGGAGCCAACTTCCTCTGCTGCTGCTGCTGCTGATGGGGATGATGCTGATGCTGATGCTGATGCTGGTGCTGATGCTGATGAGTCTGGTCCGGGTGTTGGCTCGCCTCGTCCTGCTCCACGGGGCGGAGCTGGAACGTTTGAAACCGTTGTGTGGGCCGTGACTGCTGAGGTTGCTGCTGGGGTTGCTGCTGCTGCTGTGGCTGCTGCTGCTGCTGTTGCTGCTGTTGCTGCTGTTGCTGCTGTTGCTGTTGCTGCTGCTGTTGTTGCTGCAATGCGTAAGGTTGGAAGAGCGCCACAGCTGCCTGACTCTGCGTAGGCTGCTGCGCCTGGAACAGTCGCTGCGGTTGCAGCGGCTGCTGTGGCAGTTGTAGCGGGAACGGTTGCTGGCACTGTACCGGCGCAGTACGGCAGACGAACGGCGACGTGTCAACCACAGCTGACCACGGAGAACCCACCGCCACCGCATTGCCCGCTCCTCCCAGCGGCGATCCAAACACGGGCGACGGCGCAACCCACTGCGCGTGCCCCGCGGGAGACGGCGGAATCGACGGCGCGGAGAGAGGCGATGGCGACCCGGCCACGCGCATCGCCGCGATTCGCCCCAAAATCGGCGTTACCCCGATCTGCGGGGACAAGAGCGGCGCTATTGCTGGCGTCATCGTTGGCGTCATCACTGGCGGCACAGCAGCAGTCGGCAGGGGAGAAAGAAGCGCTGCGGCGACGCTCGTCGACGCACGCGACCGCACCGGCGTTCCCACCGCGAACCCCGGGAGAGGCCCAGTTCGCGGCCGCAGGGGCGACGCGAACCCGCCGGTCACCGCGGCGCTCATGCCGCCCGCTCTTGCCGGCCGTCCGTTCATCGCGAACACCTTCCGCCGTACGATCCGCCCGCCGCGCGTGTGCACGAGGATCCACGGGTGCGCCAGGAGCTTGTACGCGGGAGGGCGGCGCGCGGGGTCTTTAACTAGCAGGCACCGGACGAACAACTTGGCTTCCGCCGAAACGCTCTGCCACGCGGGCGAGGAGAAATCCGGCTCGTCGTGGCAGATCGAGTGCATGATCTGCGCGTCGTCCTTCCCGCCGAAAGGCGGCGCGCCGCAGAGGAGGATGTAAAGAACCACGCCGAGCGACCACACGTCCGCGGCGAAGTCGTACTCGCTAGAAACAACCTCGGGAGCCATGTATAGCGGCGATCCCGCGATTCCCGAGGCCTTTTCGCCCTTGGCGAGAAGAACCGCGAGCCCGAAATCCGCGAGCTTCACGCTGACTGCTTCTCGCGGCGCCGCAACGCCTTTGGCACCGGAGACCGCGCCGGAATCCCCGCCGGAACGACCGCCGGAAGACGACGATGACGCGGACAACGATGCCGACGCGGACAACGATGCCGACGCGGAGAGGAGGATATTCTCAGGCTTGACGTCGCGATGCATGACGCCCTGAGAGTGGCAATACGCGACGGCCGACACGAGCTGTTTAAACACCCTCGCGGCCTCTTTTTCCGGAAACCTTCCCTGTCGTTCCACCGCCTCGTACAGCTCCCCACCGTCGCAGTAATCCATGACGAGATGCATGGATTCCGAGTCCTCGTGCACGGATTGTAACTGTACGATGCTCTCGTGGCCCGACACGCGTTTCATCGCGGCGATCTCGCGTTTCATCTCCGCCTCGCCGAACTTGGCGCTGTTCTTGGGGATGCTCTTGCAGGCGAACGTTCTCCGCGTTATCCGATCCTCGACTGCCCAAACCTGCCCGAAGTGACCCTGACCGATCATCCGCTTCTTGGAGTAACGCTCGTGAAGCGGCGCGGCTGAAGTCAGCGATGGTTCCGCTGCTGCAGGTGCTGTTGATGTTGCTGCTGGCGGTGGTGGCGGTGGTGATGCTGCTACTCCGCATGCTGCTGGTGCTGGTGCTGGTGCGAGGAATGGAGAAGAAGCAGGTTTAGGCGGGGAGGATATCAGACGAAGTTCCGGAAATTCTGGGACCGAGGCGTTCCGTTTATGTCGGTTGGTGGAATAGGGGGAGGGAGCGAAGGTGACGAAGTCGGAGATATCATCGCGAGCCATGGCGGCTGGAAACTGAGGTGATTGAAATCCCCTTGGCTGGAAGCAGTCGCGAGCTACTGACAGTCCGTCGCGCTCAGCTTGCTCGCAGCCGATTCTGGCCGTCATCGTGCCGTTTCCACGTCACTCTAACGGAAATTCTATCGAGGATTTAGAAGCCTAATTCGCGGCGAAGTAAGAACGTGCTTTGAACGTAATATTCCTCTGGCTGAAGTTTGTAGGAAAGGTGAGAAACAACGCAACAGGATGGAAACTGGGTCACCACGCTACGAACTCGGGACTTTGAACTGGAGATCACACTCGAGTGAACTAGAGAAAAATAGAGCTATCAAATCAGGAACAAGCTCGTTACAGATCGGCAAGAGTCAGACTTCCTAAAGCTGCGTTGTACAAATGTCGCTTTTCCTGAAGCTCGGCTGGTCTGATATCCATTTCCGGCTGCGGTGCTGGATTCAGCTGAAACCTCGATAATTCCTCGCTCACTCTCCCCATGGCATGGGTCATGGCCTTCTTGGGTTTGTCTGCTGAACAGGTGGGGGGTGGAGGTTGGAAAAAGCGGGGTGGGGGGGGGAAGGGGGAGGGGGAAAGCAGAGGGTAGGGGGGAAAGCAGAGAGTAGGGGGGAAAGGAGAAGGGGCGGAAAAGCGAAGTTCTTGGCGGAAGAGGATTTCAAGGCTGGGTGAAAACCGCGTTATTGGGGGCACCCCTTCCGAAAAGGCGGTGACCGCATTGGGAATTCCTTTGAAGTGGGGGTGTCCCGCCGCCTGGGAGATGGAATGGCGGGAGAATGGGGTTTTCGGGGGAGTTCATTGGCGCAGCGAGGCTTCATGTGGTGGCTGCAGTGCACTTCGCGTGGCATGCGGTTTCGCTTCGGTTTTGCCGAGCCCCAATCAAATTCCTTCGGCAACCTCCAACACAGTGCGCCTAGGCTCAGAGCGTTCCGCAGCGCTGCAGAGACGGTGCTCTGCTGGCGTTGCCTGGTGCGGAAAGAAAAATCGGGTTTCGGCATTCAGGGGATGAGAACCAATCCGCTTATCGGGAAGATGCGGAGCCCATGTGGCTCTTGAACACGCATGCACTGACCCGTCTCCTGAAGCGACAGCTCGTTGGGTTGTTGTGTTGTGCGAATTGCGGGGGAAGCCGCGGGGAGGCTTGTTGGAGGACGGGAGCAGGGCTGTCGATTCAAGGGCATATGGCCTTAATGCCCTGAACATTAAGGTCTGACTTTGCCCCGAAGTTCAGATTCTCAGGATTATTTTTTCGTACAGCCCGGAATGATAACGGGCGTGGGCTGGGCCTTCCCCTGATTCTTACAGGGGCCTCTTGGAGGGTTTCCCTGAATCCCCGTTAAAGTTTTCGGCCTTACCCGGAAACTTCCAGAGCCCTTCTTCGCCCCCCCCCCCCCCCCACACCCTCTCCCTTCCCGTTTTTCCCTGTCTGATCTAACGACGTGGGCTGGGCAGGTGTGTACCAGATCTTCGACGGTGAGAAGCGCCGCAAGCCTGCCACTTAGTTATTAGTGTTGAGAAAGTAGATAGGTCGATAGGCAGTTCTAGTTTAACTCTGCCTTTATTAGGTTTCGTTATGTAGAGTTTGCCCTGATTGTTGTAGTGTAGCCCTGAATTTATTTTTTTGGTTGGGTGCTTTCCCGGACGCTTAAAGGCTCGGAAAAGGACACTTCCCGGAGATTTCAGGGCTGAAATACGGGCACCTCAGACTCTCAAGTGTTGGCCTGGAACCAATCGACAGCCCTGGACGGGAGCCCCCTAGGGCCTCCGGTGCGCATGCGGGGGAACTTCCTTATTGGTTTCCTTGACCGTGGTTGTTAGACCCCGGCTGGAGTCGCTGGATTTCGCCTGCGCTTGGTTCGGTCGGATTGGTTGAGGCGTCAGTAGGGAGGTCAGCCTAAAGTTCAAATGGCAGAGGATCCACGTCTTGGCGCGTAGCTCATTAAACGCGAAAAAAATCCCGCCAAAACCGAGTCAGAAGGGGCTGCTTATAGATTCAAATGGCACGCCTGTTTCAGTGGAGTACCACCTGCCGAGTCGCGATGGGTCTGCCGATAACCAATGACAGGGGCAGGCCATAAACATGTGACCCGCTTGGCCATCATCCGCGCGCAAACTAGCGGAAGAGAGGTTGGGGAAATGCAAAGGGGGAAGAGAAGCTTGATCTGACTCGGGAAGTCTAACCCAATGGGAAAGTCTCCTACTATCTTGTGGTCGGTGCGGACGGCTCCAGGTTTCCTCCCAGCGTCACGGCTTTTCCTAATCCAGTCATCTTGGAACCTGGGAGTTTGGATAAAAAAAGGCACACTGGACTACCGCATTTCAAAAATATCCTAGACTATCCCGCATCAGTAGGGATGTGCAACACTGCCACCTATGAACTGGTTAGCGGAAACCGAGTCCAGGCGGAGTGATTCTACGGCTGAAAATCCATCGAAAAATCCTACCAAAACAACAGTTGAAGCGAGAATTACGTTCGCTAACACTGATTGTACATTGTTCAACAAAGAAAGCATCACGTAGATTACCCCGGGTAGTCTTTTCCTTCAGTTAGCTGCCCACAAAAATGAATCTAGAAGGTTCCTAAAACCGCGCCGCCAGGCTCCGAAATATTACGTTCTGCCATCCAGCCTTTCCGGAGATAATTTGGAAGATATTTCCTGTGGAATCAAAGACCTGACAACCAGAGAGGGATCACGAGGATCCTGGAAAGGAAATCCCCGCGATTATTCGTTGATTGCACTGAACATCATCATTCGTACACGTAGGCCTCCTTGGATACATGAAGGCTACACCAATGGATGCGTCAAAAATTCTGACAAGTCGAAGCGATCTTCCGGATTTGCAGCTGGAAAAGGGTGCACAAGGCTGCATATTGAATCTTGACTCGATTCAAAAACCGGTAAGGTGTGTATATCCCTGTGCAAACATGCCCACAATGGGTTTAAAATCAAGCTTCCTACTCATGTTTGCAGGGTTCAAACAAGTGATTGCCATCATATTACGAATAAGATATTGTGGGTTATCTATCAGATTAAGGTGATATGTTAGTGAAGTATGAGATTTTAAGCATCTTTTTTAGATACCGGATCTTACGATATGATCCCCTATGAAACAGCATCAAAGTTTCCAGAAACTTTATTAAAAAATCTGATAAAGAATAAGACACTACTCAACATAGTATAGATGCTCAAATATAATTTGACTTATTGGACCATGTCGTCTCACCCTTATCACTCACTGCGAGCCCTTTAGCATATCCTTTTCCGTTTTGACAAAAAGATCTTACTATGACTATAGCGCCAAATGTTTAATTATGTATATTTTCGAGTAAAATTTTTATTGCTAATACAAATGCAAATAGATTTATTTTTTTTGCATATATAGTGTTATTGAAACATTGTAATCCACGCCTTCGACGTTTTAATTTCATTCTTGTTTATAAGTGTTTCGGATATAATGCATTCTATATTATCACAACTTGTATTGTGCATCACACAAGATTCTGAATGGCGTAGGCTTATATTTAGTATCTTTTAACACTAAATGGGTTGGTGTAAGACCAAATAAATGTCCCAAGAAGAATACATAACAAATTAAAACAAGAAAGCAACTTTCGATCGAAAGTTTTGTTATGATTATGAATGCTTCATTTCCGTCGCTCATCGTCGACCTGCCCAAGTTGGCGACATTATCGACCATCTACGATGTTGGGGGAGCTGATGCACTGCCTTTGGTGCCTTTCGTTAGCATCGAACGTGGCCGACGTGACGTTGTCGGCGTAAATCAAGGTAATGACGGGGCGAAGTCGGCAACAGGGGAGCAATTGGCAAAGGGGTTGCTGATAGGAAAGCTGACAATGGGGAAGTGGCCTGTGGGGGAGCCTGAGGGCGTGCCTATTAGAAGTGGCCACTGGAATGGCCCGAAGTGGTCTCTCTAAGGTTACATGTGTTATCCTGGGGGGATCAGGGTGCGCTGACCCACCAAGTAAACATGCAATTTTATCCCAGTCGGTTAGCGGATTGGAATGCTTTCCCTGCATGGTGCGGTGAGCGTGGATCGGGACTAAGGTTCGATTCCTGCTATCGACGACTTTCTGTGCCCTTCTGCTAGGCCCTTTTAGTGAGGGGAGTGTTGGAAGTTGCCACTAGAATGGCCTGAAGGGTCTCCCTAAAGGCTATAGGTGTCGTCCTGGTGGGGTATGGATGCGCTGACCCACCAAGTAAATTTGCTCTTTTATCCCACTCGGTTTGCGAACTAGAATGCTATCCCTGCAGTCACTTCGTCTAGCGACGCTTGAAAGTTTACCAGTAGATTCGGCGACGAAGTTGTGGAGCCGTCTAGTGATGGCTCGTCAAGCGACGTGGTGGAAGCCCTAGAGCACAAGCGGCCATTTTGAAACTCCACCTTCTCCAAATTCAAAATATCCGCCCCGATCTCACTAATACGCTTTTAAACTATGCGTATGCAAACGCCGCGCTATCGAAGCTGGATCCCAACATTCACGAAGATCCTACGCGAGGTTCGGACATTTTGATAATGATTGTCAAGGAGGCTTTGCTGAGCTGGATAGGCAATGCAATCTAAAGGCCAATACACGAGGCGCTACGGATCTCCTCGCCAGTGGCACATGGAGCTCGTGTTTCAGCCTCGCGGCGTCAATATCATAAAGAAATGTTGGTTGCTTATAGCAGACAATCACTCTACAGCAGGCAAAGTGCATGAAGGCTATGAATTGTACGACGTGATCGTACCATTGCCTAATGCGTGTGCAAGTTATTTCTGCTTGTACATGAAATTGGCAAGCGTCTTGATGAGAAAAAAATAATAATAAATCATACAATTGAAAAAGATTGATACAGCAAGGTTGCATTACAACACACCTAGCAACTCAGCAAAGCGATCTTCGAACGCATCACGAAGGCATATTGCCAATATAGCACGGAGGCGCTGCCAATGCTGCGGCAATGTGGCTTGCCAGCGTTGCACCATGGAAGTCTGCGGTCGTTGCAACGTTGCACCATGGTAGCTTGTGTTGGAAATGGACACTGGAATGGCCCGAAGTTGTCTCCCAAGGGCTACATGTGTCGTCCTTGGAGGGTATGGGTGCGCTGACCCACCAAGTAAACATGCCCTTTTAGCCCAGTTGGTTAGCGAACTGGACATGGTGGAGAAGTGTCGAAGAGAAAAGGCCTCGCCCTCGCTTGGGCGAAGTCGACCAGGAATTTCGGAACAGAACGGTGTTCGTTTCGTGGTCATCGGCGACTTCGGGGACTTTTATCTGCGTGCGACGAGTCGTTTGTCGACGAGATTATTTGGTCGAGGTAGAAGTGTTTCCTCTGCTCGATCAAGGTCCTCGTCTACGAAGAGCTCATCGACGGGAGTAAAACGATGTCAAAGACTAGCCTTTCTGATGGACGGAATTGGCAGAATTGGTGTTCGACTGATTGGTGGTCGACAGAATTAAGTTCGACGAGTGTTTCGTCGAGCAGAGCGATTCTGGTCGACCAGAATTACTTAGATCCAAAACTCGCAATGTGCGCGAATTTCGCCCAATCACGAAACAGCAAATTTCGACCAATCAGAGAATTTCGGAAATTGTACTCCCCAGGAGATTTCGAATCAGTAAAGGAATAGGACCTGAAACACGTTTTTACTAACAGTAAAAACGTGCACAACTATGAACGTTGTAAACCTGAGAAACTACCAACTCAGGTGAAATCTGCATGCGTTTGTCGTTTCACCTGCCGTTGCTGACTCGACAGATTCAGGTGCTTGTCGAGGAACGTTTCTACAGGGTTCGTTGCCTTTGCTATTTGGTTCTCCTTGCTTGTACCATAATCTTGTTCTATCAATTTTCTTAGTGAAACTATGCTTGTATTCTACTAAGGCAACTAAGTTCACTCCTGAGAATCACTGCCAGAACTCTGACCGTGTGTCCCACGCTAGTCAAGCTCTCCCGTAGAATAGTATTCTCCGCAAGAAGTGGGGTAGAGACTTGGGTTCAATTCCTGCTGTCGACAGATTTCCGGTGCCCTAGTGGTGGGCCCTCCCAGTGAGGGGAGTATTGGAAATGGACACTGGAATGGCCCGAAGTTGTCTCCCAAGGGCTACAGGTGTCGTCCTGGGAGGGTATGGGTGCGCTGACCCACCAAATAAGCATGCCTTTTTAGCCCAGTTGGTTATCGAACTGGACAGCCTGCGCTCATTGTGCATCATGTGCGTACATCTACGGCACCTTCACAACAAACGGTTGCTTGAACGTCGTGCACATGATACACAATGAGCATGTATGAGGCTGTGGAGCACATGATTTCGATTTCACAGGTCGAGTTTTGCCAACACATGAGGGGAAATTTGTGCACATGCAGAATTTCGTTGATCAGTTACTTTGGTTGATCAGAAAGAGGTTGCTCAGTCAACGTCACTTACAGATTAATTCCGTCTTCCGGCGCCTTTTCGTCGACGACTGAAGCTCGGCTTCGCTCTTCGTTTCATTTCCTCGACCAGCCCCTTGTCGGTTTTCGTTTCGGCCACATCGAAGGTTCTACGGATGTTGACTGCTCATGCTCATCGACTAGGCGCTCTGTCACACTTTCTCCTCAAAATTGGCGTCGGCCACGAAATACATTTCGTCCGGCTGCACACATTTTGAGCACATGATCCGTGAGTTAGTCGCGTGCGAGCAAGGACGGGGCCGTTCCTCTGAGCAACTTTAACGAATTACAACTCCAACGACACAGTCGCCTGCAAAAAAATTGCTCATGGTAATGTGAGGCTTCATGCTGGTCTGCAACATCAACCACGAGGAGACGTATGCGTGGTCGGCAGCCACGTCACGCTGCACCGTTGCCGTTCTCGACCTACACCTCATGCAACTCAACATGAAGTACTTTATGTTATATGTGGATTAGTCGTCAAGCTACCACGACGGTGCACCACGCATGTGCAAGCTGCTGAAGAGCTTGGTTGGCCTCAAGCAGAGCCTGCTGCTGGTACTCGACGCTATAGAGCGTATTGACTCGCACCGGCGAGAGCAAGAGTCAGATTCTCGAAGCCCTCTACTTCAAAGTCGTCGACGATGATGTGACTTGCCGGTTGCTTGTCAACGTCGACTGCCTTACCGCCTCCAATACCAGCATTAGACTCTCAATTGTGTTGCTCGAGTACACAACGCATTGACTGCGCGAGATCAATCCGCTGCAAAAAATATATGGGGCTGGAGATTGTGCACGACCGATCTATGCGAAAGATGTTGCTCCACCAATAGTAGTACAACAGGCTGCGTAGGCGCTTCATTGATGAAGAGCAGTCTGGCTGGCTTCCGAAGGAGTTTCTGGATGCGAGATTATATCGTATAAATTATAATATTGAGCTTTCATATTCACACAAAAGAATTTGTCATTACAGGATTGCATGGTTCAAAAAAAAGTTTAGCGTTTTGTTTATTGGATTGCAGTGAGCTGGAGCATCAGTTAGATGTCTGTGCCAAGATAGTCACTCATTGTGTGGTGTGTATTTGCAAGACTTTGGAGGGGGAGGGCCATAACAACAATCCAATAAGAGTGCTAAATCTACACGGTGTAGTCACTGCTCCTCATAAGTTTTGCTCGCTGAAGTCCATGGCGGAGGCAAAACTGCGAACAGTTTCTGCCAATTCGCCGTTTCCATTTCCTTTCCTGTCAGTTGCCATCTTTCAGTGACGTTGCGCGTTTTCCGGAAACGTCTGGTAATAAACAGCTGCCGTTTACATTTGCTTCCGAAGGCCGAAACCAGCTCCTCTGTTCTCTTTTACCTAAGTGAGCCTACATCAGTTATCCTTCTTCCCGTCCCGTGATTACTTAACCATGATACAGCCAGAGCTGTGCTTGTTCGAAGAGGTAGGATTTCAAAGCAGAAAGGCCAAAACACACGCCACACGCACCTCGGTGGCTGAAACCCGAAACACATGTGCCGCTTAGAGGTCCGGAACTTCTGACATTTGAAATAAGCCCTAAATCGGAAAGGTTGCAGGGGGTTTGTTGAGCGGCGGCTACGGAAACGACAGCCAACCATGGCAGTTCGGTTCAGTTTGGTTCCGCTTGGAATGAGCTGATAATATAACGGCAGCCATGGCAGCGAGCGAGCACAACACACCGAACACCCGTCCGTCCTCTCTCATCTCGTCGCATTCGCTCCACGCCACATCACATTCCCCTCAACCACCAAATGGGTTGGGGCACGCCGTTATGGTGACAAGAAGAGCATCAACCAAATCACGATTCGCGTCATCCAGCAAGCACGCCTCTCAGTTCCGCTTGTTCATCTTGTCCGCTTCTCGCGTAAGAGTTAGGAGAGTGAACGCCACGCCATGCCACTCTTTCCGATAATGTAGCGCGAGCCGTCGTGTACAGCATCTCGGGCCTCGTATCACAACTCCTAAGCTCGTAGATTCGACCTTGAAGTTAGGACCACATAGTGTACTCGCAACTGCGTCGCGTTCCTCTTCGTCACTCCAAGCACGATAACGGACGGCACAGCCATCACGTAAAGCCGTTTTTTTTCTCAACGCGTAGCAGGGGGACTGCAAGCGGAACTAGGAGTAGCCAGCAAATCTCACGTGGCGCGTTGCGATTGTTCTGCGTAGTCTGAAGATCACGCGCGGTGATTTTGTACATTGTTACTCATCCGTGCTCGTGCGTTATTCTCGCTGCGTGCTCGTGCGTGCTTGCGCGCGGTGCATTGCGTCGAACGCCCTCGTCCCATGTAGTTGCAATGCGTGCGTCCTTTCTTTGTTGATACGCTACAAGTGAAATCTCCTCAAAGGCTCATTCGTCAATGGCTCATTTTCGTACGACAGCCCTAAATTAGCTCAAATTCCGGAGAGTGCTCGTCTCAACCTGCGTCTAAAAATTAGTTCAGAAACACATTGATAGTCTAACCACCCCGCGACGACTACTAAGTCGGCCTATTTATCACCTCACCACCGCGACTCGGTCAGCTTGGTTCGGACAGAAACGATAATTAGTTAACGATGCTCGGTCCTAACAGTGTTATGGACAATACTCGGAGATAGCATTCGTATGCCATTCCCGCCCGCGTTCGCTGAGTTGCTGACTGTATTTATTAGCGAACCGGCAGATAGCCAAGTGGCTGATAACCGAGAAGCGGGTAGGCAAGCGGGCGATAGGCAAGCGAGCGATAGGCAAGCGAGCGATAGGCAAGCGATAGGCAAGCGGTCGATAGGCAAGCGGGCGACATGGGGAACGGGGGAACATCAACTTCCCGTGAACCTGTTCGGCGCGCAGCCCTGCTTTCACGCCGCCACGTGTCACCTGCATCCCTCATTCCGTCCCACCTCCCATTCCTCCCACTCCACCTCCTCCTCCTCCTGTCTCTCCTCCACCCGTCGTCTCTCGTCACCCCGGCAACAGCGGCGCCAGCAGCGGGTACGTGTGTGGGTGGGAGAGGTGTAAGTGTGGGGTGTGTGTGTGCGCGCGCACGCGCACGCTCGCGTGTGTGACACACACACGCGCTCACGTGCTGGGGGTTGAAATTCCAGACCTCTTTCCCCCCTTCTATGCCACACCACGCAGCAGCGGGGCCTCCCTAAGCACCTCCGCTCCCCTCTTCTCTTTCCCCCCCTGCCCCCCCACACAGCAGCGGGTCGCCCCCTAAGCACCTCCGCTCCCCTCTTCGTACCTTCCAAGGGCGTCCGCTTGTTCTTTGAGTCGACTCATAAATCACCTCCTCTTTCCTCCTACCTCCCCCTCCCTCCCCCTCCCTCCCCTTCCCCCTCCATCTGCACCGCACAGCACCAGACTGCACCCTAAGCACCGCCGCCCTCTTCGTGCATCCCAAGGGCACCCCCTCCGCTTGCTGCGGCTCCCAGGACAATCCCTGTGGTATGTGACACGTGGCAAGTCAGTCAGACACGTGCCAAGCCCGTTAAACACGTGTGTGGGTGTGTATGCGTATGCATACAGACACTTATGCATATGTGCAGTGCAGTGACTTTCAGGTTCTACGTCCCTGCATGCCCTCTCCCCATACATGCTCTGGCTCCAAGCCAAAGCCAAAACCTCCTGTGCTATGCCCTCTTGCTGTGGCACGGCATGCGCTCTCCCCATGCTGCGCTCTCCCCATGCTGCGCTCTCCCCATGCTGCGCTCTCCCTATGCTGTGGTCAGTCCTTGTCAAAGATTTTCCCGCGCTTGCCCCTCTTTGGCCCTGTATCTCCATTCCCATCCTCGTTGTCTCATTCCTTCTCCCTGTTGTTGTCTTCCCCACCCTTGGTCTCCCTTTCCGACCTTCTGCAGGTTCACTGGAAGCAGCTCTAGCAAGGTTTGTCCCACCCTAGCAGCTCTAACCTTACCGTTCCTCCCTGCCAGGTGTTTGTTTAGAAGCCCGGGAAATGAAAAAAAGGAATGCAGGGTGTTTTTTTGTAAAAAGCACTCCGCAGGCTCACTGGAATCTGCTATAGCAAGGTTTTGTCCCAACAGCCTTCACCACTCACCACCCCACCGCACCGCACCCCACCCACCCACCATCCACTGTCCTGACCTGAGGGGAGAAAGCCATACAGAGAGATTCCCATTGGCTTTAGAGCAATCCGATCTCACTGCCACTCCCAACTGCCACTCCCAATTGCCACTCCCAACTGCCACTACCAACTGCCACTCCCAACTGTCCTCCCCCAACCCCCGTGCCCTCCTGCTTGTGCCCCGTTTCTTGCTGTAAGCAATGCTTGAAAGCTCTCATGTCCTTTGAGAATTTTCAAAAAACCTACTTTTGTCACTCTCCTCCCACCTTTCCCGTCTCCTCCCTTTCCCACCCGCTACCTTTCCTCTCCCCCTCCCTCCCTCCCTCCCTCCCTCCCTCCCTCCCTCCCTCCCTCCCTCCCTCCCTCCCTCCCTCCCTCCCTCCCTCCCTCCCTCCCTCCCTCCCTCCCTCCCTCCCTCCCTCCCTCCCTCCCTCCCTCCCTCCCTCCCTCCCTTCTTCAATTCCTCTCTCTGAACTCCCACCTTTTTCAGAGCATCTGACAACGCTACAGTCACACTCGCTTCAGGAACATACACTCGCACCGGTCTCCCTCCATCCGCCCCCATCCTCCTCCCTCCCCTCCTCGCCCTCACCATCCTCGGCCCTGCCCTCCCCTCTCCTCCTGCTGTTCTTGACTGCAATGGTGGCCCCTGTCTTGTTGCTTCATGCCAAAGCACCTCCGCTGCTGCTGCTGCTGGGAGTGGGAGTGGGAGTAGCAACAACAGCAGCAAAGGCAGCGGGGGGAGGTGGTGTGAGCAGCAGCAGCCGGTGCTGGTGGTGAAGAATTTAAGAGTGCTCAATGGAGTCACAACGGGGAGCGGGGGCTGCCTGCTGTTGGATGGGTACCGTGCACTGCTCAGGTGTGTATTGCGGTGCTGTACGGCTCTCAGGTGTGTAACAAGGTGTTACTCAGGTGAGTGGCAGCAGGGGGAGGTGGTGTGGGCAGCAGCAGCCGGTGCTGGTGGTGAAGCATCTGAGTGTGGTTAACGGAGTCACAACGGGTGGTGCTGGATGCGTACCGTGCGGTGCTCAGGAGCGTAATGCGGTTCTCAGGCGTGTAATGCGGTGCTCAGGTGTGTATGCTTGCAGTCCTGTGGAGTGCTGAAGTAAATGCTGTGCACTAGGCGATTTCCTTTTCAGGTTAAGGCTGTTCTCTGAGAGCCACGCTTAGTTAAGTGATGTGACAGAGTAACTGTTCCACTTAAAAGATGTCCTGGCGCATATGATTGGCATCTGAATGTATGAGATTCAACAAACTGTTCCTTGAGAGATGACTTTTGAGTCGACTTAAAAGTCGCCTCGACTCAAAAGGCACCTAAAAAATAGCTGAATGTATGAGTATCAACAAGCTGTCCCTTCAGAGTTGCCCAGCAACGAGTCTATTATTGATTCGACTCAAAAATAGCTCTTCCTTGAGGGTTCCTCAGCAACAAATGGTCCTAAAACCCTCTCCTCAACTCTGCTTCCCTCTCGTGTCCCCTCCTGCTCTCTTCTCTCCTCTCCTGTCCTCCCTCATCTCCAATCCCACACAGCCACGTGTCCTTCGCTAACTGCTCGTCAACAGGCCCGAGTGGTGGTGCTATAGCCGTTCTAGAAGCTGCTTCAGCCACTTCTGCAGCTACAACTCTCGTTGCTACAGCCGTGACCATCAGCAGCAGCAGGGTGCGGGGCGGGGGCATGGGCGGGGGCATGTACGTGGGAGCAGGGGCGAGAGTGTCTCTCAAGAAAGCGAGATTCGAAGGGTGCTACACGGAGAGGGAGGAGGGCGTGGCAGGGGGGAACGGCGGGTGCATTGCTTCCTTTTCTGCTGCCAACCTGACCATTGAAGACTCGAGCTTCACTGGGTGCAAGGTGAGGGTTGCGAGATTTGAAGGGTGCTACACGGAGAGGGAGGAGGGCGTGGCACGGTGGCAGGGGGGAACGGCGGGTGCATTGCTGTGTTTTCCGCAGCCAACCTCACCATTGAAGACTCGAGCTTCACTGGGTGCAAGGTGAGGGGTTGAGAAGGAGGGGGAGGGGCAGTGAGTGGAAGGGCTGAGGGGAGGGGTGTGATGAAGTGAGGGCTCGAGCTGAGCTGCCATGTGTCTTGGAGTCGACTTCGAAAACACCCTGGCACCCTCTTCCCCCTTGTCTCCCATCACCCCAGGCCATGGCAGGGGGCGCAGTCAACGAGTTCAATGCATCCACCACCATTGCCAACACCACCTTCACCACCTGCACTGCTGATCAGTGTGCCGACTTCTCACTCCTTCACTCCTGTGTCAAGTCCTTCCCTTGCGCCTTCTCGCACTTCTCCTTCCCTCCCTTCAGTCCATGGCAGGGGGAGCTATAAACGAGTTCAACTCCTCAACCACCATCGCCAGCACCACCTTCACCGCCTGCACGGCCGATCAAGGCGCCGACCTCTCAGTCTTCCCTGCAGGAGGCGCAATCCTCTTCAACACCTCCCTGCACATGCACATCCGCGACTCCTCCTTCCGCCGCTCCTGCCCCAACTCCTTGCACCTCTGCTCTGCTCACCTCTTCCCCTTGGTTTCCCTCTTCTCTCTCATCTCTCTCATCTCCCATCACTCCAGTCCATGGCAGGGGGCGCCATAAACGAGTTCAACTCCTCAACCACCATCGCCAGCACCACCTTCACAGCATGCACCGCCGACCAGGGCGCCGACCTCTCAGTCTTCCCCGCAGGAGGCGCCATCCTCTTCAACGCCTCCCTGCACATGCACATCCGGGGCTCCTCCTTCCTCCGCTGCACCTCCACTCTGACTGGCGGGGCGATCAGTGTGCAATCGGCCGTGGCGCCGCTGACAGTCACGGGGAGTGTGTTTGAGGACAACCAGGCGTTCATGCAGGGGGGGTGCCTCGAGCTTATAATGCTGCCTGGGGTCACTCAGGTGGGTGTGAGGGGGTATGTGTGGGTGAATCTGGACTGTCGACTTATCAACAACGTACCCTCCTTCGCAGCAGCGGTGGTGTCGTATGGTGCAGCCCTCACAGTGCGCGCCTGCCTCTTCCACTCCAACCCACCCCTGCTGGCGATGGCTGTGTCTTACCCTTCATTCCCCATAGAATCCCACTGCCCTTCCCCTTATTCCTCTTCTTCCCCATCACCCCTCCTCCTCCTTCCTCCCCAACCTCCCCCCTCCTTCTTCCCACCTGCAGATTTTGGACTGTCAATTCATCAACAACGTGGTCACAAATGTACCATCCTTCGCAGCAGCAGTCGTGTCATACGGTGCAGCCCTCACAGTGCGCGCCTGCCTCTTCCAAAGCAACGCTGCCACGCCCACCCCTGCTGGCGACGGCAGTGCTTCATCCACGTACCTGTCGCAGGGAGCAGCGCTGATGGTCTTTGCGTTCATGGACCCGCTCTTTCCCGTCACCATCGCTGATTCCACCTTCAGAAACAACACGGTGGGTGGGTCGATGGGTGGGTGCGTGTGCAGCGGGTGGGATTTCACCTCGCTGGTGAGAGGGGTTGGTGGCAGTGCTTCATCCACGTACCTGTCGCAGGGAGCAGCGCTGATGGTGTTTGCATTCATGGACCCCTTGTTCCTGGTTACCATCGCTGATTCCACCTTCAAGAACAACACGGTATGTGGTGGGTGGGCTGCTGGGATGGGTCGTCTCCCCTCACAGGGTTGTCGTTCCACCATGGTGAAACGATGGAAGTGCTTCATTCACGTACCTGTCGCAAGGAGCGGCACTGATGGGGTTTGAATGCAGGCACTGTACTTCCTCCTAACCCCTGCCTTCCTCTCTGCACCCGTGTTGCTTTCCCTATCGTCCCATCGCCCCTGCCTTCCCCTCACCACCCCAACAGGCAAGGCAGGGGGCAACGGTGTATCTGCACGCAGGCAACGTCTTTCCTCCTCACCCCTGCCTTCCTCTCTGCACCCTGTGATCCTGTCCCCTCGTCCTTTCCCAACCCCAACAGGCCGGGCAGGGGGCTGCGGTGTATCTGGATGCAGGCAACGTGACTGTAACGAATTGCTCCTTTATAGAGAACGGCGACCACGGGAACTCCAAGATTGGTGGAGCCAGTGAGTCGCACCGCACCGCACAGCACCCCACCGCACCTGCACCACACCGCACTCCACTGCTCACTTTGCCTCCCTCCCTTGGTACATGTCACCCTCTCTTTGTCTCATGCACATACCGTCAGAACCTCACCACTGCACTCCGTCTGTCGTCCCCACATTTCCCTGCGCTCACTCCATGAAGAAAATGAAATGTAATGGGTTGTGTGCCATTGTGTCGAGGTGCCTTTGGGTCAACTCAAATGTCACACTCAGGCCCTCACCAGTGCGCTCTGTCTGTTTTCCCCACTCTTCCCCATGCTCCCCACTCTCTGTCTGTGGTCCCCACTCTTCCCCGTGCTCCCCACTCTCTGTCTGTTGTCCCCTCTTCAACAGTGGTCTCTCTCTCAAGCCACCACCGCGCTCACCAACTGCACCTTCCGCGGCAACAGGGCGGCCAGCCAGGCGGGGGCGCTGCACTTCCTTGAAGGCCCCTAAAACTTCCCCACTTGTCCTCACTTTTCCCCACTTCCCTCATCCCTGTCCCCATCCCTCGTCTCTCCCTACTGCTTCAGTGGTTTCCCGTGCCACCACTGCGCTCACCAACTGCACGTTCCGCGGCAACAGGGCGGCCAACCAGGCAGGGGCGCTGCACTTCATGCCGTACGGCCCGCTCATAATCCCCCACTTCTTCCCACATTCCCCCTCCTCACTCCTCCCCCATGCGCTCCCAGTGGTTTCCCGAGCCACCACCACGCTCACCAACTGCACGTTTTGCGGCAACAGGGCGGCCAGTCAGGGGGGAGCGCTGCACTGCCTTCGAGGTGCCTCACTGGATTCCCCACTTCTCCTCACTTGTCCCCTCCTCTCCCCATCCCATCCCACTCTCCCAGTGGTTTCCCGAGCCACCACCGCCCTCACCAACTGCACCTTCCGCGGCAACAGGGCGGCCAACCAGGCAGGGGCGCTGCACCTCCTTGGAGACATCTCAACCGTTCTTCACCTCTCTTATCCCATCCCATCCCAACCCAAAACAGTGGTCTCTCGAGCCACCACCGCCCTCACCAACTGCACGTTCAGTGGCAACAGGGCGGCCAACCAGGCAGGCGCGCTGCACTTCCTTTGAGGCTCCACACGATCCCCCTCTTCTCCTAGCCTCACTTCCCCCTTCACTCCTCTACTCCCATTTCCCTCCAGTGGTTTCCCGAGCCACCACCGCCCTCACCAACTGCACGTTCCGCGGCAACAGGGCGGCCAACCAGGCAGGGGCGCTGCACTTCATGCCGTACGGCCCGCTCACAGTCACCAACTGCTCCTTCCACAACAACTCGGTGCTGCTGGCTCAAGGCGGGGCCATCAATGTCTACCCGGTATGAGTCTGCTCCACTCTTCTCCACTCTTCTCCACTCTTCTCCACTCCTCTCCACTCCTCTCCACTCCTCTCCACACTTCATGCCGTATGGCCCGCTCACTATCACCAACTGCTCCTTATCTAACAACTCCGTGCCACTCGTCCAGGGCAGCGCAATCAATATATGCCCGTTATGAACTCCACTCCACTCCACTCCACTCCACTCCACTCCACTCCACTCCACTCCACTCCACTCCACTCCACTCCACTCCACTCCACTCCACTCCACTCCACTCCACTCCACTCCACTCCACTCCACTCCACTCCACTCCACTCCACTCCACTCCACTCCACTCCTCTCAACACTATGTGCCGCACGGCCCGCTCACTATCACCAACTGCTCCTTATCTAACAACTCGGTGCTACTCGTCCAGGGCAGCGCAATCAATATATGCCCGTTATGAACTCCACTCCACTCCTCTTTACTCCACTCCACTCCACTCCACTCCACTCCACTTCCTAACTGTCAGCCCCTTGCGCCCCTCCCACCCACCTCCTCCGCTTCTCCTCTCCCATCCGCCCCAGGGCATGTCACCTGTGGACATAACGGGAAGCCAGTTCGAGGGCAACATATCGGACATATCTCCTTTCCTCTTCCCTCCCTCTCCTCCTCTTTTCCCCCTCTCCTCCTCTTCCCTCCCTCTCCTCCTCTTCCCCCCCTCTCCTCCTCTTCCCCCCCTCTCCTCCTCTTCCCTCCCTCTCCTCCTCTTTTCCCCCTCTCCTCCTCTTCCCTCCCTCTCCTCCTCTTCCCTCCCTCTCCTCCTCTTCCCCCCCTCTCCTCCTCTTCCCCCCCTCTCCTCCTCTTCCCCACCTCTCCTCCTCTTCCCTCCCTCTCCTCCTCTTTTCCCCCTCTCCTCCTCTTTTCCCCCTCTCCTCCTCTTCCCCCCCTCTCCTCCTCTTTTCCCCCTCTCCTCCTCTTCCCCCATCTCCTCCTCTTCCCCCCCTCTCCTCCTCTTTCCCCCCTCTCCTCCTCTTCCATCCCTCTCCTCCTCTTTTCCCCCTCTCCTCCTCTTCCCCCCCTCTCCTCCACTTCCCCCCCCTCTCCTCCTCTTCCTCCCTCTCCTCCTCTTTTCCCCCTCTCCTCCTCTCCCTCCCTCTCCTCCTCTTCCCCCCCTCTCCTCCTCTTCCCCACCTCTCCTCCTCTTCCCTCCCTCTCCTCCTCTTTGCCCCCTCTCCTCCTCTTCCCCCCCTCTCCTCCTCTTCCCCCCTCTCCTCCTCTTTTCCCCCTCTCCTCCTCTTCCCCCCATCTCCTCCTCTTCCCCCCCTCTCCTCCTCTTCCCCCCCTCTCCTCCTCTTCCATCCCTCTCCTCCTCTTCCCTCCCTCTCCTCCTCTTCCTCCCCCTTCCTCAGGGCATGTCACCTGTGGACATAACAAGCAGCCGGTTTGAGGGAAACACGGCGGGGCTATCCCGGGGAGGTGCCATCTACAGTGAGAGCACGGAGATGCGCTTAACTGACGTGCTTTTCAAGGGGAATGAGGCTGGCTTGCAAGGAGGGGCCGTCACAGGTAGGGGCAGTGGTAGATGGGTGAGCAGGCAGAGGGTTGGGGCATGTATGCCCCCTCTGCCATCTACAGCAAGAGCACGAAACTGCGTTTCACTGACGTGCTCTTCAAGGGGAATGAGGCTGGCTTGCAAGGAGGGGCCGTCACAGGTGGGTGTGTTAGTTGTGGGTGGGTGGGTGGGTGGTAGGGGCGAGCAGGGAGCAGGTTGGGTTGGTTGGGGTTGGGTTTGGTTTGGGCATGTGTTTACCCCATGCCATCTACAGTGAGAGCACGGAGATACGGTTCACTGATGTGCTGTTCCAGGGGAATGAGGCTGGCTTACAAGGCGGGGCCGTCACAGGTAGGCGTGGTGGCGGTTCAAGGGGTGGTGATGTGTAAGAGTGTTCATTGATCTTGGAGAACCGCCTCAACCTACCTCCGCCTTCATTTCTTCCTCAGCCCCCCGCTTCACCTCTCCCCACCCCTTCCCCTCCTCCCTCATCCTGCCTCCCTCCCTCCCCCTCTCTCCCCGTCCTCCCAATCCCTCTCATAGCATACGGAGCAGAATCCGAAGGCAAGCCTGCCACAGTGACCTTCACCAGGTGTACCTTCCCTCCCAGGTCAACAAGCTGATTGAATTTATGGGCCGCAACTCACCCCCTCGTTCCCCTTGACCCTCCCACCCCCACTCCCCCTCACAGCATACGGGGCAGAGTCAGAGGGCAAGCCTCAAGCCTGCCACAGTGACCTTCACCAGATGTACCTTCCAGAGCAACCGGGCACTACTGAGAGCCTCACCTCACCCCACCCTCGTCACCCCCCCGCCCCTGTCAACCCCTCTCACAGCCTACGGGGCGGAATCCGAAGGCAAGCCCGCCACAATGACCTTCACCAGATGCACCTTCCAGGGCAACCGGGCGGCGCTGGGGGGAGGTGCTATCTACTCGGGGCTGAGTGTGGGCATGCGCATGGAGGGGAGTCAAGTCGAGGAGAACGAGAGTGCTGGCACGGGAGGGGGAATACTCATACAAGAGTTCTCCAGATTGACTATGGCGGATTGTGACTGCAAGAACAACAGGTGAGGGGGACAAGATGCTCTGAGCGTGGGCATGCGTGTGTTTTGGGAGGCGTTTTTTATGGGAGTTTCAAAGGGTGCTTACTTACTGATGGGGGAGGTGCTATCTACTCGGGGCTGAGCGTGGGCATGCGTGTGTTGGGGAGACGTTTTTTTTTTAAAGGAGTTTTGGAGATTGCTCACTTACTGGTGGGGGGAGGTGCTATCTATTCGGGCCTGAGTGTGGGCTTGCGCATGGAGGGGAGCCGGATCGAGGAGAAGGAGAGTGCTGGTACTGGAGGGGACGTTTTGGTGCAGGAGTTTTCCAAAGTCATGATGACAGACTGACTGCAAGAACAACAGGTGAGGGGGAGGAGAGGAGAGGGGCTGATTGTGGGCATGGGCATGGAGGGGAGCCGAATTGAGGAGAATGAGAGACAATGCTTCCTTGTGACAGTCCCCCTTGTTCATTCATTTGTGCAGCCATAGTCACTTTTGGTGGAGACCTCTTGTACGAGTAACGAGAACGCCCCCTCCCGTGCCCTCTTGCCAACGCCACAGCCCGCCTCTCCTCCTCCCGCCTCCTCCTCTCAACCATGCCACCAGCGAAGGCGGAGCCGCCCGCATCAGCGGTGCAGCCACTCTCTCTCTGCTCTCCTCACTCCGTTAAGTTTCCCTCGCTCACCCCCATGCCCTCTCTTTCCCATCCCGTGCATGTGTATCCTTCCTCCTCCCCCAACCATCAGTGCATCCACAGGGGGCGGCTGTCTCTCCCTGCTAGCCAACGCCACGGCCCGCCTCTCCTCCTCGCGCCTCCACCTCAATCTCGCCACCAGCGAAGGCGGAGCCGCCCGCATCAGCGGTGCAGCCACTCTCTCTCTGCTCTCCTGCAACGTCTCTCAGAACACCGCCCCCTGGGGAGGCGCCGTGTGGGTGGAAATGGAGGCAAGGCTACAAGCGGAAAACAGCACAGTGTTTTCTGGTAACCGCGCGGACTATATGGGGGGCGTGGTCTACGCGACGCATGTTTCCGTCGTGACTGTATCGAATAGTTCTTTTCTCGGGAATAACGCGCTGCACGGCGGGGCGATCGCGGCCGAAGCAGAGGCGAATGTATCGGCAGTTGATTCGGCGTTTTCTGGGAATGTGGTTTCGGCAGTGCTGCTGCAGGGGTTGGCAGGTGGGCGCTTCACCAGATGTACCTTCACCAGGAACAGGAATCCGGCGGGGACAGGTGGCGCGCTGCGATTGGCCGACGGGGTCGCTGCGGTGGTGGAAGGGAGCAGGTTCGAGGGGAACGTGGCTGAGCTGGGCGGAGGCTTGGCGGTGGATGGACAGGCTCGGTTGGTCCTAACCTCAGGTTCGGAATTCAGTGGGAATTCCGCGCAGGTGGGAGCAGGGGCGGCGTTTGTAGGGACGGCGGTTGTGAATGTATCCGGATGTGCTTTTAATGGGAACAATGCGAGTGTGGCGGGAGGGGGGATGGCTGTGTTAGAGCAGGCGTCAGGGGGGGTGGGAGGGAGCGAGTTTAGTGGAAACTATGCGGTGCTGGGCGGTGCAGGGGTGTACGTGCTGCGCTCGCCCCTGGGGACCTCAGAGAGCGGGGGAACAGCAGGAGCAGCAGGGGCGGCAGGGGCGGCAGGCACTGCTGCTGGAGCAGGTGGTTCAGGTGGAAAGTCAGGTGGAGGCCGCCAGTTACAGCAGCAGGGGCAGGGGCAGCAGGGGCAGGGTCAGCAGCAGCAGCAGCAGCAGCAGCAGCAGCAAGGGGTGGGAGAGCAGGGGCTGGGGAGGCTGGTGGTGAAGCAGCTGAGTTTTGAGGGCAACAGTGCGCTGTACCGGCAGGCAGCAGCCTTCTTTGAAGCCACCACCGCCCACCGCCAGCTGCGCTCACTGTGTGAGGGGTGTGCGTTCCGAGGGGTGGGGGACACGCAAGGCACCATGCCCGCTGGCTTCTCCATTAAGTGAGTGCTGATTGGCTTTTGAGACATTTCAAACACCTTGCACCACCCACCGCCACCTGCGCTCACTGTGCGAGGGGTGTGCGTTCCGAGGGGCGGGGGACACACAAGGCACCATGCCCGCTGGCTTCTCCATTAAGTGAGTGCTGATTGGCTTTTGAGACATTTCAAACACCTTGCACCACCCACCGCCAGCTGCGCTCACTGTGCGAGGGGTGTGCGTTCCGAGGGGCGGGGGACACGCAAGGCACCATGCCCGCTGGCTTCTCCATTAAGTGAGTGCTGATTGGCTTTTGAGACATTTCAAACACCTTGCACCACCCACCGCCAGCTGCGCTCACTGTGCGAGGGGTGTGCGTTCCGAGGGGCGGGGGACACGCAAGGCACCATGCCCGCTGGCTTCTCCATTAAGTGAGTGCTGATTGGCTTTTGAGACATTTCAAACACCTTGCACCACCCACCGCCAGCTGCGCTCACTGTGCGAGGGGTGTGTGTTCCGCAGGTCGGGCCGTGGGGGGGACACCCAGGGCACCATGCCCGCTGGTTTCTCCCTCAAGTGAGTGCCAGAATGGGTGGTGTGAGGAAGAGTGAGGGAGTGGTGCGACAAAGTGTTATTGCATGCATGGTGTGAGGAGGAGTCGGAGTGACAAAGTGTTATTGCATGCATGGTGTGAGGTGGAGTCGGAGTGACAAAGAGTTATTGCTGCACTGAGGTTTTGAGTGCCTACCATGACGGCTCTGTCTTGGTCAAAGTGCCCCCCCTCTCTCTCTCTCTTCCCACCCAAAAGCCCAAGTTGGCTTTTGAGTCGACTCAAAAGTGCCTACCGTGACAGCTCTGTCTTGGTCAAAGTGCCCTCTTCCCTTTGACTGCCCTCACTCTCTCTCTCCCCACACGCAGCAGCCTGCTGACCCCACTCAAAAGCCGCCTTCCCTTTTCCGATTTCCCTTTTCCCTCTTCCCTTTTCCTTCTCTTCTCCTACCCCCCACTCGCCCGCAGGTGGCCAGGCAGGGAGGAAGACTCCAGCATGGTGAACGCGAGGGGGGAGGCGTTTGTGGTGCGGGCAGCAGCGGGTTATCGTATAGAGGGGCTGCATACATACAACCACATCCCCCCCCCCTCTCTCTTGCTTGCTCCCTGATGGCCGGGCAGGGAGGAGGATTCCAGCATGGTGAATGCGAGGGGGGAGGCGTTTGTGGTGCGGGCAGCAGTGGGGGCGCGCATAGAGGGGCTGCAGGTTCTCGTCCTGGATGCACTCAACCAGAGCGTGGCTCAGGACAGCACGTCTCTGCACTGCTGCCCTCTGTCTCCCTCCTTTCACCCAAAACCCCTCCATTCCTTGACCTCCTCGCTCTGCCTACCATTCGCCCAGGTGGCCGGGCAGGGAGGAGGATTCAAGCATGGTGAATGCGAGGGGCGAAACCTTTGTGGTGCGGGCAGCGGTCGGGTCGCGCATAGAGGGGCTGCAGGTTCTTGTCCTGGACGCCTTCAACCAGAGCGTGGCGCAGGACAGCACGTCGCTGGCTGCTGTCTCGCCTGACAGCCGGATTAGTGGCGACCTGAGGGGTACTGCTGTGAATGGAATTATTACCATCCCTTCGATTGGCATCCAGGTGCGTGCAAGGGGGAATCGGCATTCAGGTGGCATGAGGGGGAGAGTTGGTGGCGCAGGACAGCACGTCGCTGGCTGCTGTCTCTCCTGACAGCCGCATTAGTGGTGATTTGAGGGGCACTGCTGTGAATGGCGTCATTGCCATTCCTTCGATTGGTATCCAGGTGCGTGCGAGGGGGAGTTGGTGGTACAGTTCAGGACAGCATTCAACGAGAGCGTGGTGCAGGAGGGCAGCACGTCGCTGGCTGCTGTCTCGCCTGACAGCCGGATTAGTGGCGACCTGAGGGGTACTGCTGTGAATGGAATTATTACCATCCCTTCGATTGGCATCCAGGTGTGTGCAAGGGGGAATCGGCATTCAGGTGGCATGAGGGGGAGAGTTGGTGGCGCAGGACAGCACGTCGCTGGCTGCTGTCTCTCCTGACAGCCGCATTAGTGGTGATTTGAGGGGCACTGCTGTGAATGGCGTCATTGCCATTCCTTCGATTGGTATCCAGGTGCGTGCGAGGGGGAGTTGGTGGTACAGTTCAGGACAGCATTCAACAAGAGCGTGGTGCAGGAGGGCAGCACGTCGCTGGCTGCTGTCTCGCCTGACAGCCGCATCAGTGGCGATTTGAGGGGCACCGCCGTCAATGGCGTCATCACCATCCCCTCCATCGGTATCCAGGTGCGCGCATGGGGGAGTTGGTGGTTCAATTCAGGACAGCATTCAACGAGAGCGTGGTGCAGGAGGACAGCACGTCACTGGCGGCTGTGTCACCTGACAGCAGGATTAGTGGCGACCTGAGGGGCACTGCTGTAAACGGGATCATCACCATCCCCTCCATCGGTATCCAGGTGCGCGCCAGGGGGAGTTGGTGGTTCAGTTCAGGACAGCAAACCGAGAGCGTGGCTCAGGAGGACAGCACGTCGCTGGCTGGCTGCCGTGTCGCGTGACAGTAGCATTAGTGGCGATCTGAGATTCGAGGGGCACTGTGAATGGTGCTGTCAATGGCGTCTGTGCCATTCCTTCGATTGGTATCCAGGTGCGTCACCATTCCCTCCATCAGCATCCAGGTGGGTGGACATAGGGGTTGTGTGCAAGAGGGAGAGAGAGTTAGTGTTGGTGTAGCCCCAAACTATGTTCAGAAAGACGCGTCCTGCGTCCTGGACGCATGCGTCCAGACGCAGGACGCTGTACCAGGACCTGTAAGACGCATCAAAAGACGCAAGCCCGGGCAGGGCAAAAAAAACCCCCGGGCAGGCAAAAAAAAGTAGTACAGGGCTTGGGAGAGGGGGGGTTGGTGACCTACCACACTTTTCGGGCTACATTTTCCCCAACCACAAATTTGTTCCCCAAAATGTAAGTTTAAGGTGGGTCACGCGTCACACATTTATGGTGGTCACACACAGTTTAGGTTGCAAGCTAAGCTAAGAACTAAAACCTCTATGGGTTTACGAAAGAGAATTGGTGAGGGGAAAATGAGAAGCCACAAAAGCTTGCCATGGTAAATGTGCTTGGTGGTGGTGGGCCACAAGGGTTGGGATTCGTAGATGCTAAGTGGTTGAGAGGTTTGAGTGAAATTCAATTTTGATTGAGTTGTTAGGGAAATGTTAGGGGGACTGGTTTTGAATGGCGTTTTGGGCTTGGGGTGGGGGAATTTCGCGATTTTGATATTCGCGTCGAAATCGCGAATGTCAAAATCGCGATCGAATTTTTTTTTTCCGGGCTGCCCGAAATTTTTTTCGACGTGCGTCCTGCGTCTGGACGCGCGTCCTGCGTCCTAGCGTCCTAGCTGCGTCTTTCTGAACATAGGCCCCAAAAGACGGGACAACGGAAGAGGGCGAGACGGAGACAGAAGCACCAGCAGCATGGTGCTCATGGCGAGGGGGTTTCACCATGAGAGAAGCAGAGGGCGAGACGGAGACAGCAGCATGGTGCAGAACCCCCTGTCGCTCTTTCTCTCATGTGATCACCTTTCGCCCTTTTGCGCCCATGCAGGTCACACCAGAGGAAGCCCAGTCGTTTGGGGTCACTGTGACCCTCTCCTCGCCTGCTATCACCGTTTTCCACCTCTCTCTACCTCCTGCAATCACCTCTCCCCCTCGATCACCCATGCAGGTGACACCAGAGGAAGCCCAGTCATTCGAGGTCACTTTGACCCTTTCGTCGCCGTCTAACGCCTTTCCCCCCGTCACCCGCGCTTTCAACATCTCCTTCTGCTCCGCGGGCGAGTTTCTCAACGCGACTTCGCTCACGTGCCAGGACTGTCTAGTTGGCCACTGGTGAGTTGGGGAGGAGAGAGAGAGAGAGAGAGAGAGAGAGCGAGAGAGAGAGAGAGAGAGAGAGAGAGAGAGAGAGAGAGAGAGAGAGAGAGAGAGAGAGATAGAGAGAGCGGTAGGAGAGGCCCGTCCTTGGATTGCCTCATGGTCTTGGACCCCACCCTGGACCTCCCCTAGAGGGAGCCACGGGGGGGGAGGGGGAGGCTGCGTTGCAAGATGAGTAGGAGGCTTAGATTTGTGACGACTGTTGCGTGCCATACCAATACCTTGCATGTGTGTACTCCACGATTATCAATGAAAGGGCCATTAGAGAGAGAGAGAGAGAGAGAGAGAGAGAGAGAGAGAGAGAGATAGAGAGAGAGAGAGAGAGAGAGAGAGAGAGAGAGAGAGTGCGACGTGGCAGTCTGAGGAGGGCGTTATGGCACTTGAAGCCACGCCAGTCAGCACGCCGTCCCCTGAGGTTCTGGATTCCCTGCGCGCCAAACACCCAAGGGCCCAGCGCCCTGACACCCCGTGGCCCCAACCCGAACCAGACTCTTACCTGTCAGTCTCACGGGAAGTCTTCCTGAAGCTTCTCTCCAAATGCGAGAATGGGGTAGGGGCGGGCCCTTCAGGCACGACGTTCGAGCACCTGTGCAAAGCAGCCCTGATGCACACTGAAGTCAGCACTCACCTACACGCGCTAGTCAACACCATCTTGCGCGGAAAACTGGGCGTGGAGGTAGGGCGGCTACTCACTGCTTCGCGGTTGATTGCCCTCGAATAGCCCGACGGAGGAACCAGGCCGATTGCCATAGGCGAGTGTATCCTCCGATTAGCAGCAAAGGCCGCGCTTTCCCAGCTAGCAGAAGCTGCGCGTGAGTTCTTCTTACCTCTGCAATTTGGCGTGGCTGTCCCCAGAGGAGCGGAAGCGGTCATTCGCGTCGTACGAACCTTCACCGCGGCCAACAGAAACGCGCTGGTCCTACAGGCCGACTTGGCGAACGCCTTTAACAGTGTGGATCGCCACGCCATAGCGTCGGCATTGAAAGGCTCGAAGCTTGAGCCGCTGCTGCCACTGGTACACTTCTCCTACGGCCAGCCGTCCACTCTGCATCTGGACGCGGCCTTCAATCACCCGCCCCTGCTCAGCGAGACGGGAGTCCGTCAGGGGGATCCCCTCGGCCCCCTTCTCTTTGCCGCGGCCATGCACCCAGCCCTGAAGGCGGCCGCGGAGGCACATCCAGATGTCATCTGCCTTGCCTACGCGGACGACGTCACCTTTTTGGGAGAACCGTCGTCATGTGCCGCTGCATTCAACAACTTCACGGGCCGCCTGGCAGAAATAGGGCTGAGGCACAACCCTGCAAAGTGCGGGGCATGGTCAGATGGGCCGCCCACAGATGTACACCTACCTGAAGGAGTTCCCCCAAGTCATGACGGCTTGAAGGTGTTGGGGAGCTACATCGGCACCACCACGGCTACCTCAGCCTTTGTGCGGTCCAGCCTGGAGGCAATGGGAGCGCCTCTGGGGTTGATTGAGCAGATGGAGCCTCAGCTGGCTGGGCTGCTGCTTTCTCGGTGCATCTCGCGCCGGGTGTCTTACCTAGCCCGCACAACACCGCTGCCATCCCTGCCCAAGGAGGAGTGGTCAGAATGGGGAAGGAGGCTGCTGGAAACGCTCCTGACGGCATGCGGCATCAATCACCCGCGCGGGGAGGAAACTTCACGCACGTGGGCGCAAGCCTCTCTCCCCGTGTCGTTGGGAGGGCTCGGCCTGACCGACCCCACCGTGGAAGGAGGCTACAGCTTCCTCGCCAGCTACACGCAGGCGCAGCTGCTGCTTGACTCCTTGGATGGCGAGCGCATCGGCCCATTGGACGCTACACGAGAGCTGATGCGCGGCCCATACACGCGGTCCTCTCCTCTGACCGAATGGCTAGCGGATTGTGAGGAGGAGCTCCCCTTGCCGGCACAAGAGGCCCTGCAAGCAGAAAGAACAGCTCCAACCGCGGGGAAGCTGCAGCACGGCCTGGCCACGGCGATCCAGGGCCAGCGCTATGCCGTGCAGGTGGAGGAGGCGAGGGGGATGAGGCCGAACCCTAACAACGGCCACACGCAGCGGCTGCTGTCCCTGTCAGGGTACGGGGCTGGGGACTGGTTAAACGCCGTGCCCATCCACTCCTCGCTACGCCTAGAGGCCCCCCACTATGCCAACGCGGTCCAGTTCCGGCTAGGCCTCCCCTTCGCTGCTCCAGGGGTTTGCAACTGCACAAAGAAGGTGAAGATCCCAGATAAGTGGCTTCCGAACCACCTGCTACGCTGCGGCACGGGGGGGGGGACGCACAAACACACATAATGAGTTACGAGACGAGTGCGCACGGATGGCGCGAGACGCTGGATTCATGGTACACGTAGAGACGGCTGCCTTCAGCCCCGTGGAGGAGAAGAAGGCGGATTTGGCCTTACGATGCCGCTCCACCGGCGCCGTCTACATCTGTGATGTGACGGTGACGGACCCCATCAGCACCCGCGACGAGAATGCATCTAAGGGGCGGGGATGGGCGGCACGAGAAGCCGCAGACAAGAAGCACGGCTTGTACACGGACCGCCCTGAGTGGGTGAAGTTCTTCCCACTAGCGGTCGAGACGTATGGGTGCCCATGCCCTGAGACAGTAGACTTCCTGAAACTGCTCGCGGATACAGCTGCAAGGCGGTTCTTAACGCCGAGCCCACCTCCTACCAAGCTGCCAAGCTTCTACACCAATACCGGCAGCGGTGGTCGGTGGCTCTTCAAAGGGGGCAGTCGATTGGTTACCTAGAAAAGTGCAGCATAGCAGCTGCCATAGAAAACCCACTGCTAGAGCCAGTGGGGGAGGCCCCGTCCCTAGGGGACTGCCTCTCGGTCCTGGATCCTGCTCTGGACCTAGCTTAAGGGGGGGGGGGGGGGGGGGGTGGGGAAGGGGGTAGAGTTCATGTGTGCGTATGTTGAGGGATATGCCTTAGACCTACCCGCGTTTAGCATTTGCCGTGCACGCCTGTATGACCTTGTATCAATCAATGAAAGGGCCATTGGAGAGAGAGAGAGAGAGAGAGAAGATTCGTACAGGGCGTTGGGTTTAGGGTTCCTCAAATGCCCCTCTCCCCCTCATCACCCGCGCCTTAACCATCTCCTTCTGCTCTGCGAGCGAGTTCCTCAACGCCACCTCGCTCACCTGCCAGGATTGTCTGGTTGGCCACTGGTGAGTTGGAGAAAGATGTGGTGTGGTACGAGTTTTCAAGGGCTTAGGGTTTAGGGTTCCTCAAAAGCTGTTTGCCATGCCCCGACGGCTTCCTCTCCTTCTAACCCGCGAGCCTCCTCCCTTGTCCTACTCCCTTCTCCTCCCCGCCCTCCACTCTCCCAGGTGCGAGGCAGGGCAGCCCATGCAGCCCTGTCCGGACGGGTTCTTCTCCTTCTACCCGTGAGCCACCACCCCTGCTGAGTGCACCGCCTGCACCGATGACAACCTAGACTGCACGGGCGGCATCCTCACCGTGGGGTACCAGAGCTGGCTGGACCTGCAGTCGCACTGCTCAGTGCTTCTCCTCCCTCCTGTGCACCCCCCATCCCAGGTGCGAGGCAGGGCAGCCCATGCAGCCCTGTCCAGACGGCTTCTTCTCCTTCTACCTGCATACGCATTGCTGAGAGCCTCCCCTCTCCTCTCCTCCCCCCTTCTTCTCCTCCCCTCCTCCCCTTTCTCCTCCTCTCCCCCTCTTCTCCCAACCTTCAAACTCCCAGGTGCGAAGCAGGGCAGCCCATGCAGCCTTGCCCAGACGGATTCTTCTCCTTCTACCCGCGAGCCACCACCCCTGCCGACTGCACGGCCTGTGATGACGACAACCTCGACTGCACAGACGGCATCCTCACCGTGGGGTACCAGAGCTGGCTGGACCTGCAGTCACTGAATAGCACGCCCACCACGTACAGCTGTCTGGTGGCGGATGGGTGTGTGGGGTATGAGTACAACGAGCAGTGGGGGCAGACCACCCCGCAGGGCGTCATGATTCAATGCCAGCAGGGCTACGACGAGAGCATCCCGTGAGTGCCTGGGTGTGTCGGGCAGAGGGTAGAGAGGGCAAAAGGGAGGGTAGAGGGTAGGGCAAGAGGGAGGGTAGAAAGAGAGGGAGAGTGCCACTGTGGGGTATCAGAGCTGGCACCACGTACAGCTGTCTGGTGGCGGATGGGTGTGTGGGGTATGATTACAACGAGCAGTGGGGGCAGACGACTGCTCAGGGCGTCATGATTCAATGCCAGCAGGGCTACGACGAGTCCATCCCGTGAGTAGTACTGTTGGTGGGTGTTCTAGGGAGTGCTTGTGAGTGTGAGGTAAAAGGGAGGTTACAAATGACCGAAATGGGCATTTTTCTTTGCTTTGAAGAATACGTTTGTGAGTGCACAGACTTGCAATTATGCTGGAAAGTGCAAGGGAATGAAGTAAGAACGATTGGTCATGGTTACCCACGACAGAAAATTTCCTGCTTTATTTTCTCTCGTGCCACCCTCTCAGGAGGCCACCCTCTCTTCTCGTGCTGCAGCAGCGCACCGCACCCTCTCATTGCTGCAGCACTCACTAAGCACTGTGCCCTCCTGTCACACACTCTCATCACCTCTACGTCTCCCAACTCTCTTTGTCACCACTATGCTATCTCCCCCTGTTATCTCTCCAAACCCCCACTGCAGCACGTGTGCGGGGTGTGTGGACGGCTATTTCCTCGTGCTGCAGCAGTGCACTCAATGCAGTAGCACCCTCACAAGGGTAAGTGTGCGCCCTAGCTACGATACTGTCCCGCTCATTCTAGTGATCCTAGCATGGATGGGAATGAACATACTGGCCGACACATTCAGCAGCATGGACATCTTCCCCTCCTTGCCTCTAATCCCTCTTCCCCCTCCCCTCTTCCCTTCCCGCCTTCCCCCCAGGTCTTCCCCCTGCTTCTCATCCTGGTCATCCTAGCATGGATGGGAATGAACATTCTTGCCGACACATTCAGCAGCATGGACATTTTTCTGAACGACCTCCAGCTGCTAGTCATGATCGCCTCTTTCAACCTCAACTACCCCGACCGATGGGTGCAAACTCTCGTCAAGATCTACAACTTCGCGGTTTTTGACCCGGTAAGGAGGTGTGCAGTGCGGTGGGGTGAGGTTGTGTCTGGTGCAGCGCGGTGCAGTGGGTTTAGGGTTGCCGCTCTGCGCAAACTCTAGCCAAGATCCACAACATTACTGTCTTTGACCTTGTGAGATGGGATTCAGAACTGCGCAGTGCGGTTCTCTGAGGTGGTGTGTGGTGCAATACTCCCCAACTCACCACCTCCTTCCCCAGAAACCCCACCACTACTCTTCCCTACCTCCCTCATTCCAGAACCCCCCAAATGTCTCTGTCACCTCCCATTTTTTAAACTCCCCCTACCCCTCTTCCTAAACTCTCCTTCACCCACCTTCCCCACCCCTTCTCCAACAGGACGCGATAGGTCCGCAGTGCATATTCAACTGCACCTTCATTACCATTACCATTACCCTTACTCTTAACATTACCGTTACCATTACTATTACTATAACCATTACCACTACCATTATCATTACCATTAATATTACTATAACCATTAATATTACCATTACTATTACTATTATCATTATCATTACCATTTCCATTACCATTAATATTACTATTACCACTTATTTTACCATTACCATTACCACTACCATTACCATTACCATTACCAGAACCATTACCGTAACAATTACCACTATCATTATCATTACCATTACCGTTACCACTACCATTACCATTACCACTACCATTACCATTACCATTACCATTACCATTACCACTACCATTACCATTACCACTACCATTATCATTACCATTACCAGTACCACTACCATTACCATTACCAGTACCATTACCATTACCATTACCACTACCATTACCATTACCACTACCATTATCATTACCATTACCATTACCACTACCATTACCATTACCACTACCATTATCATTACCATTACCAGTACCATTATCATTACCATTACCAGTACCACTACCATTACCATAACCATAACCATTACCGTTCCACCGGGGCATCTTCATTCTTCCCCCCCTGGCTGGCACCACGTGCTCTACTTGTGGCGCCATAAGCCCAGCCTCAGACCCTCCTTTCTCCTCCCACCCCTCCTTCCTCTTTTCAACAGGATGCCATCGGGACGCAGTGCATATTCAACTACACCTTCATCTCCAAGTTCTACCTGGGGATCTACCGCATCTTCTTAGGCTCTTCAAGAGGCCCCACCCTCCCCTTCCTCCCCTCCCCTTTCAACAGGATGCCATCGGCCCGCAGTGCATATTCAACTACACATTCGTCTCCAAGTTCTACCTGGGCATCTTCATCCCCGTTATAGGCCTCTTCGTTTACGCGCTGCTGTACGCGCGGCACCGCTGGTGGGGCGGCACCACCTGGTCGCACATCTACTCGTTCCGCCAGGGTCCCAACCCACAGGCGCGCCTCATGCGCTCGGTCACAAGGCGAAGAGCTTATAACGAGTATGAGAACTCGATTGTCCACGCATCGCTGAAGTGGCTGGACATCTGCTACGTCTCCGTCATGGTCCGCGTGCTCTCTGTGTACAAGGTAATGTCACACTGACTGCACTGACTCTGCACTGACCGCATTGACCATAAGATTGACCGCTGGTGGGGCGGGACGGCCTGGTCGCACATCTACTCGTTCCGGCAGGGGCCCAACCCGCAGGCGCGCCTCATGCGCTCGGTGACGCGGCGGAGAGCTTATAACGAGTATGAGAACTCGATTGTCCACGCGTCGCTCAAGTGGCTGGACATCTGCTACGTCTCGGTCATGGTCCGCGTTCTCTCCGTGTACAAGGTAATATCAGGCTCTCTGTTGACTGCGTTGACTTCATTGACTGCGTTGACCGCATTAACGAGTATGAGAACTCCATTGTGCACGCGTCGCTCAAGTGGCTCGACATCTGCTACGTCTCAGTCATGGTCCGAGTGCTGTCGGTGTACAACAAGGTGAGAAGATCTGCTGTCCATGGTTCACATTGCCCCTCGCTTTTACGAGTATGAGAACTCGATCCATCGTGCACGCGTCGCTCAAGTGGTTGGATATCTGCTACGTCTCGGTGATGGTCCGCGTGCTCTCCGTGTACAAGGTAATACCAGCTATATTGGTGTGACTTTTGAGAATTCTCAAAATCCCGCCTTGACTGCATTTATCGCTCAAGTGGCTGCTCGCTGCTCGTCTCTATCATCTACCTGCTGGGCCTGCCGCTCTTCTTCGCCTTCCTGCCGCTCTTCTTCGCCTTCCTGCCGCTCTTCTTCGCCTTCCTGCCGCTCTTCTTCGCCTTCCTGCCGCTCTTCTTCGCCTTCCTGCCGCTCTTCTTCGCCTTCCTGCCGCTCTTCTTCGCCTTCCTGCCGCTCTTCTTCGCCTTCCTGCCGCTCTTCTTCGCCTTCCTGCCGCTCTTCTTCGCCTTCCTGCCGCTCTTCTTCGCCTTCCTGCCGCTCTTCTTCGCCTTCCTGCCGCTCTTCTTCGCCTTCCTGCCGCTCTTCTTCGCCTTCCTGCCGCTCTTCTTCGCCTTTCTGCTGCTCGACGCTCACACCTCTCTCTCGCCCTGTCTCTCTCCCTTGCTACCCTTTCCCTCCTTCCCCCCCCCATTCTTGCCCCAGTCAATGACAGTGGGGGACGCAGTGCTAATGGCAGCAGCACCGCAGATCCCATGGTTCTCATCGGCGCACATCGGCATGTTCACCGTCTCTCTGTTTGTCTCCATCATCTACCTGCTGGGCCTGCCGCTCTTCTTCGCCTTCCTGCTTCTCGACGCACACGCCTCCGACGCCCTCTCCTCCAACCTCTTCCGCCAGAGATTCGGGTGGCTCACAGAGCAATACAAGCGCGAGTTCTGGTGGTGAGTGGTGGAGCCTTAGGAGTTAAAATGCACAGCCTTAGCGGTATACTGATGCTTAGCCATGTTGAAAACAAGGAACTAGGTTCCTTCCTCCTTTTCATGTCTTCCCCCCATGCGTCTCTCCTCTCCCCATCATGGTCTCTCTGCATCTGTAATCCTGACCATCACCACAGGTGGCATCTGGTAACAATGGTGCTGCGACTGGTTCACGCACTTGTTCTCATGTTCCTGCAGCAAGACACTTAGACCGATCAACACTCTCCTCTTCTGTGCCTCTCTGCGCCTCTCCCCACCATTGCAGGTGGCATCTGGTAACAATGGTGCTGCGACTGGTTCACGCACTTGTTCTCATGTTCCTGCAGCAAGACACTTAGACCGATCAACACTCTCCTCTTCTGTGCCTCTCTGTGTCTCTCTCCCCACCATTGCAGGTGGCATCTGGTAACAATGGTGCTGCGACTGGTTCATGCGCTTGTGCTCGTGTTCCTGCAGCAAGACACTTAGACCGATCAACACTCTCCTCTTCTGTGCCTCTCTGCGCCTCTCCCCACCATTGCAGGTGGCATCTGGTAACAATGGTGCTGCGACTGGTTCATGCGCTTGTGCTCGTGTTCCTGCAGCAAGACACTCGCGCGCAGGTCAGTGAGAAATTTGATGTAGGGAGGGCAGGCAGGCGACTTTTGAGTCGACTCAAAAGTCACCTCGTTACTATGGCACAAGAAATTTGATGTAGGGAGGGCAGGCAGGCGGGTTGGGGGAGACAGGTTGCACATGTGTAGGGCCATCGTTGTTGCACAATGTGTCAATGGGTTTCACATAATTCATACAGTTTCACCACCACACTCCGGACCATTATCGTTTCCCTCTATCTCGCTCCCCTTCCCCTCCCCTCCCCTCAGATCGTGATAATCCTCCTCCTACAAGCACTGCGGATCGGCTCACAGTACAAGTCGTCCCCCCTCGCCTCGCTCTCCCTCGATTACCTCCAGGCCTTCCTCTCCCTGGGTCACTTCTTTTTCACGCTCGGCCTGCTCTGCTTCAACTACATCAAACCAGGCCGTCTTTGTCCTCCTTTCCCGACCCCCTTCCCCCTCTTCAACACCGTCCTTTCCCCTGCCTCCCTTCCTTCTATTGACCCTCCCCACCCCCGCCGCCAGATCGTGATAATCCTACTGCTCCAAGCACTGAGAATCGGCTCACAGTACAAGTCGTCCCCCCTCGCCTCGCTCTCCCTCGATTATCTCCAGGCCTTCCTCTCCCTGGGCCACTTTTTCTTCACGCTCGGCCTGCTCTGCTTCAACTACATCAAACTCCCCGCCTTCTCCCAGGCCGTCTTCGCCCTCTCCACCCTCCTCATCCTCGCTCCCGCCGCCTTCTCCCTCGTCTTCGAAGCAATCAACAAAGACCTCGAAATTGTGAATAGGCAGCTGTTGAGCCGAGTCTGGAAGGGCGAGCGGAGGAGAAACAAAGCTAAGTATGATAAAATGGATCCGTATGACTTAGTCCCGCCGCAGGAGATTTCCGCATGGTTCCGCCCTCACGTCGTCTTCCCACTGCTCTTAGCTAAGCGCGCGCACGAGCGGAAACTTTTACTTAAAGTGCGCGACCGTGTGCAGACGTGTAAGCTGGCGGGAATGGCGCCGGTCGATTGGGTGAGTCATCTGAACAAGCCGCAGTTATACGCTGTGTTGAGTCAGGCTTTACTGGGGGCTAGTGCGGGGCATATCACGATTGCTAGGGTGCCCAGGAAGGGGACGTTTTGTAGGGAGCATGGGACGTGGCATGCTGCTGGGGAGGAGTGCTGCTTTGTGAGAAGAGCAGGGGGGACGCAAGGAGACGGCGGGGAGGGACGCGGGGAGGGACGCGGGGAGGGATCAGGGGTAGGAGACGGAACAGGAGCGGGAGCAGGAGGAACGGGAGCAGGAGCAGGAGGAGGAGGAGGAGGAGGAGGAGTCAACGACAGCGCAGCTGCTGTCAGCAGCGCCGTGGGCGCCGCGGATAGAGAGGCATGTGAGCTGGGCGTCATATGATAGCAGCAGCAGGGACTTCGACGGCAGCGCCTCTGGCCGAAACGCCGCTGCTGCTGCTGCCGCCGCCGCCGCCGCCGCCGCCGCTGCTGGTGGTGGTGCCGGCGTGTCACCCAACATGTCTCCCTTTGGACCAGCGTCCGGAGGCTTTTCTGGTGGCGGTGGCCTTGCTATGTCTCCTCTCTCTGGCATGTCGCCCATACATGGCATGTCACCGCTGTCGGGAGGGAACACTGCTCTGCCTCCCAGTGCTGGTGGTGCTGGTGGTGCTGCTGCTGGTGCTGCTGGTGCTGGTGCTGCTGGTGGGTCCCCCATACACGGGGTGTCTTCATCGCCCTCGCTGGCGTTGCATGGCATGTCCCCGCTCGCACCAGCAGCAGCAGGAGCAGGAGGGTCAGGGGCAGGAGGGCCTAGCATGTCGCCGCTTGCGCCAGCGGCAGCAGGAGGTCCGGGTGCGTCCCCTCTGTCTCGTGTGTCGGGTCCTGGATTGGACGTGGAGGGAGGAGGAGGGGAGTCCCCCCTCTCATGGGCGCTGCAAGGTGGGGGAGGAGGAGGAGGGGGCGGAGGAGCAGGAGGCGGTGGAGGGGGAGGGGACGTGGGGAATGGAGGGATGGGGCAAGCGAGAACAGAGAGCATCAAGGTGCAGGGGTTGGTGTCGTGGGCACAGGCAGGCAGCGAGGGTGCTGGAGCTGGGGAGAAATTCGAGAGGCTGGGAGGTGATGGCGTGGAGCGAAGCGATGGAGGAGGAGGAAGAGGAGGAGGAAGAGGAGGAGGAAGAGGAGTACGGCGGGATCAAGGTTCAAAGAGAAGGGGCGGCAGGCATGGAAGGAGGAGCAGGGGGCGAGGGAGGGGGAGGAGAGGGAGGGGGGGAGGGAGGGGGGGGAGAGGAAGGGGGAGGGGGAGGGGGAGGGGGAGGGGGAGGGGGGGGGGTGGAGTACGTGGAGGCGAGGATGAACATGGCGGAGCTGACTCTCACCTTTCAGCGCCACCTCTCCGTGCTCGTGCGGGCTGAGAAGACAAGGAAGGACGGGTCGCTACGGCTTCTTCTGCAGTCCGAATGCATTCCGGACATTCTGAGCTGGCTCACGAGTTCAGACTGGTACGTGTTGCTAGGTCCCCATTGCTGTGAAAAAACTGCCCAAGATACTATGGTATGGTTGGGTTGGGTTGGGGTGGGTTGACTCATGGCGGAGCTGACTCTCACCTTCCAGCGCAGCGTGCGGTGCTTCTACCGCCATCCCCAGCGCTCCTCCCCTTACCCCACCCGCACACCCTCTGCATCCTTTCTCCCATTGCAGCGCCCAGGCGGATCAGATGCTGCTGAGGGAGATGGTGCTTGAGGTGCGTCCACAAGCCCCTCACCTCCCGCATTCCCCTCTATGCACCCCCATCTCCCCTTGCTCCTCTACCCCCTGCAGCGCGCAGGCGGATCAGATGCTGCTGAGGGAAGATGGTGCTGGAGGTGCGGGTGGCAGCATTAGAAGAAACCGGAGGGCTGGAGTGGTTCCATGGCGTGCGGTGCAGAGCAGTGCTTGTGCTCATCCCTCCCATCTCCCTCCTTCCTCTGTTCCCCCTTGCCATATGCAGTGCCCAGGCGGATCAGATGCTTTTTAGAGAGTTGGTGCTGGCGGTGCGAGTGGCAGCATTGGAAGAGACCGGCTGGACTGGTTCCGCGGTGTGAGGTGCTTCTACCGCAACCCTAAACTCTCCTCTCTCCCTTTCCCTATCCACGCAACCCACACCACCTCTTCTCCTCTGCAGCGCCCAGGCGGATCAGATGCTGCTGAGGGAGCTGGTGCTGGCGGTGCGGGTGGCAGCCTTAGAGGAGGCCGGAGGGCTGGACTGGACTGGTTCCGTGGCGTGTGGTGCAGAGAAGTGCTTGCGCTCATCCCTCCCATCTCCCTCCCTCCTCTGTTTCCCCTTGTCGTATGCAGCACCCAGGCAGATCAGATGCTTCTAAGGGAGCTGGTGCTGGCGGTGCAGGTCGCAGCGTTAGAAGAAGCCGGAGGGCTGGACTGGTTCCGCGGTGTGCGGTGCTTCTACCCACCACTCATCCCCCTCCATTTGCACCCCTCATCTCCCCCACTCTGTCTCCCTTATCGGCTGCAGTGCCCAGGCGGATCAGATGTTGCTGAGGGAGCTGGTTTTGGCAGTGTGGGTGGCAGCCTTAGAAGAAGCCGGAGGGCTGGACTGGTTCCGCGGTGTGCGGTGCTTCTACCCACCACTCATCCCTCATCTCCCCCTTTTTTCCCATTGCAGCGCCCAAGCGGATCAGATGTTGCTGAGGGAGCTGGTTTTGGCAGTGCGGGTGGCAGCGTTAGAAGAAGCCGGAGGGCTGGACTGGTTCCGTGGCGTGCGGTGCTTCTACCGCAACCGATTCGCATTTCTCAACAAGGGGGGGAGCAAGGGGAAGGGGGGGAAGGGCGGGGGAAAAGGCAAGGGATTGGAGGGTGGAACGGGTGGAGGGGAGAATGGTCGGGCTGGTGAGGGAAGCAGCCAGGGTAGGGGCCTTCTGGGTTGGTTTCAACGAGGCGAGAAGCAGACAGCTGCTGGTGGTGCTGCTGATGGTGCTGATGCTGATGCTGCTCCTTCCTCCGGTGGCTATGGCAGCAAGGGGAACCTGCTTTGAGGTTTCTTCTGAGCGTAAGGTATAAGGGTATGAGTTCAATGAAGACCCCTACGTACCTACTGTAAACGTTGGAATTTTTTAGGTGTGGAAAGAAAATCAATAGGTGGAAGGGTTGCAAAATATGCTGGGCTGGGAATGAGAGAAGTGGAGTGGGTGGTGCAACCCCAGAGAGACCACACACACTTTGTCCCTCTCAATGCCTTTGGTACACTGTTCAGCATGTACAGTATCTGTTTGTTTTCCTTCATATTTCGAGGGGAATGTGTACTCTAAAAACATTGTAGCCCTCAGCGTGAGTCTCCCTTATGCAGGCATCATATCAAAATATTGTCATGTCATTCCTACAGCAATCTTAACACTACTGTAGCATTGGTAAATGACAGTGTGCATTGGTTCATATTTGTCAACCTAGGCATAGTGGACCACCCTAATGAGAATAGATCATGCCACGTACGGTATCATTCTTTACAAAACCGCATTCGGTACCAGATCTTCTTTAATATCACATAATTTAGGCACTGAATGAAACCAACATAGAATAACACAAGCTACTCCAGCGCCATAAATACTGCAGGGGCCCTGCCTCTGGATAGGATTTGGGGTACTCTTCCTCGTAAGGCCAACACCCAGCTGTTACTCTTTCAGTAAGGGTGCTTCACAGGAACTGCTCTTAAAAATCAGGGTGCAAAAGCAGGGCTCCCCCTCTTGTGGGTAAGCTCCTGCCTGCTGTTAGCACTTGACCTACCGCATATGTGAACCTGATACCGGTGCCATGTCGACAAAACCTCCACGCCCCATAGAGTACACACGAGTTGTCACGCTATATAAGTTAAACGCCTGTGGAGCCTTCCGCAGCCCAGGATTCGTGCCTGTCTGCTGCTCTGGTGGTCTTCTTGTCCAGCTGATTATCTGATGCGGGCTGTATGCTGCTGTTGCATGATACGCTGTATGATTGACTGCAGCTGCGTGTTTGCTGCTGCGTATGCGATATTTCGCCATGCATTGCTCATTCCGTAAAACTGTACCAGTAGGTATTTCCGCAAGATGATAATTTGTCATATTTCTTCAGAAGCCGAACACCCAGTCGATTTCGACAGCGTCGGTGGTCTGACTCCGACCCCACACGCTGCAGGAGAGCAGCTGCGGCGTTTGCGCCAACGATCCTTCAGAAGCTACTAAATCTGTAGCATCGATCTCCTCCGGTTTAACCATCGAGCTGTAGCCTCCAAACAAACCCCACAAGGAAGGAGCCACGTTCAATGACTCCCCTTGCACATCCGCCGCTGCTGCTGCTGTTTCTTCCTCTTCGACCGATTCCGAGCCTTCAGTCTGCTCCGATCTAGCTCCGTCTGCTTCTACCGACCCTTCTTCAACCGACGAGGAGGCGAGAGACGATGCGAGGCTTAGCCGTGAGCTCGCACACAGCAAGCTGGTATGGGTCTCAAGCTCCAACCTCGGCGGGGTTTGCGGGGAAGCGTGGGGTAGTTTCCTGGAAACCACGGGGCTGAACTCGGCTGAACATTGGAGATGAGAGACGGGCGAGCTGGGAAGATGCGAGTGCGATTGCATGGCGGGACTAGGGGAAGAGTGGACGATGCCTGTACACATGGATTGGCTTGCGTTGTCGATCGATGTAACGCTATCTAAGCTATCTACCACCTGTTCGGACCGCGCGTTCTGCAGCTCCTGCGCTGGCTGCTGCTGCTGCATCTGCTGCTGCTGCTGCTGTTGCTGCTGTTGTTGCTGCTGCTGTGATCGGAACACCTCAGTGAACCACGGATGCTGGAGTATATCGCTGGCAGTCGGTCTCTTTGTCGGATCCTGACGAAGCAGGCACCGAATAAGGTCTTTCGCGAACGGCGAAATAGAGCCCCAGATCGGTCGGTAAAACGAAAACTTTCCCCGCTTGACGGCTGCGAGGACCTCGTCCTCCGATTCCCCGAAAAACGGAGCTGAACCTGAGAGAAGCATGTACAGCATGACACCCAAAGACCAGATATCTGCTTCGTGGCCGTAATTTCCGGAAAGAACTTCTGGAGCAAGGTAGAACGGGCTTCCGGCGACACCGTAAACCTGCTTGTGAGCGTCGACGAAGAGAGAAAGCCCGAAATCAGTAAGCTTGACCCTCGGAGTCAACGAAAAGCATTTCGTGGGAGACCTGCAGTCATCTGTTCCCGCTTGCTCCCTAACGCCTGATCTCTGTACAAGAAGGATATTTTCCGGTTTTAAGTCGCGGTGTAGAACGCCGTGCTCATGGCAGTGCATAACGGCAAGCACAATCTCCTCGAAGACTGCTGCTGCTTGCGCTTCTGTCATGAAGCCATGGCTGCTGATGTCGTCGAATAAATCACCACCCTCGCAGAGCTCCATAATTAGGTGAACGAATCTATCGTCCTCGAAAACGTCTTCCAGGTTCAGCGTGTACGGGTTCCCGGATAGTCTCCGCATAATCTCGATTTCTCTGCGAACATCTTCCTTATCCTCCCTGAAAAAAATAAGAAAGCAAGCAAGAGAACAACCAAGGAGTTGAGTCAGCACTGCTAGTAAACGACCGTATTAAAGCAAGACGATGCTTTTGTTAAGTTGTTTATTAAGCATTAGAACAAAAAAAAAACACCAGAAGGCGTGGGAATAGAAACTAACCAGTGCGAGAGTTTAGACTTGTCAATCGACTTGCATGCGTATTGTCCGCCTCCGGAAAGTTTTCTGCAAAGCTTGACGATCCCGAAATGTCCACGACCCAGCTCCTTCCCTAAGGTATAAGCATCCTCTAGCCGTCCTGTACGCTGATGCAGTACCCATCCTCCATCTAACTCGAACGGGAAGCGGACCATCGCTGAACCTCAAACCCTGATATCTCAACGAGTTATTCTTCAATAATAAAGGCCACGACTTCTCTATCCTTGGCGCTCACTATTGGTGGCTACTGGTGCTCCCTCAGCTAAGCTGCAGCGTAATAAATAGTGCGAGTATCGGACTCTAGATTAAAAGGGTTTACCACACTAACAGATACCTAATAAATAAAACGCGCTCTGGTAACAGCTATTGTCAGTGGAAGGAAAAATAAGCAGGTATTACGCCTCTAGTTCATGAATCATGAACCCTAGGCTGTGCCAAAAAGTGAAGGTTGAAAAGATGGGAAGGAAAAGGTTGAGAGGACTCAGCTGCAGCTGACTGAGAAATTCTTTCCCCTCCGAGTTCGAGTCTCAACTCCCAGCTGCACTGTTCTTACCCAGTCGCAGTCCCAAGGGGGGACAGACGAGACGACGCAACGCAACGCAACGCAAGGCAGGCGACGGACGAACAACACGGCGACGGCATCGCACTCGGGCATTCGGCCCAGCCCTGCCAAGCACATGCCACCGAAGGAGTCGCCCTCGCGAGCATTTGCGACAATCGTCTCGTAGGCGTCGGCGACGGTACAGCAGAGCCGAGATCCCAAGGAAACCCAAGTGGATCGCCGAGCGAATAAAAGGAGGCACGACAATCGCCAAGCGACCGTCAGGTGCCTGAGCGAGTCGCTAGCTGGACTGCAGAGTGTCGGCGACACAGTGAGGATTTCCACATACGGTTTCGCACTGTTTGGAGTGGAACCGGAAACTGAGACGTCTGTGGAGCGGTGTGGCAGGTGAATTATCGCCTCGCATGCTGCCCCGTCGCTCGGAGGTTGGCAGGAATAACTGCACCGCCCCCGACCCAGCCAGACCTGACGGTAGTTTCATATCCCGTTGGCGGGAAAGTGAAGTTGTTGACGGACCGTCTGTGACGGGCAGCATTATTGTGGTCAATAATGTATGCGGTCAGAGCAGCGAGCGAAGAAATCCCGACAAAGACGTGTCGCCTCCCTGGTTCTACGCGGTCCAGCGCACTTCCCTTGTGGTGCACGATTCCGCTTCCACAGAAGAACCGGAATGCTGACATGGTTCCGATAATGATTGACCAAGACAGACCCACATGGCCGTCAATCTAGCCTGACAGCAGCTCACTCCCCACCTACTACACGACAGGGACGTCTTTCACAAAGGAACTTCTTCGATGTCTCTTTGAAGCTCCTCAGAAGCTTACCCACACGTGTCGCGATTGGGCAATTTCAAACCGGAGTTCCATCTTTCAGAGTCACCCGATAAAACCAGTACAAACGACCATTATTAAACCATCTAATAGAACCTAGACCAGAAACTATACTTGCAATTACAAATGCTACAGCTTACAAGGCTGGGAGGGAACTGGCTAATTGCTTGCTGAAATAGTACCTCGCCAGGAGCATATATCAACACGATGCACAAGTAGTGCTGCGGTCACAATGCTCGCTGCTGCATACTACGGCCAGAAACGCACCCGAGTACCCCACCTAGCCGGCTTTCAATGGCCGTGGTTACCCTGCCGCGCCGTCAAACTCGTACGCAAGTGGATCCGATGACTCGCACATGCGGTACTCATCAATCATTGACCGCACAACCTCGTGTGATTCGTCAAACTCCACCAAGTTGTCCTACGTGTGGAAGGGCAAGTATGGGAAAGAAAAATGAGCAAGCTAATACTTTCCTACATTAAGCAACTCTTCTTCACCCATGAGACAATGGGGTTCAGCAGCATTATTTCTTAATACACTAACAAGACTATCCCAAGCACACAAGCGAAAAGAAAGGACCATGAAGAGGCATGCAAAAAAAGAGCAAACTACCCAAACAGGTGCCTCATGCCCGTGTGTGTGGTTTGCCAGTCTCTCTTCTCAGGCGCCTCACAAACACACACACACGCTCACGCAGGAGAGGACTCACAGAGAACATGGAGAACTGCTTGTAGCTCTTCCCAGGCGCCTCAGAAACACACACACGCAAGGGACAGGACTCCCAGAGAACACACGCAAGGAACAGGACTCACAAACACATGGTTCAGGACTCACAAACACATGGTTCAGGACTCACGGAGAACATGGAGAACTGCTTGTAGGGCTCAAGGAAAGCGGACTTGCGGCGCATGTTCTCATACTGCTTCACACAGCGCCCAAACAGGTGCCTCATGCCCGTGTGGTTGGCCAGCATCAGCCCGCTCACTTTGTGCCCCGTCTGCACGTAGGGCGACTTGCGAGAGAGGGCCACCTGGGAGGGGCGAGCAATGTGTGTGGAGAAGAGAGAGTGAGAGAGACAGGGTCCACATATGCAACTCATACACACCATAATGCTGGCAAAGCCATTCGGAAAGTACTTTTGAGAAATCTTAAAACAATGCAGGCATTGCCGACTCAAAAGTCGTAAACGCAGCAAATGCTCAGTCATCCAGCCTACTCATTGTGGAGCTTACTCACCTGTATATTGGCGAGGCAACATTCAATGATGAAAGCTGCATGCTTTTCCCGAATGCGCTGCATGCTCTTGTTCACCTCCCCCGGATCCACCTCCCCCTGGATGACGTTCAGAACGGACCCTCTCTCCTTGCTTACTCCCCTCCCCAACCACCAGCTAACATACTCCTAGATGTTGGCTGCTACCCACTCGGTGAGTGCAACATACCCCAAACTACTCCGTGTATGCTGGATGCTGCACCACACGCACCTGTATATTCGCAGGCCCCCATTCAATGAAGGAAGCCGCCTGCTTCTCTCGAATGCGCTGCATGCTCTTGTTCACCTCCCCCGGATCCACCTCCCCCTGGATGACGTTCAGAATCGCCATGTACCGGGCGGCACTGACATCCCGCGCTCGGCCGTAGTGAGACGACACCATCCAGTTCTGTGGCTGTTGGGGAGCAAGGGAGAGAGGTGATGAGGCGAATAGGCAAACAGGTGAACAGACGATGCAGGATGAAGCGAAAGTTGGACTCGGATGCATCGTGTCTCCACTGGCTGATGTTGCTGAACTTGAAGAATCTCAGGCAGTGGCCTAAATTTGAAAGGCTATAACTGAAGTCCAATCATTTCCCTCCTCACACCTTACACCTCACCTCCTACCACCATAACCTCCCCTCACCCTACACGCAGCAGTCACCTTGTGACGTCAAAGACCGATGTCGTGTGTATTACGTTGTTACACCTTCGCTCCTCACACTTCACCTCAGTACACCTTGCCTCCTCCCACATTCCATCCTCACACCTTTACTCCTCACCACCCTACCTGCAGCAGTCGCCTCATGACATCAAAGACTGATGTCTTGCGAATCATGTTCTCCTACAGTGCATGCAGCAACACATCAAACACACATGAGCAAGCGCACATGAGAAAACACGTCTGATACGCACATGTTCAACACACTTGAAAGCACATTGAACACATGCGAGACAAACAGACACAAGCAAACACAGACAGACACAGACAGAAAGCCACGCACGCACACACCCCCACACACGCACGTACCTGCCGCTGCACAGTGAGAGGCGTGTAGCTGGAAACCAGAAAGTGACACAGCGGCGTGGGCACGAGCGAAGACACCATGGAAGCCAGGTCATTGCTCATGAACCCCGGGTACCGAATCGTGTTGGTACTCGCAGCCATGACCATCGCCACCAGCGAGTTGGTCTCGGCAAACGTCGGCTGGTGCAGCCGCAGTCTCTCCGCCGCGATCCTATCCAGCGCTGTGTTGTCGAGGACAACCACGCTGTCAGCGTGCTGAGTCAGCCGGCGGAGGGTCAGCAGCGAGTTGTACGGCTGGACCACCACGTCAGATGTTTCTGATTGGTTCGGGAAGACACTGTACGTCTGAACAAGCTTTTTGGGGTAGCGATCGTGCAGCTCCTCCAGGAGATATGACCCCATGCCTGTAACGGATAAGGCAGGGGAATAGAGGGGAGAAAATACGTGGCAAACCCTGGAAAGAAGAGGCGATCATTGGGGAACACGCTGTACATCTGCGCGAGTTTCTTTGGGTAGCGAGATGGTGTAGCACCTCTAAAAGATATCACCCCATGCGTGCAAGAAATATGCCAAGGAGGGAAGCAGTGGAGCACACTGTAGGTCTGCACGAGCTTCTAAGGGTCCGAGAGCTATGACCCCAAGAAGCTCATGCAGACCTACAGTGTGCTCCATACTGCTTCCCTCCTTGGCATATCCAGTTTTTTTTTTCCTCTCCCTTTCTCTCTGTTCCCATGTCTCATGCAGTTCTTCCAAGAGGTGCAAGCCCATGCCTGTACGGGGCGGGAGAGGGGATCAGGGAAAAGGAACACACATGCTGAATCTTGGGGAAAAAGAGGCGAGAGTCAATCTTTTCTCCATAACCATGCCATTCCTTTGTCTCACCTGACCCTGTGCCTCCAGCCACGAGATGACAGAGGTAAAGGCTTCTAGGTTATCGCTGCCCTCTGACTCCCTGTCGATCAACTCCATGATTGCCTCCTGCGCTGCGAGCACCTGGCCGAACCCCACCAGCAGAGACCTCACTTCATTGCCTCGTCTCACCTGACCCCGTGCCTCCAGCCACAGAGTGGCAGAGGTAGAAAGCTTCTAGATTCTCTCTGCCCCCGCCTCTCTGTCAATCATCTCCATGATCGCCTCCTGCTGCGCGCGCGCCTGCTCGGTCTACTCTCTTGTCTCACCTTCACTCACCTCACCCTGTGCCTCGTCTCACCTGACCCCGTGCCTCCAGCCACGGAGTGGCAAAGATAGAAGGCCTCCAGATTCTCGCTGCCCTCCGCTTCTCTGTCAATCATCTCCATGATCGCCTCCTGCTGCGCGCGCGCCTGGTCGAACCCGCTCGCCCAGTTGTTCCCCGCGCCCCCCCCGTGCTCCGCCACGTACACGTTCTCCGCGTTGAAGAGCGCGCGGAACTCGCCCGCCTGGATGCTCCTCACCACGCGCGGCTCTAGGTCGAGTAAAACGGAGCGCGGGATGTAGTGTTGGTCGTCCGCCTGATAAAAGAACACGTCCTTGCGATCGTCGCCCTGGGAAAGGGGGGAAAGGAGGAGATATAGGGGAAGAGATATGGGGGAGGAGAGGAAGGAAACGAGGGATACGGGAAAGAGGGGGAAGCAGCGCGGGGTGTAGTGCTGTTCGTCCGCCTGATAGAACAAGATAGCCCCTGAATAGTCATTCATCCGTGGTCATCTAATAAGCTGTCATCCCACCAACGGTCACCCAATGAACGGCCATCTGATCAACGGTCATTTCTTCAACGATCACCTGCGAACCGTCTCACCTGCGTCGCGAAGTCCTGCAGGTTGCCATCTAGCCCAATGCCGTGCTCCAAGCACAGTTGTCGCCAGAATTCGCTCGCAACCTGGTTACCACACTGCCCGACCTGAAGCGTTACAATCTCTCCCGGCATCCTCACAGTCGCGGCACGTCACAGGCGCCTGAATTCGATCGATAGATTGACTGCTTTCTAAACTTCCCGAGCTTTCTCTTAAGTACTCTATCGTTACGTAGGCCCCAAGCGAGGTCAGCAAATACGAGCTTCTATAAAGATAGACATGACGATGAGCCTGTAAGAGCGACTAACCATATGGACTCAGTCCTGACACGTAAATCGTGAAACATATGAATCTGTGGACTGAATGACCCAATACAGAAAAAATCTCGATCGCCTTGGGAAGTATCTGTCAACGAGAACCCGTCGAGCTACTAACCCCACGGATATAACTGCCGGAAACAACAGATCCTGCTGACGAGTAAGCAACGCGGCCTTCACGCTTGCATGCTTCCGTGCTTCCTACTCGACAGCAGTATCCTGTCTGGTAATCCCATGAATCTCGTTCCTGGGAATGGAGAATCTCACGAGTGCTGCATGTGATTTGGAGCACTCGGAATAATCGAGGCTCCAGGTTACAAACACCATCATACACGGTAGTACGCTTTACAAAACCGATTGCTCTGTAGGGCAGGTCTCTTCACAAGTGTTTGACAGTCTACAGTATTACTGCACTGTACAGCTACGGTGTAAATGTAACCTTACAACAATGGAAGAGCTAAAACAACCACCCCTAACCAACCCATAAAAGTGCTCCTCTCGGAGGGCAGGCCAGAACCTTATGCGTCCAAGCGCTCCAGTGCTGGAAATGATTGCCAACATCAAGAACAGAGACAAATGGAGGTAATAGAAAAGGTGACAAACCAACCAATACCTAAAGAGCAAAGGATGCCTGCGAGAAACAAAATGTGTTTGTGTGTGAAGAGAGAGAGCGAGAGATGGAGAGATTCAAATGCATGACATTAGCAACTAATTGTCTCTGCTTGAAAAAGAACTACTGAAAGTGCCTCTGATCACACCCACATGCACCATAGGCAGCAGAGTGTAGAACATCTCGAGTGCACAGGGTTCACAACCCTAATATACGAGTTATTGCATTCAAGAGCATGGGCCTGATAGCTACAGCTACAAAGCTTGTCTATCGGGTCCACATGAGCCATGGGCATTGCACAAGAATCCACCCATTCAGAACCGAAACAGGAAATAGTATGGCAAAACAAACACGACCCAGTGCTTAGAGAGAACGGAACTTACTGTTGTAGTTGAGCAGCTTCTCTATCAGGTCCACATGAGTCATAAGCATGCGCCGGCAGCAGTAGCGCACAAGTCCCAGAGCGTCTAAAGCGTCACTGTGCCAGGGAAGGGCGGACGGGTACATAGAAATGTAACAACGAGGAACCGTTTGCGAAGCGGATGAAGCAGTTGAAAAAAATGGATATACAGATAACAAGAAAAATTGACAACGAATCGTGTCTTTTCCTTGAATTGTCACAAGCACGTGTGAATACTCACCCTTCACTGTAGTCTGCTTGGAGCAGATCAAGGTACATATCCCACTTGTTGCCAATCACCTGACAACAGCAAAGGCCGACAGCCATGCCATGGTGATGTGGGGAACCAGGTGATGTAAGAAAACAGCGTTACGGCTATAATAAGCGAAGAATAGATAGTGATATTCAAGGTAGCAATAAACGAGGAGAATAACTACAGAGAAAACATAGAAAACCCAGGTTGGGGGACGAGGTTCGGGAATCAGGGCTTGGGAGGAGGTTTCACATCAAAAGTGGAGAAACGTCAGCGCATGCTTCAATCATGTGCTATTTGTTCGAGCAGTCGCCAACACGACAGACGCAGGAAAATACTATGCCCGTTCCAGGGCTTCAAGTGCAGCAACGGACCGACGAACCTTTCCGCACGTGAAGCACCGAACGGGAATGATCATCGTGCTCCGCTAGTGTAGGCCTTTTCGTCTGACGGTTGTGCACCTAGGTGGTCTCAGGAAACCGCGTAAGGACGATGACGAACCGTGTATAAGCTACAAAACCTGTCCCAAACTTTTCGCACAGGCGTTACGCACTGAACAAAGACGCGACCTTCTACGCGCCGCCGTGTTTCAGGCGCTCCTTATGCGCCAGCAAGCTTAGACGGACCACTGAGAAAATAAGGCGGTGCTGCAGATGAAGCTATGGATAGTTGCTGCTAGCCAGCGTCTCATCCGCTTTTGTTGCGTGTGGAGCGGGAAGGGCCTGTTCGGAGACGCGTATTCTGTCATCGTGGAGCTGGGGTTCGATTTAGTGCAGTACTGTTATGAGTTGTAAAAGAGAGTGCGCAGGTAAACGAATATCGAGGCCGTGATTGAATCAACTGAGAATACAATGAATGCAAAGACTAATGTAGGCTAGCCTAGCTAGGAGGAAACCTCGGACGAGCGAGGTTGGGTGCAGGTTTGGCGATGGGAATGCCGAAGGCGACGAGTGGAGCCTCGGCAGCGTGGAAATCGCCCGAACGTGCGAACTCCGAAAATCGGGTTGTACGCGCAGCAGTCAACCCCGATAAGGAATTCGAGAAAATTCCTTACACCACCCCCCCCCTTAAGAAAGGCGGTCAATATCCGAAACACGCCGGCGCGCCAAATAATCACCAACAAGTGGCGAGGCGTCGAGCGAGGCGGATGGCACCCACGTGTCGTCCTCACTGGTGCGATCAGTCCAGCGGATTAAGAAATCCACGTGTCGTCCAGCAGCGTCAAGCCGAACCCGATGGGCGAGAATCTTCGAGGGTTCGAGGGTCGGCTCCGGGACAGGTCGAGCTGTCGGGGCAGCTTGCTGACGTGCGATGTCGGTCGTGGCTGGCACGAACTTGCGAAGCAGGCTGACGTGGAAGGCGTCATGAATTCGCCAGTCGTCCGGTAGCAACAGCTTCGCGGTGACAGGTGTCACCATCTTGATGATCTTGAACGGTCCACAAAATCGGGGCCGTAGCTTCGATGGACCGGGCAGGTGCAGGTTTTTCGTACTGGGGTAGAGCATAGTTAGGCTGACGCTCGCCGAACAGCGCCCTTCGATCAGAGAACGCGGCTCCTCGGACAGCACCCCGTCCGTCAGAGATCGCGCGACCCAGAAGCAGATCAGAAGACGAGCTCGTCGAACAGCACCCCGTCGACCAGAGCTCGTTCATGGGCTGGTGAATCAGAGGACAACCTTCCTCGAAAACCACCTGAGGAAGAGGATGAGGAAGAGGAAGAGGATGAGGACGAGGAACAGGAAGAGGAAGAAGAGGAGGAGGGAAAGGTGGGTAAGGTGGGAGTGCGGGTGAGCAGTAGGAGGCAGGTTCGACTGGCTTTGTCTGGCAGCAGTAAGAGCAAGCACAAGGGAGCAGCAACGGAAGAGAAAGAGGACGAGGAAGAGGAAGAAGATGAAGAAGAGGAAGTGGAGGAAGAAGAAGAGGACGAGGGAGAGGAGGAAGAAGAGGAGGGAAAGGTGGGAGTGCGGGTGGGTAGCAGGAGGAAGGTTCGATTGGCTTTACCTGGCAGAAGCAAGAGCAAACGCAAAGGAGCAGGGAAGGTAAAGGAAGAGGAAGAGGATGAGGATGAGGATGAGGATGAGGAAAAGGACGAAGGAGGGGATGGGGAAGAAGAGGACGAGGAAGTGGATGGAACCAACCCCTCCCATTCCACAATTCCTGCCGAACCAGTGCTGAATGAACCGCAACATTGCAGGGTTGGTTCCGAGCCTGGCCAGGAGGCTCGGCTAGGTGTGGCTGCTCCAGGTGTGGCTGAGGATGGTGGGGTCGGAGCTGGTGGGAGTGGGGCGGGTGAGACTGGGGCGGGTGAGACTGGGGCGGGTGAGACTGGGGCGGGTGAGACTGGGGCAGGCGGGGCTGGGGCAGGCGCAGGCGGTGACCCGCTCTAACTTTGGCAAGCCTCGCGAGAAGCTGAGCTACCATGCTTGCCTGCCGCCGACCTCCTACAGCACTCTGCTCGACGATGCGCAGTTCGACGTCAACGTTCCAGAGCTCGACCCTGATATGCACGCCGACCCAGAGCATCGCTGGGACATCGCTAACATGACAGTGAAGGAGGCGTTAGCGAGTTGGAAGGGCAAGGCGGTGAAAGCGGCGATGGACGAGGAGATTCGAAGTCTCATCACCAACGGCACATGGGAGCTGGTCGAGCGTCCGCGCGGCGTCAATGTCATGAAGAACCGCTGGGTTCTGACGACGAAGTATCACGTCGACGACACGGTCGCATGCAAAAAAGCCCGCCTGGTGGTGAAGGGCTTCACGCAGGTCTACGGAGCTGATTACGAAGAGACGTATGCACCAGTCGGGAGCTACGTCACGCTGCGAATTTTTCTCAGCATTGTGGCCGTCCTCGACCTGCACCTCATGCAGTTAGACATGAAGAATGCGTTTCTGCAGAGCAAGCTCGATCGCGTGCTCTACATGGACCAGCCGGCTTACTACAACGATGGGACCGGCCGCGTATGCAAGCTGCTGAAGAGCTTGTATGGGCTGAAGCAGAGTCCTCTGTTGTGGTACTCGGCGCTCGACGCTGTTCTGACGGGCGCTGGCTGGAGCAAGAGCCAGGTGGACGAGGCTCTCTATTTCAGAGTTGGCGACGACGGAGTGGCGTGCTGGGTGCTCGTCTACGTCGACGACTTGCTCGCCGCCAGCAAGATGCTGAAGGGGCTGCTGGAGGCTGCCTTTGAGCTGCGCGAGATCACCCCAGTCGAGAAGTATTTGGGGCTCGAAATCGTGCGCGATCGTCCGGCGCGGAAGCTGTGGCTGCACCAGCAGTCCTACGTTGACAAGCTGCGTAGGCGATTCATCGACGAGGAGCAGACTGGTCGGCGTCCGAAGACGCCTGTTTCCGTCGACGCTTACGCGGAGCTGACTTTCGACGATGAGGACTTCCAGTCGCGCGAAGAGGAGGAGTACCGTCAGAAGGTCGGTTCTCTGCAGTTCGCTGCCACGACAACTCGACCCGACATTGCATTCGCATGCAGCAAGCTGGGGTCTGGTCTGACGGTGAGGAGCGATCAGCACTGGCGCGAGGTCGATCGCTGCCTCAACTACCTCTCTGACACGCGCGATTTCGCTCTGGAGTTCGGAGGAGGACCCGAAACTCTGAAACTGGTCGGCTACGCGGACGCGGACGACGCTGGCGACAAGCAGAATCGCACTAGCACAAGTGGCTACGTTTTCACCTTCGGCGGCGCAGCTGTCTCCTGGACGAGCCAACGCATCAAGTGCGT